TGTTCAGCAAGGGCAGGAGTCTATTCAGAACGAGGTAGTTGCGGAGCAATTGCAGAATAATGCTGAGAATATTGATTCAGCATTACTAATTGAGCAGCCAAAACGTGCTCGTACAAAAGCACCAAGCAGGTGTAGTAGATGTGGTTCATTTGAGCATAACTGTAGAACCTGTACTTTGTAATACTGGTGTCGTTATTAGTATAGCTATAATATTGTAATTGCAATAAGTCGTCAAAGGCACATTGGACGGAAACTTGACCGGCTCGGTAGTGTGACCGGCTCGGTAGTAGGGTACGTTACAATACTTAGAAAGTAAATCGGATTAAGCTCTAAAACATTAGGTACTTAATACATTTTTAATATAATTATTAAAAGCTACTATTTAGGCTAATAGTACTAGATATAAGTAATAAAGTAAGTATTAAAAGAATCTCTACCTTTTAAACTACAGATAAATAAGATAATTATATTAAATAGAAGTCTTAGAAAGAAACAACTTAGAGATTATATATAGAAGTATATCTATTACTAAGAACTACTTTAGAAAGCTAATATCTAGAATATCAAACTCGAATCTCTTTTAAACTACTTCTATAACTTACTGAATTTAGAAAATAAACTAGAACAATTACTATATATAATAGCTCCGTATATAAATATATATTATTTTAGTAATTACTACTTATACTCCTACTCCTACTTTAAATAGCTATAAACTAAATAATTTTAATAAGAGTAAAAGAAGAAGAATATAGGCTAAATATAATAATATAAGCTACGATTATATTAGTATTTCTAATAATAATACTAGCTCTTATTAACTAAGATATTAACTAAACTTAGGAAGTTATCTACAAGTATTAGTTTAAATTCTTATAAGGCTTAAAAGTACTTTAGTAATAATTTAAAAGCTAGTCTTAATCTAGTTATAATATATAGATAAGGAACACTTTTTTAGCTAGTTTTAATAGATAGACTTAGATAAAGATCCTAGATTAGATAAATTATTTTAGTATTCTTTGGAAATTAAAATTAGATTAATACATATAAAAATATTACTAAAATATTTCTAGAAAAAGATAGTACTATAATTAAAAGTAGTAGATACTTATTAAATTCTACTAATTGAAAATAAGTAATACTTCTTTATAAACTTGTATATTCTAAAAGAAGTAAATAGAGATTAATTCTGATTAGTATAAACCAATAAAGAAGTAGTATAATAACTATACTTATCCTTATATAGGAAATAAAGAATAATAAAATATGTTAGAGAAACGTCTGAGCTTTTAAATCCTTTACTTTATGCCTTTTTTCTATATATTTAAATAGGAGTAAGATACTCTCTAGACTAGATCTATGATATAAGGATCTCTATACAGAAATAGTACTTTAATTTAGTAGAAGTAGGAGACCTATAGAATAATAAAAAGAGCTAGAGAGAAGGAGTTAAGTAGGAGTTCCCTATAGGCTCTCCATCTAAATCTACTACAATTTAAAAGCGAAAAGGTAAAGAATGTTGCTCTAAAATTAGTAGAGAGTATAAGGTACTATAAGAGCTAAGTAGTACAAGATATAAATTAAAATTTATTAGAGATTATACTTTTTAATAGTAACTTTGAAAATTTAGAAATATAAAATTAGTGATTATAAAGTCTCTAGCCCTAAAGGTTCTACTTCTCTATTTCTAAAAAGTTAAAAAAAGCTTTAGAGAATTTTATAGATTATATAAAGGAAATGGAGAGATTATTATAAAGTAAAATCTAGGAAGAAGAATATTAGAGATAAAGAAAAGAAAGGAAGCTGTCTATAAGAGAAATTTAGAAAGTACTTTAAGGTCCTGGAAAAACTAGCTCGACGACTATAACGTCTCTACCCTATAGCAATATCTTTAGCTACCTTAGAGAGGTCTTAATTGTTAAGGGATATAAATAAAGGAGGAGGAAAAGCCGAAATAGCTTTTTAAATAACATAAAGAAATAGAATATTAAAAGGAATAAGAAAGAATAGCTCCTAGAGTATATATTTAATGGAAATCTAGCTCTAAAAACCCTAATAGGCTAAATGTCTTACATTATCTTAGACTTTTATATAGCATGAAAATAGTAAGGACTTAATTATACTACTAGAGTATATATTTATTAAGAGTCTAGCCGTAGCGTACTAGATATCTAACATAGTCTTAGATTCTTTATAAGATAGAAAGAAGTTCAACAAGCTACTAAATAATTGAATAAAAGAACAAACTACTATCCTCTAGAGCTATAAGTATAAATTATTTCTTATATATACGTAAACTACCTAAGATTGATATAATATCCTTAAAGCTTTATTAAAGATCTCTAAAGCTACTTTATCTTTCAGAGGCTTTTCTATTACTATATAGAGTCCTTGTAAAGTCTAGAATACCTTAAAGACAAATTTCTAAAATATCTCGACTAAAATTACAATAAATAATAGGTAGAGTTATTAAATATAAGAACTGAGTAATATATAGTATTAGTAGCTTTTCGTTATTCTAATAAATAATACGACCTTCTAAACTTATCTTAGCCCCTAATAAATTTAGAACTAAGAACTTATCTTATTAAAAAAGAGAGTCGATATTATTACTTTAAAGAGGCTCTATTAAGTTTAGAGAATACTTAAGAATTAAGGAAGGATATAAGGCAAATTTTAAAAGGTAATAAATATAGATTATTAAGTAAAAAAAAGAAATCTTTAGGGCTAGAGAAGAAAGAGAATTACTCAGGTAAAACTTCTTTAAAGGGTTAATAGCTTACATATATAAATTTTTCTATACTAGTTTCGTTATAGGTAATAAAGGTCTAAGTAGGCGACCTTATTTAGAAGAAATGTTCGAAATAGACTATTAATTCGAATTCAGCTAAGAGAATAGAAATATAGGGATATTGATTAATTTTAGTGACTTAGCTTTTTAGATTTTAAAGATTATAATACTTAGAATTTAGATTAATAAGCTATATAAGATATAGCTAGAAATTCGAGGGTTCTAGTCTAGAAGCTTATATATTCCTAATCTTAATACAATAAATTAAGTAGGAATATCTTTAAAAAGAAATAGAAGTCAAGTCATTAGATCCTTTAAATCTACTAGCTAGAAAGAATAAAGAAATCAAAATCCAAAAAGAAGAGAATAAGAATTGTCCTTTTTAAATAAATAAATTTAGTAAGAGTATTAAGCTTATAGGAATTGAGTAAGTAGTTAATATCCTATATAGTCTTAGACTCTTAAATAGGACATAAATAGCTACAGAAAAATATGAATATTTATAATCTAATAGGTTATTAATAATAGATATATATTTAATAGAGTCTATCTAGTAGTATATACTAAGTAAACTCTCTTTATTACTAGTATTTAATCTACTCTATATTCTTTACTTTTTTCTCTTCTTAATATCCTCTATAGACCTATATAAAAGGTAACTAAGGCCTAAATAAGCTTTTCTAAGGTAAAGAATATTTACCTTTTTAAGAATAGAGAGTTCTTATAATACTTAATTTTTAAAAGTCAAACTTAGATTATTATAAAGCAATTTAGCTTCTTAGATAATTAAATTATATAGAGATACTATATTTCTAAACTTATAAATCTTCTAAAGTTTTAACTACTTATAAAGAATAGATATATATTTATAATAACCTTAAAAAAATTAAATTAAAAAATATAAGACTCTAAATATAAAGTCTATCATTATTAAGGAGCCTATAAGACTAGTAGACTAAAAGCTAGCTTTAGTGTTTTATAAGTTTATAATAATAATAAAGTAAGTAGTATTAAGGATATAATTTGATTAATATTAGAGACGATTATAAGCTATCGTACGGACTGATTATGCGAGCTCCTACTTCGATAATCTCCTGTCGTACGTTCAGAGGATCTACCTTCGGTCTGATCTTCGTTCTCGTCGTCGTCACGGATTCTAGAACGGCTTCGATCGTCTATGCGCTCATCGAGATTCGACCGTGAAGCTGCCCTTGACCGTGATCTTGTAGGCCCGTAGTCTATCATCCGGCTACGAGACACGATTGTGCTCTCCTCCTCAGCGACACGGTCATCCTCCCATTCCTCTCGCCGCTCCCTGTCTTCTTCTTCACGTCGCCGGCGTGCCTTCTCTTTATCGAAATTGCGTCTCCTCTCGACCAGCTGCTGGCGACCACCGTGCTCACTCCTATTCTTGGACATCCACCATAGAGCACCAACGGCGAATATGCCCATTGCAAGCGCAATCTTTCCTCTTTTATCATCCTCGCGGCGCGGCTCACTCTGGGCCCTAGGGGCAGTCGAGGCGCTCGAATAAAAGGTGGAGGAAGACGAGGGTTCACGACCAGCTCTCGACCGAGGATAAGAGGAACGCTGATCTGATGCGTACGATCGCCGGTCAGAAGCGGATGAATATCGTGATGGGGATGACGGTTGGCGATGTCTGTTGTAGCGCCGATCGTCTCTCGCCGAAGGTGCAGGCCGACGAGAGTCTACCACAGTGGGTGCATCGCTGTCATCTGAATCTTCATGACGATTCATCCGGCTTCTATAACGGCTTCGATCGTCGTAGTCGAAGTCAGAATACGCGCGCGCGGAGCGCGAGGGGCGAGACATATTGCTTTTTTGGAATACGCCGGCGTACTGAAGAGTTTGCGAAAGATCCGTAATCCTTAGGCGCTGAGCTGGATATGAATTGGGCTATTCAGTTATGTTCCAAGATCTGGCACGCAAACGAATCAGAGAGGCAGCAGACCGACAGAAATCCAGCAAGTGAAGACCGGCCCTTACGTCATCTGCACACTGTTCCCCACAAGAATCGTTAATCACCATGAAACAACCCCAGCTCGTCCTGGACAACCCTAAGCCTTCCAGTACGGGAGATCATGTCCCAAAGAACCTTGGAACCTTGGAAGTCATAGAACGTCTCGCGAGTGAAGTGTGAATGTTGCGGTCGTATTTGTATGATGCATTAATGTACTTACAACGTGTACAAAAAAACACCCTGCCCGAGTCTACTCCAGAACGCTTCAGGGCGCGTAGGCATGTAGCTTTTCGCCTGCCATTTGACCACCCACAACGTGATCGTACAAGGCGCTGTAGACTGTCCATACAACCCGTTACATGAAGCCCTCACAAACCATGGGTCCAAGCAATGCCCGAGTCCACACTCATCATCAACATATCGTTGTCCATACAGTGGGATTGCAGAGACAAAGTTTACCTATCGAGGCAGTATTCAGATCCGTTAACGATGGGCTCACGTGCGGTGGAATTCGGCGGTGCATTTTACTCCCAAGCTGGTCGTGACGTCAGATGAACGCGCATCATTCTGTGGAGAAAGTGAGGGCACAAACTTGCTTAACGGCTTTCTTGTTGTTCGTTCGTCGCCTGTGCCGCGGTGTCTGTCTACTGCATATCATGAGAGGGGAAATTCAAATGCCAATCCACGACACACGATTGTCACCAACCAACGCACTCCTCACCACCTCCGCCCGGGCAATACACAATCTTGGACCAATGATGACATGACTGACGCGCCTCATATATACATCGCACCCACCTCTGCCCAATAATTAGAATCGAGGCAGTAGCAGACACAAGTCCATACCTTCCCGTTAGACTCACTGAATCCCTCGAAACTTCGCAATTGCAGTCCTTCGATTCTTTGCTAGCGAGCACTTTCAGCAACGCACTTTCCCGCGCCAGTTGTCCTAGGTTGTTCGACGGCCAACACGCTCTCTGGCTCTGAGACACTGTGACCACGACCTCCTCGCATATCCTCTCATCATCGCCTACGAAACCGCAACGCCGCAACGCCGCAGCGCCCTCTGACATCCTCTATTGCAGCATTCTGCGACGCATAGCCAGACTGTCACTATTCGGAGCTGGCTGTAATGATTCACATGACTTGAAGTTCAACATCGACCTTGCACGAATCGCTCGCAAAAACCCTCCTCGCTCGAACAATAGCAGTCTCCAGTCACCATGTTGGAAAGTCTGGTGGCCAACCTGCTGAACAGGTTCCTGGGCATGTACGTCCGGAACTTCGATCCAAAGCAGCTGAACATTGGAATCTGGTCAGGAGATGTTACTTTACGGGACCTGGAGCTCCGAAGGGAAGCTCTCGACCAATTTCACCTACCACTGAACGTCGTCGAAGGTCATATCTCCACACTCGTCCTCAAAATTCCCTGGTCAAATCTACGCGGCGCGCCGGTACGCATTTCCATCGAGGATGTGTTCTTGCTCGCTGCACCCAAGGAGGAGCAGGAGTTTGACGCCGAAGAGGAAGAAAAACGTGCACATGCCGTGAAGATGGAGAAGCTGGACAGCGCGGAACTGCTCAAAGAACGCAACACGGAAGGAATGTCGCAAGAGGAGCAACAAAAGCAACAGTCGTTCACGGCCGCGTTGACCACCACGATCATTGACAACGTCCAGATCCAAGTCAAAAACGTTCACATCCGATACGAGGATGCGCTGTCAGATCCGGGCCACCCTTTTGCCGCAGGCCTTACCCTACAAGAGCTGAGTGCCGTCTCGACCGATGAGAATTGGAAGCCGACCTGGGTCGCTGGATCAAGCACCACGACCCACAAACTGGCGACGCTGGGCTCATTGGCAATGTATTGGGACACAGATGCCACACTTTTCGGAGCAGGCACTGGCGAAGAGAGCTCCGGCGACCACAAAGAAATATTAGCCAAGTTCCGAGAATTGATCGTCAAGGGCGACAGTCCCGAAGTTGAACAGCATCAATTCATCCTGAAGCCGGTCTCCGGTCGAGCCGGACTTGAAATGGACAAGTCCGGCAAGCATGATCGTCCCAAGATGAAAGCACGATTGCTATTCAACGAGCTGGGCTTTGTCCTTGATGATCATCAGTACCGCGATGCGCTCATGCTCGTCGACCTCTTCCACTACTTCATCCGACACCAGGAATATAAGAAGCTTCAACCCAAGTCTTTACCAAAAGAGGACCCTCGAGCTTGGCTGCTTTTCGCCGGTAAGGCAGTCCTGGACCGTATCCATGAGAGAAACCGGCGCTGGTCGTGGGAGTATCTAGCCGAGCGTCGAGACGATCGTAGAGCATACATCAAGCTTTTCAAGAAAAAGAAGAGCGAAGAAAAGCTTACACCCGAGGAAACTGGAGAGCTTGATGAACTAGAGCATAAGCTCTCATACGAAGACCTCCGCTTCTGGCGATCCCTCGCAAGAAATGAGCTGAGAAAAGAAGGTGCTGTCAAGAAGATCGAGCCGCCCAAGGCAACCTGGAGCTCGTACATCTGGGGAGCATCGAAGCCACAGCAACAGAATTCCGCGCCCGACGACAGCCAGATGACCGAAGCGCAACGCAAGGAGCTGTACCAAGCCATCGATTTTGACGAGAAGAAAAGCATCACCGAAGCTGTAGATCTCCCTCGCGAGGCTGTCAAATTGCAAGTCGACATGAATCTCAAAGCCGGCAGTTTTACCCTCCGACGAGACCCGCATGGAAAGAGACGAGACATACTCAAGTTACTTTTCGATGACTTCAGTACCGAGTTCATTCAGAGGACGGACTCTACATTGCTGGATTTGAGCCTCGGCGACATGCGATTGCATGATGGGTCTACAGAAGGCAACCTCTTTGAGCAGATGCTCGTGGTTAAAGACGCGCCACTTATAGCCGACAAGGACCGAATTCGAGAATTGACCGACGACGACGACGGGGAGCACCCAGATGCGGAGCAGGACGGTGACGAACAGGACCCTTTCTTCAGCATGTCGTTTGAGTCGAACCCTCTCGACAATCGGGCAGACACAGCCTTGACCGTGAAACTCAAAGCCCTAGAGATTGTGTACAACCCCAACTTTGTGGTACAGGTCTCGAACTTCTTCAAACCACCAGAGAAACACACAGAGTCGATCGGAGCGCTCATGGAAAGCGCAGGTACGACGGTGGAAGGTCTCCGTCAGCAAACTCGAGCGGGCCTCGAGTATGCGCTGCAAGAACACAAGACGATTGATGTGCAACTCGATCTACAAGCACCTTTGATTATCGTGCCAGACACCGTTGTCAAGAAAAGTGACATTTGCTTGATCCTGGATGCAGGTCGGGTGAGCGTGCGCAGTGAACTGATTGACAAAAAGACGCTGGCCGAGGTCCAAAGCAAGGAAAAGCAAAGCTACACGGACAAGGACCTCAAACAGCTCGAGGCGTTGATGTACGACAAATTCCAGCTCAAACTGGAGTCCACACAATTGCTCATCGGTACAACCGTCGAGGAGACCAAAGAAAAGCTTGAAGCTACAGACGCTGCCCACAATTTTCACTTGGTGGACAGGATCAACATGGACTTCACCATCGAGACCTGCATCATTCCGAAAACGACAGAGCTAACCAAGTTCCGAATCAAAGGTCACCTTCCGGTCCTGCATGTACAATTCTCTGACCAAAAGTATAAAGCTCTGATGAAAATCCTCAACTTCGCAGTCCCCAAATTTAATGATGCAGAGCCGAAGGAAATCACAGGCGCTAAGGACGGTAGCAAATCAGGTGACGAAGAAAGATTGAAGGCATCACAACCGAGCACATCGAGGCCTAGAGGCAAATCGTTCCAGCTGTCGAAGGATGATCTTGTGATCGAAGAGTCTCACGGTACGGCTGAACAGACATCCGGGCGGACCGCTCACGGTGGAAATCAGCAATCCAAAAAGCACGAAGTCAACCTGAAACAGCGGAATTTCGAGTTCAAGTTTGTGGTAGACAAGTTGCAAGGCTCGCTGTTCAGAGCTGATGCAGAAGGGAAGCAATCTGACCAATTGCTGGTAGAACTTATCGCTGAGACATTTTACCTCGAGTTCTACCAGCGAGCGTTTGACATGGTTGCCGATGTGAGGCTTCGCGCACTTGCGGTTGAAGACCACGTTGAAGAATCGCCGGCTCCAGAATTTAAGAACCTGATCTCAAGCGAGGACTTAGTCGACAAGAAGGAGCAAGATCTTTTGACCGTGCACTTTCAAATGGTCAATAATGATCATCCCGAGTTCTCCAGTACTTATGAGGGTATCAAGACAAATCTCGATGTCGCCGTGTCCACCATCAACGTTATGGTCACAAGGAAAACGCTGCTGACGCTTCTCGATTTCGTGATGGTCACATTCACGAACGCACCAGCCGAGACAATACAGGGCCAGCAGCAGCAGAATCTCCTAGCGGAGGGCACCACTGAGATTGTTCAGCAACCCGCCAGCGACAAGATTCGAATCAAAGCGGAGATGAGAAGAATTGCTATAATCCTCAACAACGATAGTATTCGTCTCGCGACTCTCAGCTTGACATCTGCAGTCGTAAATGTGTTCCTCATGGGCAAAGCTTTGCGTGTCAGCGCTCGACTCGGTGCTCTTGATCTAGTGGATGACATCAATCAAGGTGTCTCGGAAGATTCTAATCTTCGCCAGCTTGTCTCTATCCAAGGCGACGACCTTGCGGATTTCCGTTACGAGACCTTCGACCAAGACGCGGAATCGTATCCAGGCTATGATAATGAGGTGTTCCTGCGATCAGGTTCAATAAAAATCAATTTCGTCACCGAGCCATTCCGAAAGATTGCGGAGTTCGGGGTTAAATTTGGCAAAATGCAGGCAATCTTCAATGCTGCACGACAAGCGGCAGCGAACCAGGCTACCAAAGTTCAAGAAACAGCAGGCAAGATGCATTTTGACATATTGATCAAGACTCCAATCGTCACTTTCCCGCGCATGGTGATAACTAATAGTCCCGAGCGCGATCTGGTGACAGCATACTTGGGAGAAATTTATGCCAACAATACATTCGTGCCGGTTGATGGCTCCGAGACTGAAAAGTCAAATCAACTTTCCGCAGGTATTCACAATATCAGATTGACGTCAACCTTCCATTACCCCGATGAAAAAGCCGAAGAGCTTGAAATGATCGACAAAGTCAACATCGACTTCAAAATCACACAGACTGAACACAAAGCGGGACGTGAGCGACCTGATTCGGAGATTGAGGGATCTATGTCGGACATCAACCTGCGATTGACTGAGGCTCAATTCAAATTCGTCATGGAGCTGTCGAGAAACATTCCAACGGCCTTTGCCCTCGAGTCCGATCAGGAGATGGAGGATGAGATTGAGGAGGAATTGCCGCAGGAGATCGTCAAAGACAGCCAGAAATTGGAGGATACAACGCACCCCACAGAAGCTGAGACCGGCACCGACCTTGCAAAAGCTTCCCGGCAGGAGCCCGAACTCGGTAATGATGCAGGGGCCTGGACAAAACTGGATCTTGTTTTCAAAGTGGGGGCTATTGCGCTGGAGCTCATCCATGGTGACATCGACGCTCCCGTGGGTGATCTGGAAGCTGCCAGCCTTTCAAAGTTCAGCTTGAACGAGACCAGCATTAAGTTGCGCATGCTCAGCGATGGTGGTCTAGAAAGTGAATTGCTCATTCAATCGTTCACAATTACCGACACGAGAACTCGAGACAAGAACAAATTTCGAAAAATCATGTCATTGATAAACACAGACGTAAAGCAGCAGTTCATGGCCAGCGTGTCCATCAGTGGAGGCCAGGAGAAGAATCTCATTGCGCTGCTTACGATTGACAGCCCGCGAATCATTCTTGCTCTCGACTACATATTCGACGTACTGAAGTTCATTCAGAAGGGTTTTGAGCAGCCTGAGCCGTTGATAATCTCGGATGCCGATGATTCTGACACTGATGATCTGCTCAGCAACGACGAGCAGAATTTGCAGTTGAGCCAAGAGGATCATCGCGAAGAGGCTGTTCCACCGACTGGAAACAGCATGAAAATTGCATATCGCGTGAACGTTGTAGATGCGCAAATCGTCCTTATTGCTAATCCGGCAATCAGCAACTCTGAAGCCATTGTCCTCGGCACGAAGCAGGTGCTTGTGTCGCAACAGCACGCGATGACATTGCAAGTGGAAAAGATTGGCATGTTTCTCTGTCGCATGGACCAATTCGAGACCACGAGATTGCGCATTCTTGACGACTTCAATATCCAGACATCGCTGGACATGCGCTCACAGACGAAAGACTCCTCACTTACCAACATTGAGGTCGATATCGAGCCGCTTGTACTTCGACTTTCATTGCGTGATATCATGCTTGCAATGCAAATCGTCAACCGAGCCTCCGCAATGTCTGCAGATACTGATAAGAAGATGGATGACTCCGACCCGAAGAAACTTGCCCAAATCAAGGCGTCATCCAAAAAAGGGAAGTCCGGAACTTCCACCAAGCGTCACGCTGTTTCCACACAACATGTCCCAGCAAAGACGATCAGTACCAAGCGCTCGACTGTCAAGGAAGAAGAAGAGCATCAGGCGGTTGGCTCTGCTGTGTTGAAGCGCGAGGAGATGAGAATCCAAATGGATGGTATCCGCGTGGTCCTCATCGGCGACACTCATGAACTTCCCATGGTTGACTGGAGCGTCAAGAAGTTTGCCGTCGAAGTTCGGGACTGGACAGCTAATATGAGTGCTGATGCCAACATCGAAACGTTCTTCAATGTCTTCAACTTTTCGAAATCTGCCTGGGAGCCGCTGATTGAGCCATGGTCACTGGGCTTCCACATGGTGAAGCAAACGAAGCCAGACAAATTGGCTCTGGAGCTTTACTCGCGCAAGTCTCTGGAGCTGACGCTCACATCCTCTACGATTGCCATGGCCTCCAAGTCTGCGCAGTTCCTATCTTCTGACGAAGACGTTCTGTCAAAGCCAAGAGGGAATGATGCGCCTTACACAATCCGCAATTACACAGGCTTTGACATCAATGTATGGACTTCAGGCGACTCAGACGATGACGGACAAGCCGCAAAGCTAGCCGATGGTGAGGAAAAGCCTTGGCGATTCGAAGACCCCATGACGACACGTGAAACTCTGTCCCCGGATGGTCAGACTGGTGTCATAGGTGTCCGGCTAGAGAATAGTGGATTCGACAGCATTGATCGTATCCAAGTGAATCGCGAAGGCGAAGACCTCTACAACTTGAAGCCTAGGAAGGACAAGATTCAGCACCGGCTGCTCGTCGAGGTAGAATTGGGCACCGACAATGTCAAGTACATCACGATTCGTTCGCCTTTGCTTGTGGAGAATCACACTCAGATTCCCGTCGAACTCGGCGTGTACAGCCCCGACGACGGGCATCTACTTAAGATCGAGAAGATAGCTCCGGGAGAGTCTCGACCAGCTCCTGTCGGGGCTGCATACATGCACTCACTTGTCGTGCGGCCTGATCAAGGATTCGGCTACACTTGGTCGAACGAACGTCTCTTCTGGAAAGATCTACTGAAACGACCAGTCCGTACCTTGACATGCCAAGGCGAAAACAGTGATAATTCGCCCCCGTTCTACTTCCAGATGCAGGCTGTGTTTGATAAGAGCAGTCCTATCTCTAGGTATGTCTGTCGTTTGAATTCATCATTTGTGGCGCTTGCTGATCTTAAACCTTTTAGTGTTTATCCTTACATGCGGATTCGATTATCAGCCCCGATCGAGGTTCACAATCTGCTGCCATTCGATTTCAAATACAGAATCTACGACAAGACCACAAAGAAGGACTGGACTAATTTCCTTCGCAAAGGAGGTGTCAGCCCCATTCACGTGGTTGAGCTGTCCCATCTGCTTCTGATGAGTATTGACATGCAAGATACTCCATTCAAAGCGAGCGAGTTTGCCATCATCAACACAAGCGACGACAACGATTTCCGCAGAGAGAAATCTATCGCTGTCAAGGATAAGGATAATCTGGAATTGCGTCTGAAGATCCATTACTCAAATATCGCTGACAGTGGTGGAGCTTTCAAGATCACTGTGTTCAGCCCATATGTCATCTTGAACCGCACTGGACTCGAGTTGGATATCAGAAGCAAAGCTTATTTTGGCTCGTCAAAATCTGCTGCAGGTACTTCTGCTACGTTTGCTGACACTGAAGACGACTCACAGAAGGCCTCGCCGTTCATGTTCTCCTTCCCGAGCGATGATCGTAAGAATCGGGCCCTCATCAAAGTTGGGCAATCATCATGGAGTCAAGCCGTGAGCTTTGACGCCATTGGCGCAGACGTCAACGTCAAATTACCTGCAGAAAGCGGACGAAGCGAGATGCATTGTGGACTCAGCGTCATCGAAGGAGAAGGAAAGTACAAGCTCTCGAAGGTGGTTACCATCGCGCCAAGGTTTGTTGTCAAGAACCGGCTCTCAGAAGAGATTCAAATTCGAGAACCTGGATCATCCGATGCTGTTAGCTTGCACCCTGGTGAACTCTATCCTCTTCGCTTCTTGAAGCAGACGACCGGCCAGCAGCTCAGTCTCTGCTTCCCCGGTGTCAACAATTCATGGTCGTCACCGTTTGACATTGCCAATGTCGGAAGTGTTCACGTCAAGCTTGCCAAAGCTGGTGAGCGACAAAAGCTCATTCGTGTCGAAGTGTTGATGGAGAATGCCACAATTTTCCTTCATTTGAGCCTGGAGAACAAGCACTGGCCATTCTCGATGCGCAATGAGAGTGATCAGGAGTTCCTTTTCTGGCAGGCAAACCCGAATGTTGATGAGGACGAAGAGGATCGTAGCTCTGGCTGGAAGCCAATCCGCTACCGATTGCCGCCACGCAGCATCATGCCATACGCATGGGATTATCCAGCCGCGAAGAACAAGAATCTCATCATCAATGCTAATGGCAAAGAGCGTCACATTAAGCTTGCCGAGATCGGAAACTTGATTCCAATGCGACTTCCCGCTGGCCAACAACAGCAGCGGCAGAAAATCATCGATCTGAACGTTGTCGCTCAGGGACCAACTCAAACGCTTGTCGTTTCAAACTACAAGCCCCAGACAAGTCTGTACAAGCAGAAGTCGGCGTCTGCAAGCGCATCGACAACGACTGGCTTTGAGGTCAAAGAACAAGATGCTGATGTGACAATGAGGGCGACACTGCGACTAGCAGGCATAGGTCTGTCGCTTATCAATCGACAGCTGCGTGAGCTCGTTTACGCCACATGGCGTGACATCGAGCTCAAGTACACAGATTCGCCCCTGTACCAGACTTTTGCGTTGACCATCAAGTGGATCCAAGTTGATAACCAGCTTTACGGTGGCATCTTTCCCCTGATCATATACCCTAGTGTCGTACCCAAGACTGGCAAGGAAATGGAGGCGCACCCGATCTTCCGAACTACATTGACTAGAGTCAAGGACGATTCTTACGGAGTGCTCTATATCAAATACTTCACTTTCCTGATGCAGCAAATGACGATCGAGATCGACGAAGACTTCATATTTGCCGTGCTTGATTTTACCAAAGTACCTGGAGCCTCTTGGACAGAAGAAAAGGAAGGAAGCCTTGTGCCAGAGAATCTCGACGTCCCTGAGCCCCAAAATGAACAATCCGGTCAGGACATCTACTTTGAACTGCTTCATTTGCAGCCGATGCAGTTCGATCTCTCATTCGTACGCACGGAACGGATCAACGCAGACGATACCGGCAGCTCGTCGTCGAACCCCCTCCTCTTCGTCGTCAACGTCTTGACCATGTCCATCGGAAACGTGAACGATGCACCCATTCGCTACAATGCATTGATGCTCGAAAATGCCCGCCTGTCGACAGGCGCTCTGATCAGCAACATCAGGAGCCATTACGTGCAAGAGTCCCTGCGACAGGTGCATGTAGTGATTGGATCCGCAGATTTCCTCGGCAATCCTGTCGGCTTGTTCAACAACATCAGCTCAGGTGTTGCCGACATCTTTTACGAACCGTACCAAGGTTTGGTCACGGACCGCCCACAGGATCTCGGCATTGGTATTGCAAAGGGAGCAAGCAGCTTCGTCAAGAAGAGTGTATTTGGACTGTCTGACAGTGTGTCCAAATTCACCGGAAGCATCAGCAAAGGCTTGGCTGCTGCTAGCATGGACAAGGAGTTCCAGGATTCTCGACGCATGTCTCGTGCCCGCAACCGGCCGAAGCACGCTCTCTATGGTATCACTTCTGGTGGTAATGCATTTGCCAGCAGCCTTGCAAGTGGTATCGGTGGGCTCGCGCGCCAGCCCATGCAAGGGGCGGAAAGAGAAGGCGCTGCTGGCTTCGTCAAAGGCGTGGGCAAAGGCTTGCTCGGACTGGCGACAAAGCCTGCTATTGGCGCCTTTGATCTCGCCTCGAGCGTTGCTGAAGGCGTTCGCAACACGACAACAGTCTTCGACCAAGATGGCCTGGACCGTGTGCGACTTGCCCGCTTCATTGGCATAGACGGGATCGTTCGTCCATACAGTCAACGTGAAGCCCTGGGCCAATTCTGGTTGAAGACCCTCGATAATGGAAAGTTCTTCAACGAGCATTACATCGCCCACCTTGAGCTCAACTCGGGCTCTCAGAGCACACAGCGACAGCAGGCGCAATCTGGTCGGCCGAGCCAACAGACTGAGGCATCAATGCTGATCATGATCACATACAACTCCATCATGCTGGTCCGCGCGAAGAAGCTGGTGAGCGAATGGGAGGTTCCTCTCAAGGACATCCAGACCATCAGCAAGGAGCGTACGGGAATGAGTATCATCTTGAAAGGCGGGACCAATGGACCTTTCATTCCAATTGCGGACGAGACCAGCCGCAATTGGCTGTACAAACAGGTCGCAATCGCCGTGAATGCGTATAACGACAGATGGAATGCGAAGGGTTAAGTGGTAGAGGAAGATTATTCATAGATACCTAGTCTCACATATTTTTACAAGGCGCCTTTGATCCCTGGGATGAAGCAATTTCATATGCGCGACAATCGGTACATTGAGGTCGACCTTTATGTACAGACGACAAATGCGAAGTCTTAACATCTAATTTACTTCATCAATTACTGCTAGTTCGCACATTCTTGACAGTCTCCGCCAAGCTCTCTCTGATATTTGGGTCAAAGTGTAGCCGCAAGAGCTCCGTCTCCCATATAGTGCTTGCAAATGGATTGCTGCTTTCAATCTCTTGGCTCCTTGCATCAAAGACTCCATCACCTTTGCGTTCTTCAGTATGCCAGAGTGCCGCGACTTTGGCGCCTTGCGACTTGGTGACTTGCTTGATGAGCTCCAAGATCGCAGTTGCGCTCTTCTGCGGCACATGCAAGGCCAATGTGTGTAGCTGTTTGAGGAAGGCCGCCAGACGTACCGGCGGGACGAACTTGGTGCCGGAAGCTGGCTGCAGCACTGATTGCAAAGAGCGCAGGAGCAGGACAGCGGTGGTGGAAACATTGACCTTTGTGTCCCGAGCGGTTGGCACGACCAGACCGTTCGGATCTGCCAAATGTGCTACCCTGGCACTGAGTTCAAGCTCAGTGTCGACCGCCAGAGGGATCAATGTGCGATAGAGATGCGAGATGAAGAATGAGAGGTCGAGGGACAAGGAATTGGCAGATTTGATTACATCTTGCTGCCCGTTCAGTAATGCAAAGGCGGTGATGATGCAAAGAAGAGACTCTCGCGTGGCGTTGCGCTGCACGGTATCTTTCTCATCATCCTCGAAATCCTCTTCGTTGAAACTCTCTTGTAATGACTCTGCCTCGTTGATCAAGTCTTTGAGCGCTTCCAGGATATCGCCAAAAAAGTCCTGGTTGATCAGATGGCTGTAGCGAGCTAGACCCTCCAGGACCGCCCCCATAAGATGCTGAACGCGGTCTTTGAGGATGCGGAAGTAGGCGATGAAGACAAGCTTGAGGGTCTCGGCCTGATTCTTGTCTCGGTCTTCATACGAGACTATTGCGTCGGCCTCTTTCATCTCCGTTGCGACCTGCTTCCGCTCACGGAGATTCTTTCTCTCTCGCTTCGTCCTGAATTCGCGCTTCTGCTTTCCTTTCTTGTCGACAGGCCGATCGTCGTCATCGTCTTTGTCGATGGACCTGGTGGAGGCCTTGTGGTTGAACTCAGTAAGCAGTCGTAGGTGCAAGAAAGTGTTCACCACACTCTCGTGGACAGCCCAATTCTTTGTCTTCATCGTCTTCGTGAGTTGGCTGACGGCTTCGAGAGATGAATGGCCATCCTCATCCTCCTGAAAAAGCTTCTCCAATGCATCGCGTGCTTTGATAAAGTCAGGGTCTAGTCTACGGCTTGACAACTTCAAAACAATGCTCTCCACTAGATCGTTTCGACAGTTGAAATGGGGGACACTTGTGAGCAGTGTACATATGCATGATATAGCCACACCCGCAAGGCTTGCATCCGTAGCCTGATCTTTTCCTGACCTTCCCCGATTTGCAGCTAGCTTTGACAGCGTGTTGACATAGTCCTTGTAACCTGCGAGCAATCCCTGTTCAAAACTGCGTAGTTTCCGGACATCCTTTGATACCTTGGCGTTGAGATCATCCTTGGAGAGAGGTCGTATCCTGTACCCGGGAATGATACTGATGTAGATGGCTGACTGTGCTGCCAACGCAATCTTCCGCACGGCAACCTCTTCAGAGTTTGATATCTCTGCTAGCGTACTCAACAACCCAATGTTTTCCTCCGGACTCTCATTGAGCAGTCCTGCTATCCGAGCCAAGTCTTCTTTTGCTTGTCGAATTTGTTCCTTTCGTGGTAGGACTGGTTTGCGCGCAATGGGTCGTTTAGGTTCGAGATCGGCGACTGCACTGTCGCCTTCATCGTCGCCGCTGGCTAAGAGACTATCATCGTCGCCTATCGCTTGTGTGTCTACATCCTCTTCTTCCATGCGCGGGTTGACAGTGATTTTTCCCTCTGAAGTCTTGACCATCAACTTCTCACGTTTGGTGTCCTTTTTCCGTGATCGCAGCCGCTGTTCGTAGTCCTGCTCGAGGTCCCATTTCGCAAAGCCCGGGACAGCACCATTCGTCTGGTGAGACGGACTGATTCTTCGTTTCTTTGCGACCGGCTCCGCCATCGTTGAGATCGTAAAAGAATTAAAAGAATCGAGATGATGCCATTCGCATATGCATTCAGAAAAAAAGTTGGAGCTAGCCCGCGCAGCTCTTGCGCGCGCCAAGATTTCGAAAGATCGGCGAAACTTGAACTTTTTTCTGTGGATGCGACTTCGTCCAGCCAATCTTGTAATATCCCAAACACACACGTCCAACAAATAATTTCAGCAACAATGCGCCCTCTAACAGATACCGAGACGAAGACTCTCTTCGAGAAGCTCGCTAACTACACCGGCCGTTCCCTGAACAATCTCCTCACCGACACGGCAACCACACCAAACTCAAAGATACCCGATCGATTCGTTTTCCGCATTCAGAAGGATCGCGTCTATTATGTCCGTGAATCGCTAGCAAACCTCGCCACGTCCGTCGCACGCGATAATCTGCTCTCATTGGGAACCTGCCTCGGGAAATTCACCAAGACAGGAAAATTCCGTCTGCACATCACCGCCTTGGAGGTGATTGCACCGCACGCGAGATACAAGGTCTGGGTGAAGGCCAATGGAGAAATGCCCTTTTTGTACGGAGGTCATGTAGTGAAAGCGCATGTTGGACGTTGGAGTGAGGATGCGCCGGAACATGCTGGAGTCATCGTCATGAGCATGAATGACACGCCATTGGTGAGAATTGTGATGATCTTTACATGAGTGTGGATGACGTGAAGGCTAACAAGGCGCAGGGATTCGGAGTCACTGCACGATCGACCGCTGAGGCTAGGAAACTCGATCCGACTGGTATCGTGACCTTCAGACAGGCAGATGTTGGCGAATATTTGCGAGAGGAAGACACCCTGTTTACGACCTGAGAACGTCTTGCGCAGGGCTCAGAAAGGCATCTGGTGAAACCTATTGGTGGACATGTTGTTGAACGAACATTGACATGTTCTCTGCCATGGGCAAATATTTGCATCGCAACGAGCATCCCGACGAGAGCCAGGGACAAAGCACGCACTCGCGCCGGGACTCATCGCGCAGGTTCATGTTTAGAAAACCACTTATCCTCAAAGCGCAACAAGAGGATTGGAAGTTGACGGATTAACGGACAGCGCGCAAAATAATCATACACAGACCAGAGGGCACGACTCCAATGATGGCATGCAGAACAAAGTCGCATCATGGCCAAATGGCAAAAAAGTTCTCTCATCGGGCACACGGACTCCAGGCCATGCGCCAATTCAACGCCGAAGATCATGGGACCGAGACGGCGAAAACGCGAGCCTGGCTGCAGAAAATCCCCACCCAAAAAGATCCAGCGCCACTTCTCTCGCCCAAACGCACAACAAAATCTCAATCCGTGTGCAAAACCTTCGAATTCGTCCTCAACGGCGCCGGCTTGGAAGTCTGTGCAGCAGCAGTCGTCGTCGTTGCACCACCATCACAATTTTCTGCAATTCTCGTCAGCAAGCCAAATTGGCAAGAAAACACCACCGTCTCTCTCGCGGAGGGTTCGCATTTGAATCTCTCTTACTTGTTCCCGCTTGGGTCATTTGACTCATGATACTCGGCTTCTTCTGCTCGGATGTCCGCGCGACTGTGCTTTTGGCTTCATGTTGTTGAGGCTCGGCGGTTTGATCGCTGCGGCTGGCCTGGGTGTTGGAGGAGGTTTGGACTTGTGGCGCATCAAGGCAGGTCATGACACAGGATGAATGCTGGAGAAGGCGTAATGGAGGTAGAAATTCCAAAGGCGAATGGCTTGTACTAAGTCGACAGCGTTCAGATATAGTATATTCCAAAAGTTCTGAATGAATCGAAAGGGTCCCAACCTGTCCCTCGTGCCGAAGTTCTCACATGACAGCGCAGAAGCCTAGCGCGCGTCGCGGGAGCGGTCCCACTCTTTTGACCCATTGAGATGAATTGCTTGGGTGAATGACGTTGGTTTTTTCGGTAGAAAGGGACTTTTTCGGCGTCGGCTGAAACGTGGGATCTCTGATCACAGCCAAGACCCATCTGAGACTTGGAATCGAAACGATAACGGGTCTGAAACTGCTCTCCGACAGGACGAAGCAGCTACATGTCCTAACCATAGCACGATTTGACTAGTCAAGATACATCATCTCATCAACTTTTCCGTAATGCCGCTTTACTGCTATCAATAATACACAGAGGAACGTCAGTCACTTCACGGCCATGACCGAGAGACGGACATCTCGTTGTTTGAAGCCACGGACTTATGCAAAGATTGGGGCATTGACGCCGTACTATTGGTTTGTCAGCCATCCACGCTCATCGTACAATTGTGTCAGCTCGTGGGACGGAACTTACGTTGAGCGGGTTGTTGAAGCGCAGACCTTGGTCGAGAGAAGAGATCTGCTTGATCTCATCTTCGGAAAGATCGAAGCTGCAGACATCCAAGTTCTGTGCAAGACGGCCCTGGTTGTTGCTCTTGGGAATGACGGCCACTCCGCGCTGTGTCGCCCACCGAAGGAGGACCTGTGCGGGAGTCTTGTTGTGCTTCTCGGAAATGCTCTTAATGGTCGAGTGGTCGAAAAGGAGGGGTGTGTCCTTGGCCTTTTGCATGTCGAGCTCGAGGAAGGATTGAGGGCCGAACGATGAGTAGGCGGTCACGGCGATGTTGCGGTCCTTGCAGAGGGCCAGCAGATCCTCCTGTACGAGGTAAGGGTGGTGCTCGATCTGCAGAGTTTGAGGGATGTGTTTGGCGTATCGCTCAACATCAAGCAGGAGGGCACCGTTGTAGTTGCTGATTCCAATGGCTTTGATGAGACCCTCCTCGTACAGCTCTTCCATGGCCGCATATGTCTCGCTCAGGGGCGCCTTGCTGAAGGTGAGCTTGTCGTTCTCATCGAAGAAGCCTGGCGGGTAGCGGACAGAAGGGTCGACGTATTTGAGGGCGATCGGGAAGTGAATGATGAAGAGATCGAAGTAGTCGAGGCCCCAATCCGCGAGCTGCTTCTTGGCGATTGGCTTAACGCGCTCCTTGTCGTGGAAGCTGTTCCACAACTTGGAGACAATGAACAGATCCTCTCGCTTGACGAGGCCTTCATCAATGGCGCGCTTCACACCCTGGCCAGCTTCCGTCTCGTTGCCGTAATCGCAAGCTCCATCAAATAGACGGTAGCCAGTCTTGATCGCGTTGTAGACCTGGTCAGCGCACGTCTCGTTGGTGACTTTCCAGAGACCGAAGCCAACAAGCGGCATCTGTTGGAATTGCGCAAGTCAGCTTAGTCGACAGTGCCATGTCCGGAGAACAGTCCAAACGAACCTGCTTGCCGTTGTTCAGCTTGATTGACGGAGCAGCCATTGTGCCGAACTTGCTGAGAAGAGAAAAGTGTGGTTGGTGTTTCGGACGAGTCAAGGTATATCGATGGGTGTTGAATGGTGTAGTCGTATGGGTTGAGTATGAAGACGAGGGAGGAGGAATCGAGTAGGAGGAGAGACGCGTGGCGATGGGTCTTTTATTTGTTGATCAAAAGATTGTCAGTGTATTTTGCCGGAAAGAGAGCGAGCCACAGTGACATGCTCTCGGACATGTACGAGTAATAATAATAATGATACCTAGTAATGGTAATAACAGGATCCGCATCAGTTTTACCGTCTAGTGAGCGTTACGAGGAGATTCCCTTGCATAGCCGCCTGCAGCATGATGTTGCCTCTTCGACTTCACCCGGAAAAAATCGTATGGAGCTCGAATATGATGTAATAGGCGGCGGACGCGTTTCCAGGTCCGAGTGGCAGAGAAATTCCAATCTCTTTCGTCCGTCAGTTCATCCAGGCCTCTTTCTATCGTTCAATTGATAGGAAAACGCTTTGGATTCTCTGGGGCAACTCCTCATGAATGGATATGCTAGTAGGTGGTGTTGTGGTGTCTCTTCTACATGGATCACCACGATAAAACACCAACATACCTAGGTACCTAGATGGAAAATCATTCAGGCCGACCCATTGAATCGTGACTTCCGTTAAGGGACAACTACAGTGAAGAAGGCATGTCCGTCCGTTTCGTATCAATCTTTCCTAAAGGAGGCGAGCTCCACTGATAAATAGTAAAGAGACACTCAGTACCGTGAGGCCATTCATCCACCGTGTACCGCGTCACTCCCTCTCTTTCTCTCTCTACCGTGGAGGAAAAACATCAATGTGAACGGAGAAATGTCCCGACGACTTCAGAGGAGCAACGTCACACGGAAGGCGGGGTGGCTGTCGGTATGCCTTGTTGCGTAGGAATTCACCACCCTGCATTCTTCTTTCCTGCACGTCCCAATGCAACCACACACGACTCATCACGCGGCTGTAGCGGAATCAACCATCCATCGAAGACTCCTACCGAATTAGTCTTGTCATCACGGAGAGAAAAAGGAAAACGCTTATTATCTCGTCTCGTCGAAACCGAATGTCACCGTCGTGGCGAGCTAGGGTTGACGTTGCGAATGCCTCCGCTGTGTGTGTGTGGCCTTTAGGCTAAATTGTCCCATCGCCGCCCTTGATAGAAGGGGTCCACATAATTATCCAAAAGGGTTCATGACTCGGTGTGGCTGTTGGGTTCTCTCGTTACAGTATTAGATCACGAGGCATTAATTCGTGCAGGTGTGGAATCACAAAGAGACGTTTTCTTGTTCTTCACTTTTTGTTTTCGCATTCAAGCTCTAGCGGTTGTTCCAGAACGGTACCAATCTGGCCATGAGGTCCCGCAGGCCAATCTCGAGTTTATTGCACAACAACCCCTACCCAGGGACTTACCCAGGTAGAACAGTCTTGGAGCGCACTGTTCCCGTTCCCACATCGCAAAGCAGTAAACGCGCTTCGTATAGAACTGGAACCGCCAGATTTTGTAGTGTACAAAACACGCGAGCTCTTCCTTTCTCTAGTTCTGGGATCGTGTGTAGGATGATCGAGTCGACATGGGAGAGAAAACGCGGTTGCAACAAGGAGCGACAGAAAGATAGCTCGATCGGAGCGTCCAGTGGAGACGTCATGTCTCTTGAAACCTCGACAAAACCGTGTCCGGGATTTTGGTGATGAATTGCATTGCGCCAAACGCCGAAATGTGCCCTCCGCGAGTATTGTTTCCCACCTCCATCCGCCTGATGGAAAATCTCGAGACGGAGAAGCCAGATGATGAGTGATTTACGAAGCGAAGCGCTTGGTGAATTTCGCGATGACTGTTCGTGTGTATCAGCAAGGCGTTCTGCTCACAATGCATCTCCGAACGTAGCCAGGCTTACTGTGCAGCGCGACAACGCTGATGATGAACCCGATGGACAAGACCATGACCACGAACGGGTCGACCTTGAGGCCAGGCGATTCGTCGGTGTAAAGTCCTATTGCAATCCGTATCAGCCCAAAAGATCCCCCCTCTCTTTCCCACGCGGGAATCGGGCATGCTGCTGCTGCTGCTGCCAAAAATCCAGCCGCAGACTGCCCAATGTGTGCTCCCAGAAAAAGAACGTACTCAACATTGTGCTGCTGCTACCACCGGCGCCGGCAGCTCGTGTGCTCGTTGGGCGCGCATTGGCGGCCTTGTCTGCTCGGTCGGCGGCCGCCTTTCTTCGGATTGCGGTTGCGGGTCCTCCGGGTGCTTTGGGAGATGCAGCTCGTGCGGTCGTCGAGCCCGTTGACGGGGAGACTGGGGAGGTAGGTCGTGGAGCGGACTAGTCATGTAGGTATCAGCGATAACATTCGGAGGTTTGAACCATGTAGCTGGTGGGTTCAATGCGCGCATTCGGGAGCATCGCGATGCGGCTTCAAATGCTTTCGAGTATCGCGGTGACGGGAGCACAGGCGCTTGTGCGAAAGACGGGACTGACCATTGTGTGAGTGATGCGCGACGAAGAGGATGGGAGCAAGATGTCGTGGATGGTGCGACGGTGATGTAAATGGTGTCGTCGTGATAGTGTTCTCTCGTATGTGGAATAATGAAGCCAATGCGAATCTTCTAGTGTCGCTATCGAACAGACAAGGTGTCCAAACATGCTGCGAGAGACCCTAACGTTGCACGAGGCTCACGTCACGCACGTGCCTACGCCCTGGAAATTTCGCGCTTCTCTCCAGCTGCCTCCACTTCATCATCTGTCGACATGTCTCCCTGCTTCAGAAGTGCGTGCGGTGTCTGACCCATGCCAGGGAATGCTTCATCGCATCGTATTTTCGGGGTCAACATAGCTGGCGAGGTCGAGCATCGCCACTGCTGATTCGATATTGGCTCCGATCGAGATCCCGGCACGTCACAGTCTGCATTGCCAGCGCTTTTGAACCCATATGTACCTAGGTATGAAAATCTGTCCGAATTGAAATCGACAGAGCAAAGGATAATAGATTGTGCTCCGAGCCATTCCCGTTCCGTCCCATTTCCCATTCGCAAAATAGAGTATTAAAGTAGTGCAGTGTTGCCACTGAAGACAAGAAGACCGACGACGACGAACAAGACCGATTCCCTGCCCCGAACCCCGTATCCCAAGTAGTAAGAAAGTCTCCTGGCTCCCAAATGGTCGTTGCAATGTACTCTCTCTTTTTTGCTCTCCTCCTTCGTGGTATGTGTGAATTGCGCTCCCAAAGATGCAAAAAACTAAAAGGAAAATCTCCCCGCAGCGACCACAACATGAGTCGAATCCCAGAAAGAAGCAGCGCCAGCATTGAAGGGAAATCGACAAAAGGCCTGCGACTCCCGAAAACCCAAGAGAACCTTGTGCGACCACCCGTTGAGAGATGACCTTCGATCTTTTTCGCCCCATGCTCCGATTGCCACCGATGGCAAAGAAAAGCAAACCTGCGCCAAAGAGGGACGATGGAAGTGACAAGAATCTGCCTGCGGCGCAATAACAAACCCAAGACCCAAGACACCGGGAAGCGACCACAATGCCCCTGTTTAGATGCTCCACCCTGCAGATAATGATCAGAAACAAAACAGACTCCTCCCTTCGCTGGAAAAAAAACAAATCCGAGGCTTTCCCGATGAGCCCTTTCTTTTATCCCTTTTTGCAAATACTCCCCTAATCTATATACGAAATGGTTGTTTGGTCAAATAGTCGCTGTTAGACGTTTTGGACTCTCGATGCTTGTACCGGATGGACCAGGTGCTCAGCCCCAAACGGATGGCTGGACTGCGAGGGTGTTCTTGGTTGAGCCCCAGACGGCGCTGTTACTGCCCCAGGAGCCGAGGCCGCTGACAGTCTTGTCAGAGTGGCCCGGGTTGGATGCAGACGAAGCAGAGCGTTCGTCTTTCCCGTTAGCCCCGTGCTGTGAGCCACTGGCATTGAAACCGTAGCTCAACGAAGAAGGCGTCAACGGGGTGGTAGAGCGCTTGCCATGAGGGCCTGCACCTTGGACTGGTCGAGTGCCGATTGGTGCGACGCCAGAGAGAGCAGAGAGACCACCCTTCTGCTGTCCCTGGACCAGTGGTGGCGATCCGGCTGGAGACGAGCTGGAGGTGCGGTTGTTCTGCTGGGGGTCATTCAACAAGGCGAAGGACTGCTGAGGCGGCGCGCCAGAGACGGGCGAGGTGGTGTTCTCAGTGCGATCACGAGACGGCATCTGAACGGCACCATCCTTGTTTCCGTGGCCAAGACTGAATGCATCGAATGCAAGCGGAGAGGGTCCACGGCCGGCAGGACTTCTCGCGTCCTGGCTTGGAGCTCGGCTTCCGTCGGTGTTGTACATGCTCGAGTTGTCGCCGTATAATGCGCGATGCTGGCGCGCGATCAATTCACGGCGGTCTTCCTCGCTCATCGTAGTCGGGCTCAGAGCTCGATCAGTTTTGACACCAGTGACAGCTGTTGGTCATTAGAACATGCGCAATCCATCGATCCAATGTTCGAACTTACTCCGATTGTACTGCTGCTCTTGATGGTAGTTGCGCAGCTCGCGTTCCCGCTGAGCAGCCATTCTCCGCTTTGCTTGCAGCACCTGCTCCGCTTCACTTTGTCTCCCGCCTGGGAAACGTTGTCCGGCATAGAAATTCTGTAGACCAGCAGAGCCCGGTCGTCCGGCTTCTATCTCGGTGACGGACTGGTGCCTCTGTGGGCCGGTCGCTCGCTGCTCAGCGCCGAAGTCGTGTCCACGGCCGACCACGGGCATACTCTCTCTCCGTGCCGAGGAGGCTGCGCTGGCAGAGCTGGCTTGCGTTGAGCCAGGGTACCACTTGCCGCTCTTCATCAGGTTGTCCGTCGCACGTGCGATCTCTTCAAACTGCAGCGCAAATGCCGTCGAGTCCACATGGATAGGCGCGGTTGAAGTCGAAGTCGATCGGGACGGCGGTTGCGACGATTGTTGGTGTTCCCACGATGGTTGGCGAGCTGGGGCAGACCAGGTGTTGTCACTGTCGTAGAAAGACATGATCGCTGGGAAATGTGTGCTGTGGATTCGCTGTGCGTCGCGTTAGGACCCACTCTCCCAAATGCGCAATGATGACCAGAGCACAAATCCACGAATGTTGAACGTCGCAATACTACGCGTCCACTGAGCAGGCGAGCACGAGCACGATGGCGTCAAGGACGAAGAGCAAATGCGCCGGGAGCGGTGTTGGTCGACATGCCGAAGGTCCCAATATAGTGGATATGCGGTGCAGGTGAAGGAGGGGATGGAACGCGACCAAGCGGGAAAGACGTACCTGAACGTCGGAAAACAAAAATTTGGGGCCTCCACCTCAGAAGAGATAATTTTCGGCGCAAAGACGAGCCAGCGTGTTCAGTTGATGTAGATGGTGATGCGACCGTGATGAAGGATCGATATCTTATGAGAAGAGGTCACAGAGATGATGAGAGGGAGCATCTGCAAGACGAAACCACATCGGAAACCTTCGTGCTGGACTGGACACACATAGGAGGAGGACTGAATGGCCGCTGCGGTGGTGGTGGTGGACAATCTCCGCACACTTCGGCACTAAAAAATCTACAAATGGCATCGTCTCTTTTATTATTACTGCTCGCGCGCTGCTCATTTCCAGTAGTCCAGCACATACATTCAAGGATAGTACATGTAGAGCAGATCTCTCCGCCTGAACGTCCGCCATTGAACGTGTCGAGGTTTCTAAGATGCCTGCACATATACTACAATCAACGGGAGGAATGCACCTCCATCCTTACGATTGTGGAGGATTTCGCGCATTCTCTGCTGGATAGATACTGTAACATTGGGCTGACAGGTGACAAGGCACTACTGTGCGTGATACAGTGCTACTGTACCTAGAGAAGGGAGATCGGAACTATTCGTGGCAGCCTGAGGTGAGGCGGGGACATGAGGACTCACTCAATGGACAAGAAACATTTGATGCCATTGCCTTCAAAGGTTGCCATCCAAGGTTGAGGTACATACGGTTCACGACATGTTCCCGCCGGCGTTGATGAATTGGAGACGAAGCCATGATTTATCATCATGTCTTCTCTCTCCGCTTCCAATTCCTTGCAATCGCGTGCTTCACATCCCATCTTTCATTCTGACTCCCTTCTGGAGCGCTACATACCGGACTACATACATAAGTACCGCAAAACGGTGGTACACGATTCGTCGGGAATAACGTGGTCGCGCGCGGTGCACTGGACGAACGCGGCATGCTTGCTTCTTAAGTTCCAAGTCTTTAGTGCGGTCGGCCGTGATAGGGACCAAGATCAGAAGATGGACCAGACGAGCGGAGACGGCGCGCAAGAGGGCTCGTTCCACCTCCAAACCAGCCAGTCCCGCCCAAACGGGCACGTTTCTGTTGGTCCCCTGCTTGATCCAAGATGAGATGAATGTTCGATACGCTACAATCTATCTGCCATGATGATCCTCATTCCTGACTGGTAAATTTCACACACGGGAGCCATCATTCCTGTGAGGCTTTCATCCTGCTGTAGAGTTCATGCTCTCCTTATCATCATGTTTTCATGGAGATGATAGCTGCCATCACGAGAAATGAATGTCATCCAAGGTTGCTTGACAGATAATTGCACGATCTACAATGCAGATCGCATGCCGAGTCCCTGGGTGCAGGTGCAAAGCGTATACAGTATGCACGGCGCAAATGGCAAACATTCCCGACTCGAGCGGAATGTTCCAACGGCGGACCTGGGAAATTCTATTGCTCCTTCATCCCAGGGAATGTTGTTGAAATAAACCTCGAGAACCCTGGAAATCTGCACAGAACAAATCCTATAGGTAGCCTCGTAGCGACTGGGTGATAATATAATATAATCCATGTGCCCGTATCCAGCTCGACCCCTCGAGCGTTGTCCAGGTAAATTTGATTGGCCCTTCCCTGTCATAAGCGGGACAGCAACCCGCAATCACCGCGGCTCCTTCTCTCACAGCGCTTCTCTGCCCAGTCCCCTTATCACAAGGTTACCGTCGGCAGCACATTGGATCACATGTATCGGCTTCTAGTCAATAGGTCTGACTGGTCGCGTCGAGCGCAGTAGAAATCCGGCGACGCGCTTTCTTATGAGCCGAACCTGTCCCCTATGAATTCAGCTCCGTGTCTTCCTCAGCCTCGTTTCTCTGCTGAGCTTTGGCCGTGACGTCTTTGAGGCTCAAAAGGGAGTCCAACGTCATCTCATAGATGGACAGAAGATCGTCCATCGTAAGACGTGCATCTCCTTCACCTTGATCACCACGATCATTGGCGAGGGCCAACCCCATTGAAACGATGTTGCGGATCTGTCGGCCATTCATCTCGTTGCGCCGGCACAACTGCTTCTCGATTGAACTGTAAAGTTTCGACCGAGTGCCCGCGATCTTCCTATCGCTGACTTTGTCAAGCAAATTCTTGTAAATTTTCACCTTCTGGGGTGGGGTTAAGCGCTTGTACTGAATCGTGAAGTGCATGCGCGATTGCACTGCGATGTCAATTGATCGGATCCGGTTCGTGGTCAAGAAGATAATGCCTTCGTAATACTCTAAGCAGCGGAGTAGTACCGAAACAAGCATGTTCCGGTTCGGATTGTCGGTGTGCACGCGTTCCTCAAGGAATACATCGGCTTCATCGATGAGTAGAATCGCACCCCAGCGTGCTGCTATCGCAAAAGTGGCTTTCAGCCGGCCTTCTGCTTCAGCCGCCTCGGACCCGATATCGGCTACAGAGACAGCGAGCAATGGTCGCTCTGTCGCGAGCGCGATCGTCTCAGCCGTGAGGGTCTTGCCAACGCCAGGTGGTCCATGGAGTAAGATCGCAAGGCCCTTGCCTTTCCCCTCAATGACATCGAGGGATCCGGGAACACCATCTTGTGTTTTCTCAAAAACACCGTGTCGATTAGATCGTGATGAGTCATGGTTGTTGACACATGCAAGGAGAATGTCCTTGAAATTTTGACCGAGTTGGAGCTGGTCACGGAAGAAATCTTTGCCTTCGCCATCCTGATTCTTGCCTCCCTTGCAAAGTTTGAGTTTGAATTGCGCCCAAACTTTCTCTTTGAGAATGTAGCCGAGCACGCGCGGCGGACACATGGCGAGTCGATTTTCGTCCTTCCGAAACTCCTCAAACAGCTTACGTGGAGATGTAGATGAACAAAGCCAATTCCAATACCAATGAAGTGTAGTCTGGTTTAAACATGCACGACTGAGAGGCCATTAGTATCATCACAGAATCAACGAGCTTAATGCAACAAGTCAATGCACTTACCATGTGCATTCGGAGTCATCGAAATAGGTCGCGGCTATGGTACCGAGAGGCGGTGTAATCTCGTCCAAGATGCGCAAAAACGAATGTGCATCGACAATGATCTGACCGTGATAGTCTTTGCGGCTGGGCTCATTCGTATAAGTTTTCTCCGATCCCGAGACGGTGGACCTGGCGTCGTCACCGTCGTCGGTATCTCGCTTTGACAGCATTGGTGAAAATCCGATTTTACTAGCAGCGCTGGCGAGAACGCCACCGCTGTATTGGAATTGGAAACCTCGAGCCTCATGATTGTAGATGCTCCAGAAAGACTCGCCGCGCTTCACCAGCCCGGCACGCGCTTCCTCGTGATTCTTGTGATATGAGATAGGGTAAACCTCGAGCATGTCCACGGCCTCGTCCGTTTGCTCACCGGTGTCCTTTTTCTTCTTCAGCGTGAAAGTGTATTGGACTGGTTCGAAACTAGACCCGTTCCAGTCGAGTCCGAGGCAAATGACTTCGAACTCTTTTTCTGTCCAGACAGAATCGCCTAATTTAGGCAAGTCGCATGTAAAGACCTCCAGCATCTGGATCTCGTCCATGAAGGTTTTTGCAAAGACCTTCGTTCCGGGGCAGAACAGTGTCCACAACCAGCAGAAGGGTAATCTTCCGGTCAGGGCAAGCGTTTCTCGAGCTTTGAGATACGGTTCCAGCCGAGACCTTTTGAGCATGGCCATGAGCTTTTCAAGGTCTTGCCTTGCGTGACTTGTCTCCTCACTATCACCAGGTTGTGTTTTGCACGCATTCGAGAATTTCATCCAGTGCCACGCAAATTGCGTGAAGGGCTCCGTAAGAATCAAAGGAGACTTTAAATCAGTAACTCTTTCGTCATTGCTCACGGTATCAGTGGCAATGTCGCGGTAGATTTTTTTCAGCGCCGGTGAATCAATCACGATCTGTTCATGAGAGAGGCGCTTGGGGTTGTCGCTCTTCATGACACGTCGAAAGATTGTGGAAACGACCGACGGCTCTTCGGCGGTCAACTTGTCGTCCTCGATCTCGTAGGCAACGATCTGGTCTATATCGATGTCCTTGTCCTCGTACTCGAATTCGTACTCGTCCTCGTACTGTTTGAATTTAGAATTTGTTCATTAAGACCTATAAAACTTCCGGAAATTCTCACCTTTCGTTCTACCAATCGAACTCGGGCAGGAGGGCTTGATTTCTCCTTCTCGGCCTCCTAGAAATGGTCATTGCAATGCTCGTGTATGCCACTTCGCAACACACTCACATCCTTCTTGTTCTCTTCGCCTGAATTCTCACTTTTCTCACCGTGGTCACCTTTGTCATCCTTGTCGTCAGAAGGCGCTTCGCTCGAACCGCCCCTTTTGTCGTCATTCGCCAGCTTCTCTGAAGGCACATCCGCCGCTGACGTGCTGTTCGTCATACATGAGTTTCGACACTTTTGCGGGCGCCAGATGGTTACTCACAGGTCTTCTTTATCAGAACTTTCTCCTTGTGCTCTGGATGTAGTGACGTTGGTACTGTCGCCATTTGTATTTGCCTAAGGTCGATAAGTAAGACATCGAACAGAACGACGATCACCTGTAAGAGTATGGTCATACTTTGCTGCGCTCCTTATCAAGTTCGGATTGGAGCTGAGAGCAGCGTAGCTCAAGTAGGCGCATGTACTGCTGCTCGATGGAGTCTTTGGACTTTTCCAGAACGGTCTTCGATTGTCAGCCCATCCGTCCTGTTGAGACGTACGCAGGAGCACTCGGTGGATAAGAAGCGACAGACCTCGGACGACATCTCTGAAGCCATACTGGCGTGGATGCACCTATTGAAAGCTGCAGCTTTCAATATTCACGTGAACAGCTATTTGTTCGCGGAGTGAGACGCTAGATCGTAGATTGGTACAATGTGACGCAATCAAAGTGAGAGAATATGTTCGATGAACGAGTTATTGCTCGTGTCAGGGGTTTGGCGGCTATATAAATGCATTTATCGCCAATCGCAAAACCACCGGCCTCTTTAACCATTGTAGCATACTATGATTGGATCCACAGACGTGACCGATCTCATTCGCGCACAAATCGTTGTCCGATCATGGTCGAATGATCCTAGTCAGGATGGTTGCATGCTTGAGGTGCGGATTGAACCGTGAATCTGCAGTATCAAAAGCAAATATGGACTTAATCTACATCTCCACATTCACCGGTCGCATGCAGAGAACCGTGGCTGCGTGGCGTTGCAAGGTTTCATTGGCAGACTTGACGACAAAACCCTAAGATACGTCGGAGTGTGATGGCCGCAAGATACAACACCCTGATCATCAGATTAATGCCCGTTTTACACTTGCAACGGAAAGCGATTGCATTGCGGCCGTGTACTGTTTCCGGACGCAGAGAAAGCTCGTGAAATGTGAGCCACAGCTACAAGATGACGAAGTGGCAGGCAAAGAGTGTCTCTGACCACGCCCAGGTCCGGCCAGAACGCAAGGTACCTTCGTCTTTTCCTTATCTGGCTCCCCAATGTGGCAGCAAAGGCTGGACAGTTCGAGACTAGACATGTTTGCGGAACCACTAGATGGTCATGGTTGCGCAAAACTCCTTGCCTGTTGGTGGAGAGGAGACAGTGACCAAGCACGATAAGCGAGAGCGATGTGGTGCTCGGTCTATCAAGTGAAGCCAGACCATCGATGTGTGTATGGTGTGATGAGAATTGAGTGGGCTGCAAGTCCCCAGAGGTGTAGCTTGTGTGGCGACTTGCTGGCGCTCTGTCGCCCCCCCTTTACGCCGGTAGACTCATGGCACCAGGTGGTCGTGCGACAAGGTGCCATTGACGGCTTTGATAGAGAAATATCCGCACATTTGTGGCGGGCGGCGGAAAGGGCTGAGGTGATACAAGACTCCTCGTTCTCTCATGCTGTGCCATGACTCCAATGCCAAACCGCATCACCGCTAGCAAGCGAAAGCGAGGGATATTGCGAGCACCGTCCAGGAATCAGCAAATTCAGGTGTCTAAAATTTGAAATTGCGTGACTCGAAGCCGAATTCTCACCCGACCCACGAGCTGTACCGCCGGCTTGACGGTTCGGAGCTGCTTGACAGCACCGAACACCATACGCTGGCATAGCGACGTCTGACAAAATGGCGCGGACTTGGTTCAATGATAGAAACGCCGCAGAGAGGTGACACACTTTTCACTGTCGTCTTGCTCAACTTCAGAGTAGCTGACTCCGCATCAGTGCTTTTACTGAAACGCAGGCCTTGTTGGCAGACAAGGAGACATGGACTCTATCCGTGATTGAAGCATCCAGAGGCGATGATTTCGCGATGACACAAAGGGGCGCTGTCTCTACACTCTATCAATGCACCGAGCAAGATATTCGATCTCAGATCACGGCCTTCCGCGATGATCATGGGTCCGAACTCGATCGAAATGCCCAATACGATTCGTTGAGCCTTGAAGTGCGAGCCTCAATGAAATTGGCGGGAATTTCAAAGAAGGTCTGGATAGAGAATCGCAGCGACTGGTCGAAGCATAAATCCGGAGCCGTGCTTCAGAAGAGTATCACAATATTTGCAAGTTTTCTCGAAAACTTCTCGGGAATAGCCACGATCGCCAAGGCCGCAGATCAGCAGTATGGTGGCATCGCCTTTGGCACAATCTCTTTACTGCTCAGTGTGGTCGTGCACAAAGCGCAACGGGAGCAGACGCTTGAAGACGCTTTCGAAGAGATTAGTTCCAACTTACCTCGCCTCGACACTTTGACCAGACTCCGTAGAGAGGAGTCGGATCCGGAACAGACGCGGCATTTCCAGAAGCTCATGGAACTCATCGCATCGACGTTCTTTCATATTGTCCAATTCGCACGTCAGGCGACAGAATATTATGGCTCAGTCAAGCAGAGGTGGAAGGACACACTCCGGTCTGAGCCGACCAAGAACAAAACGATCGAGAAGATTCGTAAGAATCTGCAGGAAATCCGATGGGTGTGTGATATGTTGATGATTCTGAAAATGGACGCTCTGCAACGCAATCTTAGTGATATGCGCACCGACGTGGGTAGCATGCGCATCGACGTGAGTGGCACGTACAAGGAGGCCATCACGTCAAGCGATCGCATACTGAAGGCCCAATCATCTTGGAATGCCGCTCACTTGACGGAGCTTCGACGCCTGTTGAACGTTCCTGCGCACGGAGACCACACCAATCTCGAACACTACAAAAAGATCTTGTTGCAGATCCTCTTTGATGGTTCCCCTTCGACAGGTACTCGGCATGTGAGACCCAAGGAGATTACCATGGATCTCCTGAGGCAAGACTCAGACTTCAACGAATGGTGGCAAAGCAAGAAGTCATGCATGTTCCTCGCCGGAGGCTCGAACTTCGAAGAGAAAAGTGGCTCAGTGGATTTGAATTGGATTTCTTTGGCAGCAGTCCTGGTAGTCGAAGCAGCTCGCAAGCACAACCCCAAGACTGCAGTGTATCTTGCCCAGACTAGCTTCACCGTTACGAAGCGAAAACGCAGTGCCAATTGGGCGATCCTCGCGAACATAATTTACCAGCTCGCAGAAATGCATGAAGATCTGCTTCGCAGCAAGCTTGACACGATCCAATCAGCGGTTCTCGACGCTGCTTGGAGATCGAGCAATGCCGAAACCTTCATGAATCATGTGCATCCTCTGCTGGTGGACATCTTGAAAGCTTTCTCGACCGACGACGAGATCATCATCGTAATCGATCGTCTTGACAAGTCACAGTGTGCGTGGGAAGACGACGACGAATGCGACAGCCACACGAATATGCTGTATTACATGGAAGGCCTGCTACGCATAGCTGCAGACGCACACTGTCGCATCAAGATATTTCTCACTGTCGATGCCGCTCGCTTACGGAGAACCGATAGACGAACAATCGTCTTACCGTTAGCCAGAAATCAAAAGGAGGCGCTCTTGTTGAAAAAAGAATGGTGTCAGGTGACGGAGGAAGTGTTTTAGTTGAATCATAGTGCATGTTCTGGTAGCTTATCCTGAAACGACGTCACGTTGATTCGAGGCTGTGTCAAGCTTATGAGCCTTTGTACCAGAGTTCTGTAGACGTCGCTCTGTGAAGGGTATCACTTACCGCGTGCTGATCAGGCCTTGCGATTGAGGTTCGTGTGAATGGGGCATCTGGAGGGACTGCGATTCAACGCAAGGCCCTGCGTAAGGTGCCAAGCTCTGGAGGATGACTCGAGCCCCAGCCAGCTGCCTACGCGATTTTCACGGCTCTCAAATGACTTACCCTGCCACTCTGCGCTGTATTTGCGCGCCAGCATTCTCTCAATGGAGGGTGCCTTTGATCAGCTCGATATCGATCTGACATTCTCCAGAATTCTTGATGGGGCAGACCTTATCTGGTGGCTGAAAGAACGGAACAGCGGAGATGCGATGCGGCGAATCTGGTCATGCACACGCCACGGGCCACTAATCTTGGCGCATTTTGTTTCCGTTGCCATGTAGCAACTCGGTTCGGGATGTCGTACATCATGAATATGCATTATCAATGTGGACTTGAGAGATTACAGTAATACAGTAGACTCGTGGAGCAATTTTCCGGTCTGCGAGAGCACTGATATGGCAGTCACTGTGGATTGTCTTCCGTGGTTTGCATCGCCTCAAGTCATGGAGATATGGAGCGCAATCCGCACTCGCCTTGAATAATCCGGCAAAGCCGACAAACAAAGACCAGCTGACTCATTTGTACAATACTGCAGGTGCCCAGATCACATCTAGTTGTTCAATCATGGCCATCGCGACGTGGAGTCCATAGAACCGGTCGATGAAAATACAATATTTGACATGATGTCGATGAGCAAAGCATTTGCTGGTGTAGCACTCGGCGAGTCGTAATATCGAGAAGATTAATCGGAGTCAAGATGCAATCTCGCTGATATTCATGCAGAGTGTACAAAAGATCAGATATTCGGCTTCCAGGAGCACAAACTGCATTCCAGAGAACCTGCATTGATAGGGCATCGTACGTGTTGTTTTTCACGTGCTCGGTTTTAGTCTGAATTGACATCACAACGCTCTAGCTTTGATGAAGACATCGAATCGCTGGTGAAGTTCCACATGATCGAGAAATGCCATGGCTAAGATGCTTTAACTTACCATGACATGGCCAAACAAGCGGTACTTAATGTGATAGATTGTCACGCACTACAAGCAAGATTCGACTGGGCTGTGTTCGCTCTAACGGATAAGTTTCCTCCGACGACCGAAGAACTCTCCAAAGACGTACAAGCAATAGCCCACCAATCACGCGAGACCTCGGACACCGAAGACCACACGAATTACTCAGAGCGATAATTGTGCTGTTTACGAGCAGATTTGTGCACGATTCTTGGAACTATTGGCTACAAAAGAAACGGCAGAGAGACACGGGCGAGCGTGGTTTAGATCGGCGGACTCCCATCTCACTAAGCTAATGAAGACTGGCAACTATGAAACATTGGATCTTGAAGTTGCGGCGGTCATTCGTGGCCATGTTGCCTTGGCACAGCTTGCAAACGGCGATGATGCCGCCTGCTCTGCGGTCGTTGCAGCCTCAACATTTTTGTTGGAAATGTCTCCTGACTCTATCGATCGCAGTACCTGAATGAAAAATCTATCAATGGCTTATTGCGTTGCAGGCGTCCTTACAAAGTCACTGGACTGCTGTGAAAAGCCCCGACGCTAGACCGTGGAGACATCCGGAACAGACAATTTGCCAATGGCCCTGTATGCCGTTCCTCGCAAAATGTGGCGAAGCAATCGAGCTGACTAGGCAAAACCCGAATTATTTTCAACAAGGCTCGCACCATTTCAGCCATCGGGCAGGATGACGAAGCAGGCGAACGTCTGAAGCAGTGCCTGAACATCAGGCTCAAGCACGCCAAATACCATATGTACACGGGTTACACCTATCATCGTCTTGGCAATTTGCTGTATACGAAAGACTCGCTGCGCGCCTCAATGTAAGTTTCCCTGAACGAAATCGACCGTGCAGCTGCTGACTGACAGCGTCGCAGTGACAATCTCCGCGAGGCGGTCGAAATCTTGAGGGAAGGGCAGGGGACATCGTTAGGTGCCGCTGCAAGATCAAAGTTTCACCTCGCGCGCACACCACAGGACTTGGGCAACTTTGAAGAATCGAATCAACTGTATAAAGAGAGGGACGCAGATTTACTTCAGTGCGGGTACGCGGTTGAGGCCAGACAGCTCCATCCTGGTATCTGGAGCAGTTTGTGCTATTTTGTAATAGGTGAACGCATTGTTTCTTCGTAGAGATGCTCCGTCGACTACGAAAGGTCGAACATCGACTTCGAAATCAACAAAGTGCCTTTGTTTGCCCGACTCCGCGTTCGTGGAGAGCTTTTGGACGGCTACTTTGTATGGGAGGAGTTCAATTGAGAATTTGCCTGAGCGAGCAAACTAGGCTATACGCATAGTAAGCACGCGGATGAGGCCCATCGCTCTAGGCAGCAGTAGTGTCTACCTCTTTCATATATCCTAGAGCCTCTTGTGCAGAAGTCTGAACGCGCTCGTCTTTATACGATACCGCTAGCTCCGCGAGACGTTGTTTCCAATATGCCTACCGCTCCGAGCTATACGACCAATAATGCTCGGACTTCTCTAGGATCTTGTCGAGACGGACGCCCGCGTGTACGAGGTCGTAAATCTTCTGCGCGTTATATCGGAACCACGAGGCAACGGCGGGGATATTCCACTCGAGCTTAACTTGGTGGTAGGCCGTCGCCTCGTTATAGGAATTGAAGCTGTGACCTTTTACGCGGTCAACGGCCGGCATTACCTGCTGATCGAGCTCGTCGATCGGCTTTTCTAAGGTATTTGAGATATAATAGACTAGTGAATCGGTCGACTTAAAGATGTGGCGCGCTACGCACTGTACTTCCATGTCTTGGAACCGCAGGTAGAGCATCCGCGCTGCAGCTGTGGACTCCGGGTTAAGAGAAATCCGGCAGAGCTGACCGGGCTGTATAGATTCTTCCGTATCACCTAAGCCGGCTGCAAAGTATGGAAAATCGGCCCATGTAAGCGGCTCATCGCCCCCTTCGCTAGAGGTCATCTCGCTATTAAAGAGCTTGTCCGGGAGTTTGGCCATAGCGTCGAGCACTACAAAAAGATCCAGCGTTCGGCTTGCAGGCTATTTAAGCAGGGCGTAATAGAAGAGACTCTAAAGATTTATAAGTAGGATACTCTCGTTAGAATAGGAGCCGAGATCTAGTATCGGCGACGAGGAAATCGAGCGGGTGAGGGCAAAGGCTGTTTCCTCGGCATTCTTATCGTTACCGTGAAACGCTTTGAGTACATCGACGGTTTCGTCGTGCCAGCCATCAACGATGGACTTCGAGTTCGACTGGGGCAGGCGTTGTGCTTCGAACCATGATGTGTGAACGAGTCTGGCGTCGACTGGCGGATGGGTGAAGGGTTGAGTGAAGTAACGCATGTCTGATGCCCGAGGGCGTGCTTTACTGCGGCAATGTAACAGGATTCGTTTAGAGGATCCACCGCAAGATTTGAACCGGAGCATACGAGCAATGTATGCAACATATACTATACTAGGCAGGCACGTAGATGTAGAGCGCACGTTCCAACCGAGTCACGTAGTTTGACTCCACCAAAATTCTACCGAGAGAGGCTACGTGCGGCGCAGTATGCATTCCTGCTTCCAATGTCATCCATCAGGGCGGCGTCTTATGACGATCTCATCTTTGCGGCCTCGCAAGCGGTTCTTCAACATACAGCGCATCGGTATATACCTCTAGCACGGCTTGGCACTGCAGATCCGCGCATAGGTGACGGCAGCCACTGACGGGACGGCAATCATGAATGTGCACTATCGGTAGTCGGTGACGCGCAATCAAGTCAGAGGATCGTGATAGGTCGTTATAGAAGCCACGGATTCACAGCACGAGTTGCTGAAAGCCGTGATGCATAGCTAGCCGGATCCCGGACGTGGTATCCCGTATTAAACCCACCTGTCTCCTGGCGACTCCATTCCCGGCATCCAACTTTCTTCCTCGTTCGACAGGAGCGTCATTACTGCCGCATGAACTTTTCATCAACATCACATCAGGAATTTTCAGAAAGGCAGATCACGCAGTAGTAACATCATTGTTCGGCGCGGCGGGCGAGTTTCTGGGACGTTGAGGAGCACCAAGGGAAGGAGGTCGGCGCCAGGTTTGCCTCGACGGGGAGAAGTATGCATATCAAGTCTATAAATTGCCTAGCTTCTATAGATCTTCTCGGTCAGAGCAACTGATTCCTCCCTGAGAATTCTTCTGCGCTGAGTCGATTGTGGAATCAATCTCCAACTTCTCATCTTTATTTCGCCTGTGTTCCGTATGCTCCGGGATTATCAATTCAGCCGCCTCGGGATCATGGAGTACGCTTCGTCACGTCCACACTCATTTGAGATCATACATTCGTGGAAACTTTCGGCACGAGAAGCCGTCGCCTAAGAGACTCTCCGTAGAGGTTTCCAATGCTCATATCATACATGGCAAGGTAGTGCATCGCAGATTCCGCTGCATCTACTGTTCTTTTCTTTACACACAATCCCATCAACAATCAAGGCAACTCTCTTCGTACGGAGAATCTGTTTGCGTCCAGCTCTTTCGGCCTCGTCTCCGTCGCCAACTCATTCGGCCGGCCCGCACCCGCGTACAATTCATTCAGTTCGCCGTCTCCTATTTCGTGTGCGTATGTAGTCGCGGTGACGGATCTTTGCTGTTCTTGCGCCTGCCACGGGACTACTCCGTCAAACGAGGAAGAAGGACTTTGTGTTCTCTTCTCTACGACCTCATTGTGGGAAGCTTGGGTCTGTAGCCTCTGTTGCCGGTACTTCAGCATCAGCCATGCAGCAGCTATGATGGTGAGGATGGCGACGGCTACGGCTCCGATTGCGATTCCCGCTTTCGCAGCGGTGCTAAGATCAGAACTCGATGTTTTGGCGGCATCTTGTTGCTGCTGCGATGAGTTTGACGCGCCCTGTGTTGAAGACGGCGAGGATGAAGTTGCTGATTTGCCCGCGAGTGCGATCGACGAGTTTGATGATGCGGTTGATGCCATGATAACCGTGGACGAGTTGAACGATGACGATGATGTCAAGGCTGTGGTAACGGCCGTCATTGTCGCTAGTATCCGAGTGCTCACGACACCGGTCGCCGTTGCAGGAAACATCGAAGTAGTGAAGCCAGCAATACTCAAGAAATTAGCCGGCCCAGCATCGAACACCTGGCTCGGATCATTACAGCAAGAGTAGTTGCTGACGGTGCTACCACCATACACAGGGACCGGAGTACCTCGCCAAGCGGAGCAGCAGTATGTCGTCTCGGAGCAGGCGTATAGGAGTTGGCTCGTGTCATATTTCTTGCCCGCTGGTAACTCTGTCAGCACTCCACGATCGAGTTGATGGGCGATATGGAGGGATATTCTTCATAAACACACGATCCTTGCGCCTCATGAAGCTGAGCACCGGAGAGATGAACTTACTCGCTGGGTCTTTTGTGCAGTATTTCGCGCAATTTGGAGAATTGAAACTCGGGTCGGTGCAACCATTCCTCCAAAGCAGATTATTGGCCTTGAAACCCGACCATTTGCAAAAGCCATTGGTTGTGCACGCGTCCTCGGGGCCACAGCAGGTGCTGAAGCCGTCACTTGAAGCGGCATCACAGGCTACGTAGTTTTCTCTTGCCGGTGCCGATGTGCCATCTGGATAGTAGCATTGGGTGGCGAGAGAAGGAGCAATGAGACATGAATAAAATGTGAGAAGGAGAAGACGTGAAGTTGATCTAGTCATTTTGACAATATGGGCTTGTGGTATGCTTTGGACGGAAAATGGAAAGTTGTGATGCGGTCGCACGAAGTGGACCTGGGTGAATCTTGAAGAACAAGGCCGCCCAGGCTCAAAGCGGCACGGGTGATCGAACGCATATCGATGTACAAGTCAAATGCCCTCCTTGAAACAATCGCATGAAGGCGTGGAAGGTTATTTCCGGGGTGAAGGATCACCAATGGCTGTTGGCGCCAAATGGCTTTAAGCGCCCAGATTTAGTGCTTGTTGTTGGGCGCCTGAGATGCCGCATGGGGCTGGACGCTTCGCTCGAGACATCAACATGTGAAGCGAACCGATCGTTGGAATTCTCTTTTCTAATCACTGCATCATAATATCTCATCGGCACTATCTAAACACGCATGAGTCGTCATTCCTATCTCAATCATCAGGATTGCAAAACTTCGTAAATTCCAAGATCATTTATACATTTTCCCTGTAATCTCATGGCAGTTCCCTCCTCCTCCCAGAGAATCTCTCCGCGCCCAACTCGTGCGGTTTCGTCGCACCCATCTCACTCACCTGCCCCGGGCCGATCTCACACGTGTAACCGAGCATTGTGCCGGACTTATATTCCTGCCCGTACCATTGTCTCCCATCAAATGGCAAAGTCTGCGCCGGATCTACACATGTTGGAGCAAGCTTCTCCCGGAGCAGGACTTGATGCCGAGATTTTATCAGGAGCCAGGCTATAAATGCGACCCCGATAGTGACCACAGCTAGCCCACCGATCACGAGGCCAACGATTGTTCCGGTGCTCAGTCCGGTGAATGTGGATGATGAGGGATTCGAGGATAAATCGGACTGCTGCTGTGATGTTGGAGAGGCCGCTCCGGTTGATGTCGAAGCGGGCGACGACGAAGGTATTCCCGTTGCAAGTGTCAGACCGCTGATTTGGGTTGCCGCTGTGGTTTTGCTTGAGCTTGTCGCGCCGGTCGCGGTGGTAGTGGTAGGGAACATCGATGTTGTGAAATCCTTCTGGCCGGACAGATAATTGGCAGGTCCAGCATCAAAGACTTGGCTTGGATCATTGCAACACGAATAGTTGCCTTGAGTATCGTAGGCCTGCACCGGAACATCCTTGCCCGGATACGAAGAACAGCAGTAGGTCGTCTCGGAGCAGGCGTATACTAGCTGGCTCGTGCTATATTTTTGTCCGGCTGCAATCGACTTGCGTTAGTTGTGGAACTTCACGAAAGGCCCAGGGTGATCGAAGGAAAGGTCACTACTAACTCTTGGGGTTCGTGGTACAATATTGCGCACAATTTGGCGAGTTCCAATTCGGATCTGTGCAGCCATTTCTCCATAGAAAGTTGTTATATCTCCATGCTTGCCATTTGCAGAAGCCGTTTGTTGTGCACATGTCTACACTGCCGCAGCAGGTGCTGAATTTGTCGCTTGATCCGGCATTGCAGACGACGTATTCATTGATGCCAGCTGCGGTACCGTCCGGATAATAACATTGTGAAGAGGTTGCGCATACTGATGTTGCTAAGAGAGCAAGAAAGAATAATGATCGTGTAATCATTTCGAAGATAGGATTTACCCACAGTTCGTTTGGTGAGGAATGGATACAGTCTGCGTTGGATAAGGGAAATACCTATATAAATAAAGAGGTCTCGCGATCGAGGCCCACGGCACTTATTAGAGCTTCTATTTCTGTAAAGCAGCATGAGTGTCCATCCTCGACGACATGTATTATCACGCTTGAATGGTAGTCCATTTTCATCGAGCCTCTCGTGCACCCTCTTGTCACAATTTGTCACAAGCGCCCGTAGAATTTTAGCTGCATGATGAAAAGCCCACGACGAGTGGTCTCATCAAATGATGGGGCAGATCCAGACGCTGGCTGCAGAACGGCTGGCCTCGACACGGACGCGACCGCCCGAACAAAACTCTAATCAACGCTCCCGCCGACCTGCGCACTCCCGCAAAGACGTCCCGAGGCGTGCGAAACTAATAATAAAATAAGGAGACGACGACAAAGTTTCTGCGTCAACCTTGAATTGTATGGACAATGCACAAACATAAAGTAAAATCCAATGCTGAAGCAAAAGCGTCCGCCCCCAAAAGCGCACTTGGATCATAGTTCGGGGTGGCCTCAGGTCTCGACCTTCAATTCTCGTGATTCGGCACAGCGCGTGCTGTGGGCGGGCAGCCGGGCGTGAACGTTTGCTGACTGCGGTGCGTGACCAAGAGCATCAGCACTCTCATTCATGCGACTGGAGGGTCATGTGCTGCTGAGTCACTCACATGCTTGCTCACGTGCACGCCGCGCGCGCTGAAGAGGATCCGGCAATTCGATACTTCACGCAGCTCCGTCGATAAGTCTTGACTTTTCGCTGAGGTGTATGCTGTCCCATTCCCAGAAAGTTCTACTCAGACTGATACATGATCCGGTGTGTTCTGTCGCATATACGAAACTTGATCGACGACTGGCCTTTGACTCGACTGACCATCAAATCTTCGCTCCCGCCGTTCCTTTGCTGGAGAATTCGTGTAAGGGAGTGTTGTCGGGATCAGTGTTCGTCGGGATCAGCGTACGTCCAGCTGCTTATGATAGTCGACATGAGGCTGCTGTGATTGCTTGTTGCATCGTCCTACGACAATTTTCGACCACACAGCGGCATTGTACGAGACAACGGGTGCGCTCTTTTGATAGATTCGTAATGCTTGGCCTGGAGCTAAATCTTCCCATCGGTCGTTGTTGCATGACCACAAGTCAATCACGTTGTGTTCATGCGGAAAGCTTTGCAGCGAAGGAGACGCAATCATCTCGAGCACGAAAGAACGACGTTGACTGACCATAAAACCAACGTTCCTCGCTGACGCTGGATCTGTCTTCTGATAACTCTGCATATCGCGGATTCCCCAGCTTCCTTGTAATTCGTATGTAGCACTTGACCGGGTAGTGTCCGCACGAGTCGCATTCGCATTCACAATCCATAACGTGCCAGCCGATAATGTCGCGATTGTGCGCACAATACATCCTGTCGATGGCGATGTACTTCGGCTCTTCAGTGCGATTGCCGAGTTGTACCAGTCGAGCCTTCAGGCCCGTCTCGAGGAAGGAAGGGATCGTGGTCGAGACGAACCACTGCTCATGCCATCTACAGATGGGCGCGTCGCAGGGAAACCGATCGGTCGATGTGATCAGGTTACACGTCGTACATTGACGGCGGCCACTGATTAGGTCCTTGCGCTCGTTGATATATCGTCGCGCGGCTTTTTTCTCGCACGTGCTTGCAGTCTTCAGCCAGCCTGGAGACGGAGAAATGGTATCACGGTAGAGGCGCTTGTTAGTCAATTTGACAGCAACAAGTGAGGACGTTGGTAGATAGGAGACTATCATATGTAGTATTTCAGCCGGCAGCATTGTCAGCTTAATAGGATCGAGGGGCTCCATGATGGCAAGTTTCTTCTTTGCGCTTTGAAACCTTTTTCGCCTCAGAAATAACAGCACTTGATGTTGGATCAGCGACAGGCTCGTGGGAGCGACTGTCCGACGAATATATGTTTCTAGGGCAGCCATGTGGTATCAAATGAACAGCAGTGTCATCTGAACGTAGCAGCAGATGTCGACGACCACGACAGCAATGAGATGGCGCTCATGGTTCTCATGACGGTGCAGCATCCTGTCTCGCATATATATTTATCGTGATCATATTCGTGGGCGGCAGCAGATACGATCAGCCGAACAATATGGACCTTGCATGTCCATCTTTGCACGTCATGAAGTATCTTGTCTCATCCTCCCGCCCTCTGACCCAGCCGATGCTGTGAAGATCATGATAGCCGCCAGCGTGCACTCAAAGTCGCAGGCAGGCATATCGGATCTGCGGACAAGGATCGTGGCCAACAGTATCATGACCCGCGATTATTTCAAGCGATCAGCAGGAAATGCGCGCGCGTCTGTGAACTACTATAACGTGCAATGATGATGAACAGGTTCGATGGCTACGTGAAGCGCGTGACGATTGTGTCTTGTGCCCAGCGAGCGGAAAGACCGCCGTCTCCTAACAGCACTAATAATTACCAATCTGGGCGGAAACTAGCACTAATCTCACCTAATTGGCCCAAATCTGCTGTCTGAAAAACCACCACACTTCGTCTTTTTCGAATATATGGTGTATGTTCGGCAAGGACACCTCATACGTCGGCCGAGCTCGGAACGACATTCCGAAAGATTTTGTAGAGTTCATCCATCAATTGGTCGTTCCCGTCCATTTTGCTAGGACACGTCGCACGCTTCCCACGCGAAACGACCTCGCCGGGGCAACTTCGGCTAAAGTTCCGCATCTGACACAATATCCCATGGCAGGCACGTCATCTCATCCTGTTATGTGAACATCACCCAAAGCGGGTCGAACACTCCGATCTCTGAATTATCCGCAAGATGCATGATCCCTCGTGGCAGCCACGGTCAACCTTCAGAGCGTGCTCCAATACTGTTGATCGTGTCAATTGAATTTGTGCAAATTCTCATCCGATCCGCTCGATTCTTGAATGGTTCAGATCAATGACGCATCTGCTCCAATGCTGATAAGCAGCTCGCAACAGAAGCATGCGATAAAACCATGATTCCAATAACGGATCTGCTTGCTCTCATCCAGAAGACTAAGTCTTAAGGAAACCGCCATCGTCCATGACATGTGCGACCGTTGCAAGATGTCCGCCTCGCGTGGAAGCCAATGCAGAAGAAATATCCGTCAGGCTCGAGGCGTTGAGAACGTTACGCCGCCATGGCATCCATATCCCTGATCGCGTTCGCCTAAACCTTCTTTTCCGTAGTTCGCCCGGTCACGACATTCGTGGGCGTTCATTCGATTCTCATAATCCGTTCGGTCCTTGCCTTATCAACCCGCTCCTTTTTCCAGAATAGTCGCTGGCGTGGCCATCTATCCGTCAAGACCCATGGTCCGTTCCAATGCCCTCATTAGAAGCAATCGCTGGCTGTAATTACGTGCTTTGACGTGTGGCAACCACACTGTGAACTTCTCGCGTCGTCTTATCGTTCTTGCGAACTTGCCAAGGCGCAATCGTCATCTGTGAGTATGTTCCTGTGCCGATTCTCCGCCTTTGTTGGAATCGCATCTGTAATTGTCGAACGATTTGGTTTCGAGGTCACATCTGGATGCCCTCTGGTCCTTAACAACGAACGAGCTGTAAGCGCGGTCTGCCCATAAAAGGACGCCGTCGCGCCCATCTTGGTTCTGGAATCTCTTCGTCGGAGATCCTTTCCAAGACATTCTCTCGGCAATCTTCCCGAGCCCTACTCAAAAATGGCAGATGAGAAGCAGTCCCAGTCCTCGCTCTCGCTCTCACGTCGCAGCAGCGATCTGGACAATGACAAAAGAGCGTCGGTCGTCGATGTTATTGCGGCCAGCTTCGAGAGTGCCAACGTTTCAAAGCCTCCGCGCGTCATTGAGCACGGTGAAGAGCTCCACGTCGACAGCACAACGTTCGCGTCATCTGGGCTCGATCAATATTACAAGCCAAGCTCTCAATGGGAGGGCTTACACCGTTACGACACCGAGTTCACCTGGAAGTCGGAAGAGGAAAAGAGTCTCGTCAGAAAGGTATGAGCGATCTCAAGTAGATTTTCACATCACTCGACCATGTCTGACCGAATCAGATTGACTGGCGGATCTGCACCTTTGCCTGCCTAATGTTTTTTGCTCTTCAGCTTGATCGGAGCAACATCAATCAAGCGCTTTCCGATAACCTGCTTGGTGATCTGGGGTTAAATACCAACGATTACAACAATGGACAGACAATCTTCTACTGCGCATTTCTCTTCGCCGAATTGCCCTCTCAAATGATCTCGAAACGACTCGGGCCTGATCGATGGATTCCCATTCAGATGGTAACATGGTCAATCGTCGCCAGCATGCAGGCATTCTTGAACGGCCGCAACTCGTTCTTCGTCTGTCGATTCCTGCTCGGCATGATCGAAGGTGGATTCATTCCGGACACTATCCTCTACTTGACCTATTACTACAAAAGCTCAGAGCTTCCTCGCCGTCTGTCGTTCTTCTGGGTAAGTGCAGGAGTGACTGCGGACCTTGCTGTCGGGCATGATTATTAACCTCAACGCTACAGGTTTCTTACCAAGCTACCAATATTGTTTCAGCATTTCTCGCATTTGGAATCCTTCGCCTTCGCGGTCATAACGGTCTGGCTGGCTGGCGGTGGCTATTCGCGCTCGAGGGCATGCTGACCGGTCTGATCGGCATACTCTCATGGTTTTATCTCCCTGCAAGCCCTTACGATACGGCCAGCTGGTTTCGTGGCAAAAATGGCTGGTTCAACGAACATGAGGAGAAAATCATCGCGAATCGCATCATCCGTGATGATCCCTCCAAGGGTGACATGCACAATCGCGAAGGTCTCAGCCTTGGTATGCTGTGGGAGTGTCTCTCAGACTACCACATGTGGCCTGTATATCTGATCGGTCTATCATGGGCCATCCCCGATGTGAGTTCGCGGGGCAACATGAGGCATCAGAAATCTTGCTGATCCATGCGTTAGACTCCGCCAACCGCATACCTGACTCTCAACCTCAAAGCATTGGGTTTCGGGACCTTCGAAACAAATCTGCTCACCATTCCGGCTTACGCGCTCTTTATTCTGCAACTGCTCTTCTACACATGGCTCTCCGAGAAACTCAACCAGCGTTTCCTTGTATGTCTTCTTGGACAAATCTGGGCTCTACCATTCTTGATCGCTCTCGAAGTCCTCGGACCTGGCACCAACCCCTGGGCGTACTGGGTTCTCGCAACGATGCTGGTCGGCCACCCGTACATCCATGCCATTCTTGTTGCCATTACCAGTCGCAATGCTGGCTCCGTCCGAACACGGACAGTGGCATCTGCGGTGTACAACATGACAGTTCAGACATCCAACATCGTCTCTTCGCAGATCTATCGCGAGAACGACAAGCCCCTGTATCGTGCAGGTAACGCTGCTCTAATCGGCATAGTGGTGTACAACATCCTGGTTTTTGCTGGTATTAAAGTATTCTATATTTGGACTAATCGGTGAGTCATCTCCATCACATTCTCGGCTGAGCTTATGCTGACACTGCTTTAGCAAACGCGATGCGGTTTGGAACAGCATGTCTGATGAGCAGAAGGAAGAGTACTTGCAGACGACGACGGACAAGGGCAATAAGCGATTAGATTTCCGTTTTGCTCATTAGTTCATCTACTTACGCGGTGCACGCTATCAAAAACATCTTCAACTTCGCACAAGGTCGTGAATTTGTGAGCTGTCTGCATCACACGCATTCGCCTGTGACCCTCGTCTTTTCGTATGTCACATGGTGCTGCATGTGGTTTTCGGCTGCTGAATTATCGCAGACGCATGATCCTGGTTTGAACTCTGACTTCACGCTCAGAAGCAACAAGGAATCACCCGACTGCGCCTCGGTGACGAATCTTTGCGCATGCGGCACAGGTCGTCGAGAGAGGACGTCTCGTGGCAGACCTTGCGCCACAGCAAGTGGCCCAGCTGGACACTTTTCAGTGTACTTATATCAGATGCACCTGCGCTACTTGAACACTCGAGAACCCACACACAAGGGGCATCTTCGCTTTCAAGACAACGAAATGAGTCCAAACTATCAATCATGCAAATGTAGTTGCTTTCCCCTGGCGGACACCCCCTCTGCTTACTGCATGATCCGCAACCAGTGCGTCCGCTTCAGAAATTGCGTATGAACGAAGACTAACATCGATCTCCAGCCACCCCGGTATGGCGAGTTGCTGTCGCCAATTGAGCAATAGCACCGTGCAGTTCATACCCGAGTGCTTCTCCTGGTGCAATCTGGAAGCAGTCGTGAAAGCCCACGAGTCTTCCTCGCGGGCCCACAACAGCACCAGGCTACTTAACGTGCCGAGTATATTCCGCCACTGTCTCAACGATTTCGATTCGTCGCAGGATGAGCCCGACGTGACATGCGACGCTGCGCCAGTGGTGATTTGGCCTCATCCCACAACAACGAGTTCTCCTGTGTTTTTCGATCCCACCGAACGGGCGACATTGCGACCAACGCCCGTCTATTTGAACGCTGCGGCACACGCGGCTGGGCTGAACGGGACTATTTCGGCTGTTTTACTTACTGTGCTTCTCATCGCAGGCCTGCTCTCGTCAGGAGCGCTTGCATTCTCCTGTCATTCAACAAGTTCCGGCCGGCGTACCAGAATGCCTTGTGAGAGCTCACTTGGGGACAGGCGATGAAGTGTTCTGATCGGCGATGCTATGTATCGGAAGTGCGGCCAAACACGAGAGAAGCGCGAAATCCAGCCGTTGATGCCTCAGGTTTCATTCACCCCCGTCCCGACGTCACGAACGCTCACAAGGATGATCTTAATCTCCGGGTCTCATGACCGGTCCCGCGCCACGCGTTGTCTGACACTTTGTTTGTGTCGATCGCGCACACGTGCGGGACTACTCCATGTCTATCCTAATTACAGCTTCACGCCTGATCACGATGCCAGAATTTTGGGATGGGGTCGTGGAGTTGATGACGTCGCTGAGTAGAAAGGAGGTTGATGAGGAGCAGGCATGTCGTGGGCCTATGGGCAAGTTGGGACAGAATAGATGGAGTCTTTAGACTAGATTTTCGGTGTACCAGTACACCGCAAAATCATGATATTACAAAAGGTGACTACAGGCGTGAACATATCACATAAAGGGAAACGAAAATAGGAGTAGCACATTGTGAAGCAAAAAATCATTTGATCATTGACCTGAGAGATTCCTCCAGAGAACTCTATACGGCCTAATTACAAGGGTAACTGATCAACCCATCGTCCAGAGCAGGGATCATTCATATCGTGTAAGAAAATATTCGCTTTTTCGCGCAAATTCCCAGAATTTGACTTCCTCGAGCGAGAGGGTATGTTCAGAGGTCTTTGGCTCTTTAAAGGTGACCAACACCAGTGCTGAGGCCGTTGGTGAGAGGGACAACGACGTCAGGGCCAGCGTTCTTGAGGGCGATGGCGAGGGCGTCAGTGATGGGGTCGAGGACCTCCTGGCGCTTGAGGTGGCCGACGCCGGTGCTGAGGCCGTTGGTGAGGGGAACGACGACGTCAGGGCCGGCGTTCTTGAGAGCGATGGCGAGGGCGTCGGTGATGGGGTCAAGAACCTGCTGGCGCTTGAGGTGACCAACACCCTTGCTCAGACCGTTGAGGAGAGGGACAACGACGTCAGGGCCGGCGTTCTTGAGGGCGACAGCGAGGGCGTCGGTGATGGGGTCGAGAACCTCCTGGCGCTTGAGGTTGGAGATACCCTCACCGAGACCCTGGGGAAGAGGAGGGAGAATGGTCAAGCCGGCGACAGCAGCGCCGAGACCGTCGGTGATCTTGTCGAGGACATCCTGGCGCTTCAAGTGGCCGACACCCTTGCTGAGGCCGTTGGTGAGAGGAACGACAACCTTGGGGCCGGCGTTCTTGAGGGCGACAGCGAGACCGTCGGTGATGGGGTCGAGGACCTCCTGGCGCTTAAGGTTGGAGATACCAGCGCCCAGGGCCTGAGGAAGAGGAGGAAGGATTGGGAGAGTGGCGAGGGCAGCTCCGAGACCATCGGTGATGGGGTCGAGGACATCCTGTGGCTCGGCCTCACGCTTGAGGTTGGAGATACCAGCGCCCAAGGCCTGAGGAAGAGGAGGAAGGATTGGGAGAGTGGCGAGGGCAGCTCCGAGACCATCGGTGATGGGGTCAAGGACGTCCTGGCGCTTCTGCATGGGAGCAGCGAAGGCGGTGGCCATGAGCATGGCGAAAGCGGTGGATTGACGCATGTTGAAGGTTACGAAAATGCTTGAAGAAGCGACTGTGGTGAGTAGAATGAGAATGAAAAGCGTCGATGGAGGACTGTCGACGAGATTGAAGTGGATGGTGATGGGTTGAAACGAAAGAGAGTGGCTTTGCGCTGGATATTTATGTTTTCGAAAAGGAACAGGACGTAGGCAAACTTGACTTCAGGCGCGGATCGAAGACATCGTGAATCGTGATGTAAGTGACCCACCCGTTCGTTGGCTCCATCGCGGCAATTTACAGTCCTGTTCTCTGAGTGGAGGCTTTGATATTGAAACGAGCTATCGAATTCATGCTCGGGCTTCGCGTCGAGTGCTCACATCGGTCACATTGGTTGGGACGTGGGAATGATACAACAGGCACGAACTGTCGTCGTCGTCAGGCGCAGCACTCTGGTCTTCGCGTTCGCCACGGGAGGACTACCAGTAACAATTGAAGAACGCTTGAAACGGTCCAACCGATGCAGCGTCATCCCTGGACTCGTTCGCTAATGAGATGGATTCTGTCGATCTTTACTCAAATTGCCATTTGCAGATCATCCTTCACGGGGGCAGAGTGCGGCTCACCTGGAGGCCGCTGCCGCGCGACAAATACACTAACGATATTTAAGGTGAGACGTTGAACGACACTGATGGAAATGATGACGATGATCAGGGCGAGGACAGAACTTCGAATCGTAAATTTCGACGTCCGCGACGCCGATCGGATCGTGGCCCGAAAACCTAGTCCCGAATAGGACACCACACAAGGTTTCACGGCGGCACGGAGCCGACTCCAACCCCACGGAATCTATCAAACTAAGCCTTCATCGGGAGAGGGCATGAGTCAATTCGAGAGGATTGCCTGTTGATGAGAATGTTCCTGTCCACGCTGCCGTTGTACGACACCGCCAATGAAAACGAACATCTTCTACCACGCATCGCTCCCTCGAGCTCCTGCGTATTTCGGCAGACGGACGTCAGTTGATTCCTTGAACTCTCAACGTATTTCTGTGTGACAGTTGGCGACGGTTTCGTGCCGCTGGTCAGCTGCAACGTCCCCGGTCGTTCGAACATCGTCTCAGCAAGAGCCGACAAAGGAAGGTCATGTCCGATTGTTTTGTTTGCCGCAAATTAGTGTAGATCGTGGGTGAGAGTTTTCAGCCTACACGTGCCCTGCAGCAAGACGCGGTCCGGTTCATCTTCACGACCAGAGTTTTACGCCCCAATCTCATGGTCCGCTTTCCTGTTCCAGCAGTAACTTGTCTGATCATCACTGTAATTGGTATATACAGAAAACGACTCCTCGTGCGGAGGTTTTGGCGCGTACCATCATCATCCTCAGCCTGGCGGATCTGCATTTTTGACATGGAAATTTTTGCCGAGCTGTGGAGTCGTTGTGCTCGAGGCGCAGTATCGTGAGCGCGTCGATCGAGCTTGCAATAATTCCAACAGCTAACATTCGAATCCCGAAGCAAATTGCGGCAAAGGTGCTACATCGCTGGTACGTTACGCGCGAAGATCGTGGGTGGAACATCCGGCTTGAGATGATCCCAATTCCATGTTCTCGGAGCTTTCTTGAGTTTCCCATCAGATGTGAGACGTGCTGTAAATGGAAATGATGATCGTCTGCGATTTCATCTTGTCACGATGCATCGCACGGCATGACAGGAGGAGGTATGTGTACTACAAGACCAAGCATTCTGTCAGATTCGCGTGGCTCAACGTTCGCAGCAGCAGGGATTCTCGCATGCTGTGGATGCTTGTCAAGGCAATTCCAATGCCTCCGCCTATGTTGCTGATTTCGTAGCTATACGACGTCTCTTGGCTCCGGGCGGCGGCGGCGGTTGAGCAGTGCCTCCCGCATCGCCGGCGCGCCAGAGAAAGGATCTTGGCCAATGCGACCCTGAGCCGCCGGCAGGTCCGAGTCGCCGACGACCCACTCGCTGCCACTGTCCTTTGCTGTTTGTGTCGCTACTCGCTACTGCTGGAACCGTCGTTGATCCATCGACTTGTTTTGCCCTGCCGCAATTTGCCAACGCACAGCTGCGATGCATCACAATCTCATCACATGCACAGCTTGTTATTATGGCCTCTTGTTGTGATTATCGTCATTTAATCTATTGTCATGGTATTGTCACAGAGTGTTGTTCCGACTATCGTTATTAATATGTATATTGTGATGATGTTGTGTGTTGTTATGATTGTTGTTGTTCTTATTCATCTCGCGTGACGATATGGTCATAACCAACGGGTGTTGTCCATTTACTGTCATCGTATGTACAGTACTCACTGCACTTGTCACACCTGCCCGTTCTGCTTATGTTAGCTCATGTTAATACTGTACAGACAACCGCGACTCCTGATGTATACAACCTAGTAAATCTACTGCGCCACATACGCTCGAGACATGGAAATAATTCCTCGCACTCGTATCGTGTGCGTCCGTCATGATGACAGGATCCTAGAGACAAGCGTGACAGCTGCACGCCATGATTTCTTAGGACATCTCGTCCAGAGACAGTGCTGGAAGGAATCAAGATCTCATGGGTTGATTATTCCCTGGACTGATCGGCCATACCGCATCTCAATAAGCTTATATTCTCAAATCCAAGACACCACGAAGAGCTAGAAGACATCTCTGTTTGTTTGCATCATATTATATTATAGCTCGGACGATATCCATTGGGTGTATTCCACGCGAGTGCGGATCTCCTCCTGAGGTCACGATCGACCTTGGGGTTAGAAAAAAAGACAACCCTAGCTGAACTTCCGGTGGGGACGCGCGATCGAGAAACAAACCCTGAAACGTTACTTTTTGTACCGAAGGGGGAATCCCTCGTCCTTTGCTCTTGCAGGCAGACCACCGATCGTCGGAATCGAGTATGCGATACGCTCAAGGTATTGGTCGTACTACAGGCATTGGTTGATACGTCGAAATCAGCATTACGAGTTCGACTGATGACCAATGATGACTCTAAGATGCTACTTGTCCACCGGGGCGCTTTCGACCTCGGAAGGCAGAGTCGAATGAAAAATGGTTGTTATCATGCTGTCGGAGCGCCCAAACCGATTTGACCGATCCCTTTTCTGCGTGAGAGAAATCACGGCGTATGAGGTGTTGCGCTTCAGCATGGATGTGTTGAGGGCCTTCAAGGCGACAATCGCTGCCTCCTGCCTGACTGTCGCCTTTCGTTGCCTTGCAAATTCTCGGACGCCTACGCCTTCTCCTCGAGAATACGCGACCGTTGATCTCAGGACGGGTTGCGAAATGATGGAAAGTCGTGTAACAAGACACTGTGTTTAGATGGCGATGTGCAGGTGTGCTGGTGTACTACAAATATCGAGATGAGCCAGGTAGTTCAGTGCTGGGAGTTTCTCCCGCATGCAATCAGAACGAGTGAGGTCAGCTCGCCATGTCCTATTACCTCACAATCGAGCAGCTGCATTGCGCTGTCGCTGCGATCGCGAAGGCCCTCGATCAATTGAATATCGACTATGCAGTCATGGGCGGTGCTGCAGTGTGTATCATGGGCAGTGATCCTCAAAGGACCACCGAGGATGTTGATTCAGTCATCCATGTCGACGAGCGCAATATCACCGCTGACAAAGCGACCGATCTTCTCTTGAAATCGTCGGATGACTTCATCGATGTGAGGTAAGCATGCTTTGTGATGCAACTTCACTCAGGTGAGAATAGCTGACGTGAATTCTCGACAGTCGGTACGGTCACGTCATACCCGCCTATAGGCTGGTGATTGGTGATGTTGAACGACTTGTGCAGATGGAAATATTCGATCTCCCACCGTGGCCACGACGTCCGCAATATGATTTGACCACTGCCACGAGAAGAAACATCACATTGCAGGGACACAAGGTGAAGTTCTTCAGCCCAGAGTGGATTTTTCGCGAAAAGGTCTGCTCTGGACATCAGCGAGGCGGCTCCGCAAAAGGAATGCAAGACGTCGGGGATGCCGTGCGGATGCTGAGGTTGGCCGACCCATCTGCTCCCGAGATGGACTTCACGGGAAGAGAGGAGTTGGCGGAAGCCCTGAAGTTCTTCTTGAGCAAGAGACCGGATGCACAGAGCTTGGTGCGGCAGAAGGTAAAATGTGATGCGATCCTGAATTGACGATCGCCAAGGTGCAACCTCACGAGAACGGACGACCTCTGCTATCTATTGGCAACTCTCTCCCAGAGCCAATGCGCTGAGCAGTAAACTTCTCGGCACAAAACTCAAACTCCTCGTCCTTGCTAATACGAAGTGTTGCTGTGGTCATATGGGTAAGCATACATCATTGCCCAATTTCGGAAGCTCAGGCTGGAAGACGACTCACCGACACGACGATGGGAACGCCGAGATAGTGCATGTCCATGTTCGACCATGGATACATCGGCGGATTATGGAGAAAATCGGCCAAAGCCTTGACCACTGGGTCAGGCTCTTTTTCTCGTGGCCGTCGGAATATTTTGCTTCTCACGATGGCGGATGCGTCTGCTCAACGGCCGTCCAGCCGATATACGCCCAGCCTCTGTTGATGTTTCACATCAAGATATCGTATGACTAGGCTGCGGCTCTAACATATACAGCGCATGTTGCGGCGGGATGCTCAAACATGAGGACGGTGGAACTTGCTCATGGTTATGCAAGTCCCACAGCTTTTGCTAGCCCCAACCCTGGACTTAAACCGCCGCCGGGAGACAAGCAGCGCAGCATACACATTCGGAGCTGACGGTAAAGGTATATCATATTAGCAGAGCCTCCGTCGAGCATATACATCTTGCGCTTTTAAAGCCCTCTCATCACTGTGAAGAAATACATTGCATTAATTGCGAATAGTGCATCTTCTTCCTTCGAGCGACAAATTCTCCTTGACGACGGATCTCGAACGGTTCCTTGCTTCCCGTGGTATTTGAAAGGAAGGTGGAAATGTTGTTTCGAAGATGGAGTAGTCATTTTCCAATCGAGGTTATGCGACCAGGTACGAGGTTCATAATTTGTTCATCAAACCTTGCCACTGTCGCGGAGTACATTTGTGCTTCAAGTCCAGCGCGCTGGCTTCGTGTTGGTTGTGTGCGTGCTGTCGGAACATATATAAGTTGTCAGTGGTGATGATACTTAAACTCGTCATTCTCTCCAATACGAGAAGTGGAGCACGTCTATTGTGAGCTACCAAGCAGTGTATACGTCGGTTCTACTACGATCCCTCTTGCCTCTCTTGTCGATGTTCTGATCGCCGTGCCGACTTCCTCGTACCTCCTCGACCTGGAAGAGGAACATCAGAAAACCTCGTAAAGCCCTTTCTTGAAGATCTGTGGTGGCGGATTTGTTTCGACCTGCTCGATTTTCCTCGTTTGCTGAAAGTGGACGGCGCCGAATCTCAGCAGTTCAGCAAAAGTGCCGGCCGCGGCATCTTTCCCCTCATGTTCCGGCATGTCGAGAAGAGTGCCGAGGCAAGGATCCTGCGTCATTCCCTTGTAATGCGAAACCTTTTGCATCGAAGAGCCCGTCAGCGTCCGCCAGATGGCACGATACGCCGTTTGGTACTCGTCTGTCGCAGTGTCTGCCATGCTGGTCGTCAAAACTTTCAATCCCGTCTCGCCCTTGAATCCCACGCAGGATTCGAGGCCGAAGCATTCATCATGGGAATCGAACGCGAACACATGCTTCTGCCAATACTCGGCCCCGTTGAAGCCATCCGCATCTCCCGGATCCTCGAGCAGGGTCAAGCGCTGCCAGGCTAGCACCTGTCCGATATACTCCATGAATTCTCGAGGCTCCATGGTCACCCCCAACGTCGAGAACTTTGCTGACTTGACGGGATCGTAGGTGGAAAGGGCCGGGATATTGGAAAGAAGTGGGTTATCGAATAGGCCGTGGTGATCTTTGCGACCTTTCCATAGATGAATCCACAACTCGTGCCTGTCCATAGACGTTAGCGATTGCTTTCGATCTAGACCTGCTGGGCGCGCGCGTCATTAACCTACCATCGCTTGATGAACGGGTCTCCCTTTCGACTCATCACAAAGTGGTTCGCTGCTGTCTGGCCATATGCGAGCGGGACAGCAATGCGATACGCCGAAGACGAATCTTCTAGCTCATCCCACGCAATGTCATCAAGGCTTCGTAACAAAATGCAGCCGACATCCATGTACGTGCCCCCGAACAGGTAGAGCAGCCCGCCCGACAGTAGATCCGAAGAGTGAGCGCCGGTGTAGGGGCCGGTCATCTCATCCTCCACGATGGCAGACGGGAGCATGTCCTTGGGGAGAAATTTCAAGAAATGGTTGGGTGAGCCGGGAATGACATCGAGCACCCGAACAGTCCAGCCGGTGCCACTGCAGATCCGCATCCAATCGCAGATGTTACGTCGACACCATGCTGGCAAACACTGGATCCCTTTATCCTATAACGACGAGGATGCTCAGCATCTTTTCAACCCTGGGGAATGGGAGTTTGTCTGCCCGTGCATACCCAAAATGCCCAGATGTTCTTCTCGGATGTCACGGGCACATGCTCGGTTAGACCTCGCAGAAGCTCTTCATCGTTCTTCTGATCCACCGATCCTTCTCGATAGCGAAGCTGCGAGGCAAACTCTTGAGGGATCTCGAACTTGGGCCCGTGAGACGTCATCAAATCGGTCATCATCGGTTCAATTCCTCCCTGTTCGCAAGGTTGTAGCACACGATGAGTCTTTGGAACTTGTTCGGCCGAAACTTCGAAGCGATAGGTTAGTAAACGATGGATTGGTCGAGAGATTGATAACATAGCCGTCGTCGCTGTCTGCGAAATACATATTAATATATAGTAATAAGCTACCCCGCTTTCATTTCATCGACTAGAAACAATAGTATATCAAGTATGTAACATGGTAAAGCGAAAGTCTACGCGATTTTGAAGTTTCATCTATTCTTATCATAGCTAACTTCAAATAAAGATATCTTGAGACGTATGAGTTTAAATGACTTGCTTATAGGTAGGAATATAGCTCATTCAACACGTTCTTTTACATCGTAAAATCCAGTAGTTCTAGTACCTCATACACCAATCTCATAATGTAATGACTACATTAGAGGATGCAATAAGCGCAGCGAACGAGCCAAGTGCGATAGCAATATCACCACTGATCCAAGTTGGCTTGAGTGACCCTTCGAGCTCGCCTCTTCCGTCATTCCCGAGATCATCTCATTTCAATCGCTTGAGTTCCGCGATCGGCAAGCACACGAACCGACGTTGCTACAAAGTCCTCAATTTAAATGAGGCGATCGGCGGCGCACTCGCAATCATCAAAAGATCCGCAATCTCGTACTTGTTGTCTACAATTTCCACGCGCATCGTCGACAGCAGCGAGAAAACCATCATTTTGATCTCTGCGGGCGCGCATGAATCAGTATCCTCGCCGAGATTGAAACACCTAGGAGAAAAGTTCGGGGCTAATCACATACCGGCAACCGCAAAGTATCTTCCCAGGCAGGCCCATCTGCCCATACCCCATGCGAGATTACCAGGGCCGCTCATGGCCGCAGGTTTGTTCTTTCCCAGCCAGCGGCGGCCATCGAAATCGGTCGGGTTTTCGCCAGCTTCCGAAGGTGCGTTGTGGGCGAGGTAAGCGTTCGGGTGGACTGTATAGCCTGAGTGTTTTGCGCAGAACTCGTCAGCATTGCCTTCTTTTTAAGATCAGAATACAGATCAGCGGAAGGGAGGGAAAACCTTTGGGAATGATGTATTGACCAAGCTGGACGTTGTTGATGGCCATGCGTACGGTGCTGAACGTATCACCCTTGGTCCGCATGGTCTCACGAATGAAGGAGTCTACGCGGGCAGATTGTTTCAGGGCCTCGTGAGTGAGTTGTTCCGGCCCGTTGGGCATCTGTCGTTTGATCTCTTCGTAAATCTCCTCTTGGTACTCTGGTCGGAGGGCCAATTCGAGGAACACCCACACCATTGTGCTTGCACTGAGGAATGATCAGTACTTCCCAATGACCGCTGAGAAACACCGCAGCAGCGTCTCATGAGAGACTTACACTTGATGGACTGAGGCAAACATCGTGCTGATGAGCACAAGGTAGATCTTGCCACGGTCTCCCAGCGACAGCTTCCGATCTTCCGAGGCGAATTTCCGCACAAGCAGGGCGAGTAATGTCACGTCTTCGTCGACTGTTGCATCATAGGTTGCAGGGGACTCCACCAAACGTGTCATTTCAGCCCAGATGGGGCGTCCAAGAGTGATCATGAGACCGAACATGAATCGAAGAACGACGACCTTGAACCTGATTTGGGGATATTGTCAGCTCTTGATCAACGGGTCTGGGAGCAAAGCAGAAGATTCGAACCAGGTTATAGGACGCCAAAGCCACGGAAAAGTTCGGGCAAAGTACGATCGGTTTTGATAAATACCTCCCAGCTCGGCTACATCGTTGGCCGCGAGTTTAACCGCGTCACCATTCGCGCGAGTCAAGAAGCCCTGTTTCAACGGTTAACGATGATAATAAATATAAGCAGATAATTGTCCTCACCTTGCCAAGAATCAGGAGCACCATTGCGTCCGCGACCGTGCTCTGGCAATGTTCAAAAATATCGACAGGGCCCTTGCCTGCAGATTGTGCCAATTCCGAAGCTCGCGAGAAGAATACGTTCGAGACTAGAACGAATCAGTGCTCCTGCCCTTGTGTCTGCTCAGCTGTACCTTAAAGAGTTCATACCCTGTTGTACAATCGTGTCCATTCGCTTCGAAAGCAGTTGGTCCGTCACGTCGGCCATGATCTTGAAGATCTTGCCTTCGGTCAACTCCATGAGGAACTCAAAGTTCATCGCCTATCCCCCACGCATGCCTGGTGAGCCATTTTATGTATATTTCAAAGACCGGAAAGATCTGTATACGTACGTCCGCTACGCCCTGCTCGAAGCTGAAGTTTGTCTCATCCGTAAGAACCTTTTGAACATATTTCTCCGAGACGACAATTTCCATCTTATCCTTCTTCTTCACGGCAATGATGTCTCCATGCTCTCGCATTGCCCTGGAATACGAATTGATCGGGTCTTTGAATTGTTCATGCCGCTGGCTCTGACGTCAGCCGCCGCCGCCGCACATGGAAATGGCAAAGGCGAGGGGCCACTCACTGTCAATTGAACTATCGGTGGAAAATTCGACCCTCTCGATGGTTGGATCTATGGCCGAAGTGTCAGCATTGCAATGTCCTTCGCATTAATAGAAAGTTCGTGGTCCCATTGCTCACCACAACGCCTGTGCTGAATATCCGAAACATGACCCAACCTGTGATACCGAGCGCGAGAACCGCCCAGTATTTTGAGCTGCCATTCTGTCCGATGTCGTCCTGGACGTGCTGCAAGATATTATTCAAAAGGCCGCTCATGGCCGTGTCTCTTTTCTGTTGGATCAAATGGCAAAATATGACCGGTAACGAGATGATTTCCGTTCAAGCTGGCAACCTGACAGTTGGAATGATGGGTCTTCACGATTGATTGTCCGCGGCGGTATTCACACAGAGTCTCAGAGTTCACCGGGCCGACATGCTGTATTGAAGGGAAGACAAATCGCCAGGAAAATGCACCCACCACCAGGAGCCGATCGATCCCTCAATGCCCGCACTATCACCCTTGACGTATTCATGGTATCGTCTCGACCGATCCCTATACAGCTATATGTATACTAACGAGGTTATTTCGACCTGTCCGACGTACTAATACTTTTTAGCTGATACCCTACTAGACTAGTCAATGTAAGACTAGTGCTAACGCTATTAGTAATTAGTATATTTCTAGCTAATAGTATGTTCGATAACTAGTTATATAAAAATGTCTCTATACTTTTACTATGTTACGATCCTGGAGCGGACCGGAGCAGACAGCCACGCAAGAGCACTGATCCAAGTCACGTGTCGCCAACCTTAGGGTCACACACCCTACAGAACCACGATGCAAGCAAGGGTTAGGAGAACCCTAAGGAGCAGCGCCTTGGAGCAGCTGCCTGAGCTAGAGCGTTGATCCAGGAGCAGGACTTTGGAGCAGACGCCAGAGCCAGAGCACCGCTCCAGATCAGAGCACTGGAGTCGCTGGCGACTCCAAGTCACTGATCCACACATTTCCTTTGTACCTAACTTACATATATAGGTAGGACGAATGGACCTTATGTCTGTTCGTGTTGAACTCATGTTACCAACTTAACCATTGGAATCAAAGCCCCTTTCAGATATCCTGTTGCACCACTCATTCTCAAGAATCCCCTCGAGTAAACCGCCCTTTGGCAGTTGACCCGTAACAAATAGCCAGACAGTTGCAGACGAGCCGATGTGTCTCTGGACCGATTGGGAATCCGGGCTATCCATACGTAGAACCATTGGACGGCTGTGGTGGGTAGGCTCCTGTGCTAGAAATTGGATTACATGGGGGTTGAAACAATACAGTGCTACCACCGGAGATATGTCATGATCGTACACGATCATCGTGCATCTCGTGTCTTGCTCTGTTCTATTCTGCCCGTGTTTGGTATCGTAGAAGCTTCTCTCGTTATTGATGGCATGATTGATCCCTCCATTGCTGCGTGGGCCTCTGGCCTCACGATCGCCATCCTCAGCTTTCTCCGCTTGATGTTTTTGAATAAAAGCTTCCGAGCGTCCTCGCCTTCATCGTCGTCGTCGTTGTCATACAACTCCCGGGAGAAGCTCGAGAGTTACCATGACAAGGACGGCACGGCAACGACAGAATCGTTCAAGGCCTTCTCCGACAAGTGGTGGTGGAGAAGCATTGTGGCACTATCTTCAATCGGGGCAATCTGCGCCTGTATCTCGACGGTGGTCACAATCAACCCAGTGCTTTCCAATGACAGACTGCCATTGCAGTTGATCCAAAGCGCTACTTGGGTAGGTTCGTGTCCTTGTAGCCGTCAACGAGCGTGTTCCCCACTCTCGCACAAACTCTAACTTGGTAATCATAGTGTTTCTCCATCATCCATGCCATCATTTCATCCCGAGCGCCACTTCCCAGAAGACATGGTCTCGCTCATGACGCGCTCTGGACTAGCCTTGGCCTTGCTATCCTGACCGGGGCAGGCTTCCAAGAATTCCATTCATACGGTGACAAGATCACTGCTTCGCCAGATGGTCCCGCCCTCGCCGCTGCCGTCCTCCGGGCGATATGCTGCCTCGCTATCCGACGACGTCCCGATGTCTACCACGATGGACAGCTCGTAGATCGGGAACACACCGTCAGCCTGCTCAGCAAGCTCACATTCGCTTTTGTGACGCCGACCATCACCTCGGTCGGACGCCTGCAAGGAAGCCTGGAGCATAAGGATCTGCCGCAGCTCCCCGCGCGAGCGCGCGCCGAAGTTCTACGCGCGAATCTCGACGCAGAAAAGGTGAAAGGGAAGAGCTTGTTCCAAGCACTGTATATGGTGCATCGGTATGGGCTTCTGCGGCAGCTCCTTCTTGCGCTGGCCTACGCGCTTTTCGGCTTCGCACCTCGACTTGCCCTGTTTGCAATCCTCCGCAGCTTGGAGACGGACCAATGGGGCGACCGCAACATTTGGGCCGCAGCGTTAGGTGTTGGGATGTTTCTGACTTCGGCATCGTCCGCCTGGTTATGGTGGGTGACGTACTCCCATCTCGCCGTGCCCATCTATTCGGAGCTGGTAGCTCTCATCTACGCCAAGGGCATGCGGCGGAAGGACATCCATCGTGCTGGAGAGGACATTGAGGGCGATGATTCCGGACAGGCCGAGCAACAGCAGCAGCAAGAGCAACACGAGACGCTCAATCTGGTGACTTTGGATGCCAAGCGCATCTCCGACTGCGCGTCATACAATCATCTGATCCCTTCCTCGATCCTGCAATTCATCGTAGCTTGCGGCTTGCTGACCTGGCTGATCGGCTGGCAAGCGTTGCTTGCTGGCATCGTCGCCAACTTTGCAGTATCTCCAGTCAACTTCTACGTGGCCAAAGTCTATGGGAAGTTCCAAGTCGGGCTCATGGCCTCGCGTGATCACCGCACGACAGTCGTCCGGGAGATGGTGGAAAACCTGCGGCAGATCAAGTTTTCGTCGCTCGAATCACATTGGCAAGAGAAGGTTACTCGAATCCGTGAGCATGAAGTGCGACAGAATTTCAAGTCGATCGTCTACGAGACCGGGTTTCAGGCGACATGGATCTTGGGGCCGTTGCTGATATCCTCCGTAGCTCTCACGGTCTACGCGGTCATTCACGGTCGGCTCGAGGCCTCCACTGCCTTTACTGCCATGTCAATCTTCGGGTCCCTCGAGGTGGCACTCGCCGCCCTGCCGCATCTTTTGACTGCAGCGATGGAAGCCAAAGTCAGTATCGATCGCATCGACAAATTCCTCGCGGAACCCGAGAAGGTCACTTCAAAGGCCGAGACAGATCGGATCCAATTTGACGACGCTTATATCGCATGGCCAACGCAGGAAGGCTCTGCGGACAGTTCCTTTAAGCTCTCCGGCCTGACGGTCACTTTTCCTTCCAAAGGCCTATCGGTCATTGCTGGCCGCACAGGAACCGGTAAGAGTCTTCTGCTCTCTGCAATCTTAGGCGAATGCGAGACCCTTTCAGGATCAATCTACACTGCCTCCAGCAGCGAAGATATGTGGCGGGCAACATTCAAACCATGGATCGTTCCCGGCGCAATCGCCTACGTTCCACAGAACCCCTGGATCGAGAACGGTACCATCCGTAGTAACATCCTGATGCGGTTGCCACTTGACCAGGCTCGCTACGATGAAGCAGTCTTCGCCGCTGGCCTTGAGCGGGACCTTCAAATCCTCGAGGATGGCGATCGCACGGAGATTGGAGCCAACGGAGTCAACCTCAGCGGCGGCCAACGGGCTCGAGTGTCATTTGCTCGTGCGCTTTACTCGCGCGCAGAGATTCTCATCATGGATGACATCTTCAGCGCACTGGATGCGGACACATCGAAGCATGTGCTTGACCACGGCATCCATGGACGACTCGCAGACGATCGGACACGTATCCTTGCTTCCCACCATACCGGATTATGCTTACCGAAGGCAGACTACTGTGTGGTTTTAGGGCATGGCACTGCTTTGTATAGCGGGCCCCTCGCCGAACTCAAGCAAAGAGAAGGCTTTTCCAAGCACATAAGCAGTCATGACTTGGATGATGTAGCGGAAGACAATGGCAAACCGAGGAGCTCGTCAAGTGACCAGGACGCTGTCGAAGGAGCCCAACAAACCGCTCAGATCTTCATCGCCGAAGAAACCCGAGCGATCGGTGCGCGCCGGCTGAAGTCGTACTTGCAACTTTTCAAAGTCGGCGACAAGCTGCAATGGTCATGGGCGGCCGGCTTTCTTGCGGCGCTGCTCTATACAGTCGCCCTCCTTGGACGTGTAAGTTTCCACCACGAGCGTATATATCATCAAGAAGCATGGGACTGACAAAGCGTTGCAGGGTTGGGTCCTTGCGTTGTGGACGGGCTCAGGCTATGCAGCAGCCACGCATCATCGAGACGCCTATTATTCTCTCATGTCGTTCGCTGTGACCCTGCGGGAGGATATCGCCACGACGGAAGTCCCCCTTGACTTCTTCAAATGGATGGGATTGTATGTGGGTGTCTCCATGGCTGCGAGCTTGATGGGCACGCTGCGATTCTTCCTGGTCCGTTGGGCCTCCTTGCGATTCTCGCAGGCCATGTTCCAAAACATGCTAGCGGCGATTCTTGGCGCTCCGCTCCGCTGGGTCGACACAGTCCCTCTGGGGAGGGTGCTCAATCGGCTCACGACGGATATGTTCACCATGGACATCGCCCTTGGCACAAACCTTGCCGAGCTTCTGGTTTGGGCATTGCAAATCCTCGCTGTAGTTGTTGCGAGTGTGATGGTCTCGCCCTATGTCCTAATTCCTGCAGCGCTACTTCTCTCCATTTCCCTCAGATTCGCGTTTTTGTACTTGAAAGCTGCTCGCGAGGCGAAGAGGTTGGAGAGCGTGACCAGATCGCCGATTCTCGAGCATTTCACGTCAAGCATTACAGGACTTACCACCATCCGGGCGTTTGGGCTCACGTCAACATACCTCCAGGCCATGTTCACTAAAATGGATCATTTCTCGAAGATATCCTGGAGTGTGTGGCTTTTTAAGTGGTGGATTCAATTGAGAATCGGCTTCCTCGGAGCAATCTTTGCCACGGCTATCGCGTTTCTGATCATCAGGCTTGGCGTATCCGCCTCTCTCTGCGGCTTTGCCATCAGCTTCGTGTTGCAATACAGCCAGGCAGTCTCTGATGCAATCGGCTCCTACTCCACTTTTGAGATGGATATGACGGCACTTGAGCGGGTAGCCGAGTATGCAAACGTGGAAAGTGAGGCCCAGGAAGGACACGAGCCGCCCGCTTTCTGGCCGACTCAGGGCAGGATAGAGGTTGAGAATCTCACTGTGAGGTATGCACCTGAGCTACCAGCAGCGCTCGAAGACCTCACCTTCTCCATCGAGAACAATGAACGCATCGGCATAGTCGGGCGCACCGGCAGTGGAAAGTCGACTCTTGCACTCGCTCTATTCCGCTTTATCGAAGCGAGCTCCGGTACCTTCCGCGTAGACGGGCTTGACGCATGCGCGATGAAGCTCACTGCACTACGCAGGGCCATGGCCCTGGTCCCACAGCACCCGACACTATTCGCTGGCACCATAAAATTAAACCTCGATCCCCGCGGAATCCATTCAGATCTGGAACTCGATGATGCACTACGCAGAGTTCACTTGAAGTCCGATCGGGCCACAGGATTGCAGTCCTTTGCGCTGAACAGCCCCGTCGCAGAGGGCGGACGGAACTTTTCGCAGGGACAGCGGCAATTGATCTGCTTGGCTCGAGCGATCCTTCAAAGGCCGAAGATCATGATCCTCGACGAAGCGTCTTCGTCGGTCGACGCGGAGACCGACTCGCTGATGCAGGAAACCATCCGGGCCGAGTTCGGCCGGAACATGAGCACTTTACTCGTGATCGCCCATCGCCTCAGCAGCGTGGCGGACTTCGACAAGATTCTCGTCCTTGACCACGGTAAGCTGGTCGAGTTCGACAGTCCGCGGAATTTGCTCGCAAGAGAGGGAGGTGTGTTTCACGAACTCGTGCAACGAAGTGGCGATCGGGAAGCACTTCAGAAGAGCATCCTTGGGGCAACACCGTGAACACACCGTGTTTGAGTGTGGCCCAACCGTAGGACATGTCACTTGAGCACATGAGAAGCGCCGAAATTTGCCCCGGTGGTTGAAGAAATTGGACATGTATTATTATAATTCGTGTGTTTGTACAGGACTTTGTTGCGTTCACCATGTACGGCAGTAATTTCTGCCTCATCACAGTAAGGTCGAATGACTCGCGGGTCCGTCGATTTGGGAGATTCAACCTGGACAAGTCGTTCTCCAAATTGATGATCGCAAACGCATTCAATGATGTCGTGACGCACATAAAGACAGTCACGAACGTGGTTGGGCGTCTGAATTAGTGAATCGAGTGATTCGAACGTTGGTGAAGTTGTCTACCACGATGCATTTGATTTGACTCGGGTGGTATGACGAGCAGCGGTGACACAGAACTGTGTAGTCAATGACCAAGCAATATATACGTCAAAGACAACTTAAGTAGCACATACGGCCACAGGCAGCTGAGAACAAGGGATCCCGTCCGCTCTCCCATATTTAAGCAGCTGACCGCGAGATTAGTACTACGGTGGGTGACCACGTGGGAATCCCTCGTGCTGTATGTTTTGCTTTTGCGATCTTTTTGCTCACGTCCGAATAGGACGATGAAATAAATCATGGTGAATACTTCGTCATCTCTACACGGTTTCATCTTGGTCTTTGCCATGGAGTTTTTGCTGACTAAAGTCAACGGCTCTTGGGCGTGTTTTGTGGAGAGTCCGGTTAGGGTTAGTGAAGCCGTGGTCGTGTCACGAAGAGGACCTGTTGTACTCCACCAGCATGGATGGAGTTACTGGATTGTTTCTTTTGATGGGCTTTGTCATCGATTCGGCTCACAGGGTACTCTCCGTGATGGGTCAACAGCACAATAAGACGACTTACTTCAAAGATGACAGTCGCCGACCTTAGGCTAAGGACGACGGTGGGCATGTTGATCGCTAGTCGATCTGCTCGCTCTTATATCCCCTTGCGGAATCGAGGTGGGATGCAACGAACGCGTTCGATTAATCGCGCTGGGCGTGGGATCCCACCTCGATAGAGGATGTCGGAACCCGCACCCAGCAGCTTCTCTGACCTTGAAGTCGAAGGCGATGAGGTATGCATATACCGATATTGCATGCTCTCGACTCTGCGGCGATGTAAATTCTCCGGGATGGGGGCTACTCACCAGCCAAAACGGTCGACCGTAGAGGTGCTGCAACAAGCCCGGGAATTTTCTGGGACCACTTTGAAGGGCGTTGAAAGGTCGGCCTGTTCGCACGCATGTGAGTGTTAAGTCTGGTTGCAAGGCTCGCGGAATCAGGGACTTTTGACGGCTGAGGTCCGACGATAACGTACCAACTTGCAGGTGCTCCAAGAATTGCCTCTGATTGGAGGAAGAACACGTTTCTCAAGTCTGGAGACTCTGTACTGGAATGCTGTCGAATGTGCTCAGAGATTTCTCCATCGATCCGGCGTCCGCTGCGACTTTGCGTTGGGGTCATGTATCTATCTTGGGAGCATAGGACGGAGGTTGAACAGGGACACGTTCACATTTCAACCCCTTTTCCAAAGATCCGTCGGTGAAAACTTCATCGCTGTCGTGAGCCCATGAGCGATGGTCTGGAAGGACAGCGCTTTCAATGAAATGATAGAGAGAATTGTCGCTGCCGAGGACCACACCCGAGCTTCACGTATCCTCTCCGTGTGTTTGTCGTCTCCACGCCGGAACTTGTTTCCGCTTCCTGCTCCCTGCATACCATGCCGACGGCGCAAGGTCCTTTGTTTCTCGTCGGCGTCTGCGTGAGATCCTGATCGATCGGTTGAGCGACAGACAGCCTGTGTCAGGAAAGGGCCTTTGAAGCCGATGGTGGAGCTGGAAAGAGATCCGAGCGCTAAATCACGGCGATTCTCGAATTAGTGAGCGGAGGAAAGGGTTTCGCAAGGTTTCACCGCACTCGACTTCTCTCCTCTGGTGTGGTTAATATGGTATTTCAGTGGTTCGAATCGTAGAGCCTCGGCGAACATCGATCTATCCTCTGAATGGAGTTAGAACATGCCGTTATTTTGCTTTCCTCTTTCACGATCTTGGTTGGACGAGAGCCCTCTCTCCTGTGGTGATCCACGCCGTTGGAAGCACTGCCTTCCTCCCTGAAGAAGTGTCGGGAACGGCGATGTCGCTGGGATATCCTGGGTCCTGAGATACAGAGCCGCGGGAATGAAGATAGAACGTCGTCGATGTGATCTGGCGGCGTGGCGGGACAGATCGGAGATGAGTCGCGCTAGATTGGAAGAGATTCGGATCACACGATTCCTTTGCGATGCGTATCAGACGCATCCAAAGTGCCCAGATGGTGAGCGCTGCCAAAGCTGACGAGAACCTCCCGCCCTGGTAGCCATCATGATGTTATAGAGGCGACCAAACCCAGCTCGCTGCTGGCCAGACGTAACGGCATTACTCGATTTTGCAAGATGATTTCCTCACTCTGTGTTACCAAGATGCGTTGGTCGTATGCGCAGGTCCGGATATGAAGGTCCCTGCATGTGCAACGTTGCCGGATTCCGATGTATCTACCAATGCGCTACATGTATTGATCGTGCGTAGCGCATGCGTCTTTCGCACAGCAAGTCTGCTCGCCCATTTGCGAGGGAGACAAGTACAGTGGTCCGTCTATGCAGGAGGTAGATGGTGCGTCCGATGTCGGAATTCTGGACGTTCGTACATCCTGCATTGAGCACGTTTACCCGATTGATGAGGAGGGCCATCGCATGTACATACAATCCATGTGTACAGTACAGTACATGGCACTGTATATGCAGGTGATCTGCCTTCAATTTTCCATGCGTCACGTATGAAATTAGACGAGGCATCGTAAGAGGTAATCCATCACCGAAGCTTGAGTCTTTCGAGGCACGATGATTGTCGATCGATGCAGGATTTCATGATGAAGGCGCAGTAAGAAGTAATAACAAGTGCCGATCGCGATATCGACGACAGCACTCTTCGGGGGGTTGTTCTGTTTCGTTCATGCCTCCAGCTGCTGTGACAGCAATTGTCAAGCCACATGCACATCCGGCCAAGTTATCTTGGCGTGCGTACGGCATTGAGAGGTCCGTGACCAAGCCGCGTATTGTTGTTCACGGCGCCTAAGAAACCTGCGATTGGTACCATTTTAAACAGATGTTTGCTTACTTGCACAGGTGTTTGTCTTGTCCTATAGTGTATATTCGGAATGTATGTAGTCGGGCTGTATTCATTTGCTGGTGACTGTGGGAGCGCACGTGGAGCAGAAGGATCAAATCCCAGCACGCAAACTAACAAGAGAGATGAGATGATCTTGAGGGAGGACCTTTGAAGAATTGATCACGGAAAGACGCGAATCGTGCAAGACATAGATGAGGTCAAGATTGGAAGGGAACGGATCATGTAGATCGCCGCTGCCACGAGAGGCGTTCCTGCAGCACGTGAATCGAAGCGCCGATGATTGTAAACCAAAGTGCCCGGGTGGAGCTCGGTCTTCTCTCCGATCTAGTCTGGGCTGCGAACCAAAGTTAATCCAGATGCCCGACCAAAAGCTAAATCCATTTACAAGTACGCTTTGAACTTATCTTTTCTTTTATTTGCACCGAGACCACCCTCTTTATCCATTTCAGATCATACAAGATGGTATACATACAAATTCGCCACGATTATAAACACTCTATTCCCCTCGAGAGCAGACACGAGCGTCCGTTTACCTCCGTCCCCTTCATTTTCCTTCCCTCGCCCTGATATTCTAAGAGGAAAGATTCGCATTCCAGAAAGCGATCAGTTACGGGACCTCCTAGCTAACTTGCTGTGGAATCTCATAAACTTCTGAAACTTTCCCTTATACTTTATCATCATCTCAATATCACAGACCAACAACTCACTGAGGATCTTTGAATGAATTTGCAGGGATTGCGAGGACAAAAAGAAGAAAACCGAGTATACGAGTGGACCACGCGAACGCCAATTCTATCGATAACGCTCTGTAGTAGGAGAAGGATGACCATTCCGCTGGTAGAACCGCTTGTGTTGGCGATTACTGTTGCCACGACTCTTCTTCGGTCGGAGAAATTACCGATGCTGGCAAAGGCAGGAGTCATGAGCAACGCTCCACCAACGCCACCGAGCAGACCATAAGTCTGTTTGGAAAACACCGCAACAAGTCGTCCAATCTGTGGTGAATCCAGCATCTCACACAACGGAGGGAAGCCGTGAGGAGTCATAGCAAGTCCGAGAGCGCTGTGACTTCGTGGAGTCACATCGATCTTAATAGAGGAAGATTCTGAGCGGGCGAAGGCATACGAACGTCACCACGGCTCGTGAAAGATCGGGCGGACTGCCAGAGGAAACGGGTGGCTCCGCAAATGAATTTCCACAGCGCCTCGAAGCAGCTGCTGGAAATTTTCCAAAGAGACTTCATGCACCTGCCGCTCACTCCGAGGGCAGTACGAATCGCCCGTATTCTTCCCGCAAACCGAGGTCGCCAAGGTGGCATATCCAAGACCGGAATGTCGTATTCAATGCCCGGCACAGGCGTTTCGAGGTTGTACAATCCAAAACCGATGTGACCGTTCGAGACATCACGGAAGTGACGCGCTACACCCAACTTCACGCGTTGTAGCGCGAGATCCTGAGTATCATCCGTCGTTGGAAAATCTGTCTGAGACATCAGTACCAGCGCATTGCTGTCGCATACGAGCCGGGTCAAATCTCTTGGCGCGCAGGGATATTTTCGTACACCGTGGGCGAGCAAAAAGACAAAGACGCAGCACCCGAGAATGATAGAGATCATGATGCCCATGGCCGACCAACCGATCGCGGCGGAGTCGAAATCGACAAGGTGCACACCCGCAGGGCCCGGTCCCCAGGTTGTAATGCCGAGCACGAAGATGCTCTGAGAGAACGCCCAGTGTAGCGCGACCTTGGCCAAGACAAGCGAGTATTGGTACTTGTCAGGGAGGGTGAGATGCTGTTGACGTTGAAAGAGGAATTCGGTACTTGGAGGGTTTCGTTCAATAGGCTTCCTTCGCAACCACATCCAAAGGGTGACGCACTGCGACCACAACCATTTGAGCTGCTTCCAAAGCAAGACATGGGGTCGTTTGAGCTGGGTCGATAGGGTCGGCTCGCCCTTGGCTGTAGATAAATCAATTTCCGGGTCGGATACTCGCAAATTCTTTGGAATTGTTATGTACTTGAGGAACGCATGCGCGATATGCTGACGGTTGAGAACCTTGAGTGAAGCGACGTACATGAAGCTTAGGGCCACTTGCGGGAAGTTGGCTACAATGGCACTAGCACGCGTGATGTTCTTGTCTATCGTGTGCTTGAGGGACGGAAAGTAATCTCGGAGCGGCAATATCACATCGTATCGACTTATTTCTCCAAAGAGAGGATTATCTGCAAAGTCCAAGGCAATGAAAGATATGAGGTCCCTGAAGACTTACGTGGTTGCGAAGAAGATCCAATGTCCGACCGGCACGGCATGTATCCAGAAGCTGCGTTTGTTCGGCCAAATCGCTGTCCCTTTTCTCACCGTCGAACGCTTGCTCCAACGCTTGTCGGACTTCTCGAGCTCTACAGCAGGTAAAATTTTCCCTCGAAGGCATTCAGCCACCAAATCGCCCCAGTGAACAAGAGCTCCTGTGCGACAGAAGAGCACGATGATCAGCACGGTGCCAAATTGAAGCATGATACACACCACACTGAAGATCAAAAGATCGTGGTCGAAAAGCAAGCTGCAGCGCGTAGATTGGTCAGCCACCTCCCCAACCAGACAGTGCGAAACGTTAAATATCGGGAAGACGCCCTGATCTCGCAATGGCATATAAGGTGTACGAACCTGCCAAGTATCCTGGAACTCGTTTGCCCACTCACGAGTACAGGGGAAATCTTCCTGGCGAGAGGTTACCCTCTTCGCCTTAGCGATGTAGCAGATCCAGTTCGGTGCCCTCCGGAAATTGTCGGTGCTGAACACACGAAAGTCCCCAAGCAAAAGTGATGAGCCGGAAGCATTAGATTTGCTTGAAGTTCGGTCGAGAACCAGTACGAGTTCGCGAGTCGTGTTCAGTGGCGAGATGAAATAATCGATACACTTGCTCTTATCGATACGTTCAAATGTTTGCATGCGTTGCGGGATCTGGAAGATAGACGGGTATCCTGTAGAATTCTTCCACTCTAAAGATCTCTGCACCCCGAGGACGCCTATCCCGGCGTGTGCGTTGTTTGTTTCCCAATCTTGTTCTGCACTGCGCCAGTCTGATGTTACTCCAACCATCGGATAGACGACGTATGGCGAAGCGGTAAACACAGCAGCATTGACACTATGACACGATCGGTGAGCAAACTTCCAACACGTGCGCGAACTTCCTGGATGGCGAACACTTACGCGAAATGCATAAGCACAGAGCTTGCGCCGATGAGTAACCACAAGACGAATCTCCACCAATGTAATCGCCAAGCAGCCCTGAAACTGCTACCGCCAATTTTCAAGGACTGGCCACGAGCGTGGAACTCTCTGACTTGGGATGTGTTCGGCGCCGACAAGACTTGCATCCAATAAAGGGAATTCCCGAGGAGCCCAGTCGCAGCAACGTTGACTAGGGCGTGGATGAAGGTATTCAGATGGGAAATCTCATTGCAATCTCCTGTGCGCCAAACGATATTATCGGCCGCTGTTCTGCGATGCTGGTTGCTGCCAAGCGCGTAGAGCGCTTCGACTGTCCAGGTGAAGCCGAGCAGGCCGGTGATGCAATTCCAGAATATGCCGAGACGTGTCTGTCCTGCAAGTTGTGAAAGAGGCAACCGCCAAGCGGCGGTACCTGTCCTCAAAGTGGCCGGGATTTTGAATATCCTCGACAGTGTGGACCTAGTTTGCTGCGTTCGAGGAAGTCTGAGTTCGGTGGTCACTGCGAGTGGACGGAGCTCATCGAGGTCATTGGGGCCCAGAGAGAGCTGTGAAGACTCAATCACCGTCGGGTCGATCTCGCAGCCAGAAGGGGTGGGCGGCGGAGAGTGGAATGAGGCAGGATCGTCGCGCCCTTCAGGGTGCAGACTCTGGTTCGCCTCCATGTTTGGGCAAGACTCACGATGAAAGAGTTCTGGTACCGAAGGAGGCGCCCAGATATGCCTGTTGAAAGTTTTAAGTGAATATAAATTACGAAAAGAAAGCCTGTGTCGGGTTGCCTGGTGCTCAATGATATTCACACTCAGCCACAAGTACTTTCAATGAGCGCCCCTGAGATGACAATTCCTCGACACCTTTCTCGGGGACATCTTTTGACCCACGCGTTGTCGTCCGAGGTGCACAGCCTTGGCTGCTCGCTTCAGCAGGATACCTGTCCGTATCTCAACCATCCATTTTGTGACATCCGGCCGCGTGACAATTGCTCAGCCGAGCGATTGCTCAGCCGAGTCCGTGGCTATGCCGTCGTCTGGAGTGCGCCGTGTTCGGATGCTCCGTAGGTGTAAACATGCACGAATCGGACCTTTCGGCGCGGACCCTGGTCATTCTACCCGGAGTGCGCTCCGATTTTTTATGCAAGAGGGAAGACCCTTGGAGTCTAGAACCTGCCATGTGGAGCTGGAGATCGGTCAAAGCCGTTGCGTGAAATTAATCTAGTGTCTGCAAACACCCACACATCCATTCGACAGACACCGCAAGAGGCACGAAACATCCGTAATATTTCTTCCCAGCATGAGTTACAGCGTAGACCACATTGCAGCTGCAAGCATAACCCGGGAAAACCTTGGAATTCTACATGCGACAGCGTGTCATCGACTGGCTGCTCCTGAGTGATATTTCGTCGGGGGAATCTCTCCTTCACCACTCCGTCGTGCGTATGATACTCCTCTGTTCATGGCCCTGTGGAAGATTTTTTTGGTGGCTGTCGCGGCACGTCACTCGTCCCATGGTGGATGAGCAGAGAACGTAACGCTTTGGTGTGCGTTTCTGGAGTGGCGGAGTCCGTGGCGTGTACCTTTTTGCGCCCCTGACAAGGATTCGAGAAATGCGTTGGGAAGACTCCCAGCTACCTAGCTACAGTTCTTCTGCGCTCTCGCTCTGTTGCTGGGCTCGACCTCGCCGCCAAGTCGGACATCGCCTATCTGACCACTGTACCCATGGCGTGACCAAACACATGTATTGAGGTTTGCATAGCCTTCTCCCCGACATCTGCGACACAAGTCATTATGCAAAATGGTCACCCCACGAGCGAGCTTCATCAGCATGCTGAACATGACTGCCCATCATGGAGGCTATTTATCTACGCCGGTCCACTGTCCGCATGTCATTCTGAGAGCCTGAATCTCAGCAGCACGTTACCTCTTTACCTCCACACATATCGCTCGTGCACGACTTTACCATGTCCATCACCACAGCTTCTTGCGTGGCGAAGGGTTTAGATTGCGGCGAACTAAAAACTTTTTTCGAGCCCGACGCAGATGTTGCTGGACTCGGGGTGCGACCATCATTTGTTCACAGTATTCTTCGACTCCAGGATTGACTTTCGGACAGGTAATCATCGCCTTTGCGGCTGTCACGTTCTCAGCGTGTGTTCTCTCAGCATTGTACTGGCTGCTGCAAGTATATTTCGAGATCGTTCCTCGGAGCAGTGATCGCCCAGGGCGACGCCAAAGACGCGAGTACGTTTCCGCTGTGCCCTCCACGTGGAACCGGCTCGACTGATCGACCTTCAGTGCCTACCAAGCCGCCTTCGCAGAGCGACTCAGCTGGTTCGAAATTATAGAGAATGTAATAATTTCCTTTAGCGATCAACAGCTTTTCGTCGGAGTCGCTTGGGGCATTGCTCTGCAGTTCCTTGGAGGCTGCGAGACGACGGCCTATCATTACAACATCATCACACACATGCTGATCATGACTTGTGCGACACATCTGGTGGCTATTGCGGTTGTTCGAAAATACTGGAAGTCACCGGCGGCGGCAGTACCTCGTGTCTTGGTCAGCTTGGCTGTCTATGTTCTGACCGGCATGTGCTTCATCAACCAACAGGCTGCATTCCCGAGCAGTTTCGACCGCAACGATCCCCCCGACAATCGATTCATTCAATATGCAGTGTGCTACCAAACAGGGAATACCACCGTGGAAAACCTCATCACGAACAGTGCGGCCAACCCCAATGCTGTCATCTTCGAGTCCGTTTCCGGATCCACTGTCATTGCCAACTGGAATCTTTACGTTATACTACTGGTCTGCTACGCAATCGCGCTGCTACGCCTCGTCGTTTTTGGTCTTGCCTCTTGTATTCGCAGCCGACCCAACCCGCCACGACGTTCGCCGCAGACTTCACTCAAGATCCTCCGATCCTTCGACGCTTTCCTTCAGCTATTTATGCTCGCAGTGGGTTTCGTCGTCTCGGCTTTTGCCTACCGATACATCGTCGATCTACGCGAATACCTCAGCAAATTTGATCGCGAAAGCGATACTGAGCCCAATGACGAAGCTGGCTTTGACGGATATGGGCAGCTCATCCCGCTCATGTTGATGTTGTTAACCACTTTCCAAATCATCGGTGACCTCAGCGGTAAGTTGAAACATCGGAGCCTTCTTCGTCCCGTCCCCCCTCTGATTTATCCCTGGATCATTGTAGTCAAATTCTATGAGTGGAAATCCCGACCCGAAGAAAAGGTTCAGGCAGTAAAGACGGAATTGGGCGGGCATCATTCGGGGCGGTGAGACAGGTCGGGGCCACGCGGAGATCGCATGGATACTGCTTGAAACTGGCATCGATGCGATTGCACAGGGTATGTCCCGGTACTCTCATACTGTGGTTGCTGCCAAAGGCTATGCGAAGACAGGGGGATCCTGCCTGACCAGCGGTCTCATGGAGGAGTACTGTCGAGGTGCCGCTCTGTGCGCAGCAGCAGCTTGTGGTTACTTACATGTAGTGGAAATGCTGTACGCATGGGGCGCAAGAGACCCTCGAGGAAGGGCTAGAAGTGTTGTCAGTGACGAGCATCAGCATCAGATCGTGAAATTTCTGGATGCCATGTGCAGAGTGCAGACTCAGAAGCGCGTCCGCTCGACTTTCAGTCTGCCAGTGAGGAAGAGGTTGAAGGTGGCGATTTAGGACGAAGAAGGAAGTGGATGTAGCATGTTTATTCGCAATGGCATTTTCCTTTAACAAATGACCCAAGGGTGCGAGACACGATAGATTGGGGAAGGTTGACCCGACGTATGCCATAGATCTAGAAGAGAACGACAAGGAAGATCAAAATTCCCACGCTATCGCGGTGCCTTCTGCTGCTTTCGCTGCCAGTAATGCCAAGTCGCGATTGTCGCCACCGTGATCGGAATTGTCACGACCCAGTACACCCAGAACATCTCCGAAACTCGCCACGCCGCTGCGGTATCTGCAGTCGCAGGCTGAAAGTTGAAAAAACTCATGCTGAAGATGGCCTTTACGAGTTATTAGCGCAGCTATTAGAGACACAAGAATAAGGAATGCTTGAACAGGACCATGCTTACACTGACAAATGTTCCCGGTAAGAATACCAGACCGAGGATGCTGATTGTCTTCATGACACGGCCGTCCGTTCGTGACAGCTCCGCAATCTGAGTGGCGATCTTGCTGTCATTCTGGGCGTTGAGATTTGAAGCCTGCAACACTCATCAGTTCACGCATCACGAAGAAGCCTTCTGGAGATGCTGACCAAGCTGATTTCGTTCTGTAAGCGCCGCTCAAGGGCCTTGGAGCGCTGAAGCAAACATTCAAGCAGTGATCTCTGGTGATGTAGCATGCGGCAGGCGTGGACGTTCACAAGCGTTGAAGGCTGACTCATGGGAGGACGATCGTGCTGTTCTTCGATGATTGACCGGATCACATTTATTGCAGAGGTAAGCACCTCGGTTGAGTGGATAATATGACGAGCGAGCTCGTGCATGTAGAGAAACGCTTCTCGCGAGTTGGCATTTTCTTGCCTTTCCAATTCCGACTCGCGAACCCAATCACGCCACAGCCAGACGGAACTGTCAAAGGCACGCACGATAAACGGAAGGATGAAGGTATGCGCATCGTACGGTGTGGATGCAATCTCAAGCTGCTTGCTTTTCAGCAACGATTGTCGTACTTCCTCGCATAGCTCATCCGGCAAGCCAAAGCAAAGTACGGTCGTGCTTGTGCTCGAATACCATTGAGTGAAGAATGCCAGATCATCCCACCGGTAAATGCTCTTGGCAGCAGGAAATGCATGAGAACATCCGGCTGTGTGGGCAGGCTTCATCCAGGGGCGCTTGATCAGAAAGCGGAACCATGTACGGTAGCCTTCGTCTGCATCTCCATCGGATAGCTCGCTCGCACCGAAGAATCCAGTAGCCTCTCTCGCCAAAGGCTCGAAGAAGTGATCTGGTATCCCGAAAGCGGAGCATAAGAGCGTCGTCTGGGCGAGCTGTAGATCCTTTGGCAAACTGTATCGAGTGAGAACGCTAAATTCACTGCATTTTCATCTTGTTTCGAGCTTACAATGCTACGCGAAGTCGCGTCAACGGTGCTTCCACTGCTTCGGCATTTTTGGCCGATTCTTCGGCGCTACAAAATTTCGAGATATCGCTCTCGGCGGCTGTCCAGCAGCTTGCCTGCACGTCTATGAATCAAGGTCAGCCAGTGTCTATTCATGTTTTGCACACGACGTACCATATTGGACCAGTGTGATATGAGCGGTCATCTATCTTGCAATTCCGGTGAGGACAGTGTCTTTGATCAGAACATGAATTCATTTTGAAATATTTTTGTGATATTGGCGGCATGGGAGTTTCGATCACTGAGGCTGAGTGACCTCTCTAATCTTCGCTCCGCATCAGAAAGGCGGCGGCCGCCCACATCAAAGTCACGTGATAGCTGTGCTGACACATTCCAAGGGTTCCGACTAAGCAATCCTCAACTACACATGGTCCACGGAGAGATCTACTTCCTCGCTTCTGAGTTACGCAGGACCTGATGGTGAAACAAAAACCGAAGTACTATTGCGCAGGTTCAATCTATCCCCAGCCAGGGCAATGCGAATGCTGACGAGTACTGCCTGCAAAAGTCGACGTCGAGAAGTGTGTCTCACAACAGTCTTTGAGCCCTCAGCGGATCAGACGAATCCTCTCCATTGGCGGCTTCCTTGGCGTCTTTGTTATCAAAGTAAGCTTTGGGTTAAGATTTTTTAGATTGTGGTGAAATGACGATGAGGTTGTTCGATCTATTCTGAACAAGAAACATATGCCCAATTCGGTTGGTCGTGATCAACGAAGCTGGACATCCACTTTGGGCTCTACTTGGGTAGCAGAGGGTCTCGGTAATACAAAGATTGCTCTCCTCAAGTGCCCCATGGTGAATCGGTAAGGAATAATATGCAACGACTTCATCGATCTGAACTCCGCCCGTGGTGAAGGCCCATGCGAGGCCGCCATCTTCTTACCGCCATTGATAGGGGTTAAATTTACGCGAGCCGAAATGCGGCTTATAGGCAGTGACGGCGCCTTGGCTACGCCAGAAGATTTCTCCGCGATGCATCATCCGCTTCAGATTGGGCGCACCATCGCGCCGGCGGGAAATACAAATTGAGACAACGTGAAATGTAGAACAGCGGAATGACGTCAACGAACTGGGCGGAGCGTCGTCCGTTGATCGACAGCCTGGTGCAAAGTTGATCGTCGATTGTGGCTGGCTAGTATCGTCAAAACAAATAACGTCAAGCTGCCCGGCGCGTCTCGTCATCCACGCGCGATGGTAGATTTGTACTAAAGTCTAAGATGCCGCGACGGAGGGATGGTCCGCTTGGCGCAGATAAATTGCCTGTATAGTGCCGCGGCTGTGATGGCACGTCGTGCACGTGTGCCTTCTGCGGCGAATGATAGACGGCCACTGGACTTCCTATCACGCGTGACAGCCTAATTTCGTTGACCATGAAGACCCGCCCATGCTTGGCAGACGCTCCTCTTGCGCCCGAGTCATGGAGAACAGCTTCCCGCGTTCATTCGTCCGCGCCGCTCATGCGCATTAGTGATGTTACCTCGCTGGCCATCTTTGATGAGCTCCCACCAGACTACCAACTCTGTACGACCTCTTCGATCGCGATTTCGACAGTCATATGCGATTCCGATGGACAGACAGGCAAACAGCGGCACGGAACACAGGCACGGGCGAATGTCAGAGCAGGGTAGATGAGGTCCGGACGTCATAGCTACCTTGAATTCCTCTCGCCCAATTCCCACCCATGACACAGTGTCTGGTCGTTGCTTTGACGCTGACTTATATCTGCCTTCATTCTCCCATTGCTGCTTGTCTAATGCAAATAACTTTCTAAGTTACTGACTACCCACGAGAACAGATACCGCCACAGCCATGCGCTACATTATCATCCCAGCGCTCGTCGCCACTGCGCTAGCTCAGACCGATAACAGCAGTCCTAAAATCAACCCCGATGCCCCTGTCTACAGCTGCGATCGGCTCCCCTGTGCAAGCTACGCAGAAGGTGGCTTCTGCAGGTCCTCCACTGCAGTCGGTCTCGTGGCCGACGCTGTTCGTCTTCCTCGGGCAAACTCCTCCCTTTCGTTCACGCTCGTCGAGGGAGGTCCCCAGGGCTCACTGACTCAGCCGCCTTTGCCGTTTGACTTCACAACTCGGACTCTCTTTGTCGGAGCCTCTGCTGGCGTGGATCTGCGCAGTCGGCCGCCGGCGTGCGCACTACTGATGCAGTACGATTCAGCGACTTTCCCATACTTCACGAACAACTCGCCCGCCAATCGCAACTCGACGACCTGCCCGAACGGGTTCGTTTTCGCCAATGACCTCTCTTCTTTCGCTTCTTCCATTCAGAACTTCAGGTACTCCACCAGAGCCGCCTCTGGTTCCAATTCGACCTCCTTGTCCCGCTGCGAAGCCTTGGCATCCTACGTTGAGCAAGCAATAAACTCCAACATCACCTTCGGCACCTACTACGGATCACTCGTCAGCGTAACAGGCGGCGCAATCTCAGGCTCGGGAGTCGCGAAAAATCAAGTTCAGTCGCTTTATGGATCTCAAACCGACCCAAGCAGCTGCCAGCCTTCGTTGCCTCGAAACGTTCAGCTCTACAACGTGACGTCGGCCACCGAGATCCTTCGAAAGTCCCCACAGTCTCAGAACTTGACCTATGGTGGCAGAATCGGATACTCTCCCCTTGTGAGCGTGGTCTACGACAGCGAGGACGACACAAGCCCTGATGTCTCCGTTCATTGCTTGCACTTGTGGGCCACCAATGGATCGGCATTGCCATACTCAACCTTGGTCGCTGATCAAGGCATGGGTATTGCGAGCTTCGGTCATGTCAGCCTGGGCGCAGTGGTTGCTGGCCTTGTCGTCGGTACCTGGATGATGCTTTTCTAAGCATGCAGGACCATTGCCATTGGCTATGCGTCTCACCCTTCCGCGCGGCGGCGATGGGATGATAAGGACTTTGGAAGTTGAGGGTATCGGCGTCGCAGACTCTGTAAGTATATATACTGCGAATGGCTTGGATGAGTAATGTTCGGATGGATCATCATGACAGCATAATCGCTTGAGCTGAGGTGTGAAGATTAGCTTCACTCATCAGCTGTAGACCCAAGTCGGCCTCAAGTGTTACATAATGGCCGATCGCTATCTTGTCTTTTTCTTCCGAGGTACTATCATCGTTGAAGCGAATGAATCCTTTCCAGTGACCAACATGATGCAGTCGCACAATATTTCGAAGAATTCAGGGGATACTCAACGGAGCAAGCTTCCGCCTGACGTTGGCGGTTCGTTCCGAGCTGCCAATGATATTACAGTACTAGGTAGAAAGTTTGTTCAATTTCGCCGCAACACCCCCGAGACGCGTTTTGCACCAATATTTCAACACGCGATAACTCAACAATGCCACGACGGATTCTTGCGCCGATTAGCTCAAATGAAAGGCGTGGAGCTGAAGTTTCTGACGGGAAAAGGCATATGATAATTGGTCGTTATCTCGCAGGCCAGAAGATCAAGGAAATCCCAGAAGCCGAATCGATGAAACATCACACCGTATACCGGCTGATACAACGATACAAGGAGCGAGGAACACCCTCTGTTTTGCTACGAACCGGCAGGCCCCTTAAAGCGACGCCTCGTGACATTCCTGCTCTGAAAAGGGTAGTCCTTCAAGATCCTAAGTTGACCTTTGAGGCTCTCAAAAAGGAAGCCGACGTGGATCTATCTTCGACAATAATTAAGAAGGTTCTACGCGACGAAGGCCTATACTACTAGCGTGCAAAAGGCCGGCTAGAGTTGACAGAAGCACAGGCTGCTTACCGGTTATAATAGGCCCTCCAACATCGCGACACAGACTGGACTAAATGGGTCTTTTCTGACGAGTGCTCTGTTGAGACTGGCAAAGGCCAACGAAGGCTGTGGGTATGGGGTCCTTTCGACACGCTCTACGTACGAAACCACGTCCAACCGTATAAGAAGGGTAAATAAGGATCTCTGATGGTCTGGGCTGCTATTGGTATTGGTTTAGGGCCTTCCCCTTTGATTACAATACCGAAGAACGCGAAAGGCACCTATGCTTCAGAAGAATATACGGCTACCCTCGAGGAAGGCCTTCTACCCTTCCTCGATCATCCAGAAGACGCTGTATTTCAATAGTATAACGCCTCAATCTATACAAGTAGTTGGACTATGTCGTGGTTCTTAGAAAGAGGCATCGTAGTCCACGTTAGCTGGCCCCCCTACAGTCCAGATTTGAACTGTATTGAACACCTATGGCCACGACTAAAAGAGCGTCTCTACGAGCTCTGTCCTGAGTTATTAGCTCCGGGGGCTACGAAGGATTAACAGACTACGTTACTTGAATATTGGTTACCCCTAGCATGGGACGAAATCATGCATTTTCGAGAGCCGTGTATTGAATTAATACCGGACAGGATTGAGGCAGTTATTGTAGCACAGGGTTGGTACACGCGATACTAGAGCTACCAGATTTTACGACGTGAAAGAGCGCGTTAAATAGTCCATATTCCTTCATATAAGCGAGTTATTTAGACTTGTGGTTGTTAAGATAATCTGAAGTTGGTGTGGTTGTCCGAGGGTATGGCTGAAATTTCAAAATTGAACAAACTTTCTACTAGTCACTGTAGGGTTACGGGGTCTACCACGAATGGTGCGAAGACTGCCCAAGAGCACTTCGTTAATTACATTTCACCGCAACCATCGTCTCAATTCGACAAATCTCAAGAACAGAGCCTATTTTGAATCTACGAACTGCGTATTTCGCATCTATGAGCGACTTCGCAGGACGCGTACCATGACTTCAAGTTCGCGGCGAAACTTACACACGCTGCTACACGCGCATCTTGTGAGCCCAACCGCCGCAAGACAACGCGCACACTCGCTGTGGTCGCACTCGTGATGACAACCGACCATAATCGAGCACAATGACAAGACACGAATCTTGATGTTACTTCCAGGATACATTCAAAAACGCACAATGATCATCGACGAAGGCATCCTAGCGGTACACAACGAACCCCAAACAAAACATGGCATAATCCCCGACCCAACCAAGAAAATCGTCCCAAGAGTTTCACGCCTCCGTCAACGTGTTCAATTCCCCCTCATGATGGTGAGTCGAGCCCGACGCAACTCGCGACCGCGACGCAACACTCGACGAGCGACCGCCGATCATCATCTGATCCCGGATAGATCCAAATACACGCTCATACGCTCCACTGCGCTGATGGTGATGGTGGTTGTTGTGGCCAACAGGCGACATCGGCCGCTCGTGGATGCGCTCTAGCTGGCGGCATTTCTCCTCGTATTTCTGCACGTATTCGTCGCGCTCGCGGTCGGCGCGCTCGCGGGAGGAGATGGCTCGTTCGCGCTGCTCGGTTGCTTCGCGGATCGAGGCGCGGAGGTGTTCTGAGTCGTGGTGGAGCTCTTCGAGTTCGGCTTGGAGGAGGCCGCTGGAGCTTCGCAGTTCGTCGTGCTTGGAGCGCAGGTCGGTCATGTCGAATTGCAGGCTGTCGCGGGATTTGATTATTGTCTTGAGCTCTGTCTCGAGGGTTGTGATGCGGCGTTTGTATTGGGTCACTTCCAGCTCGTACTCGTTGTGCTTGTGACGGAGCTCGTCGAGGCGGCGCTCGGCGGTCTCAGAACGCTCGATGAGGGTGGTCCGCTCGGTCCGCATGCGAACGATGGAGGATTGGAGCTCCTCCACCTCGGATCGAAGAGTATGGGCGTGGTGTGAGGATTCTTCAAGCTCGGATCTTGTGCGGCGGAGCTCATCTGCAGTCCTTGTCTGCTCTGCGACCAGGTGGCGGTGGTGTGATCGTTGTTGCTCGATCTTCTCTGTGAGGGATGCCCGCTCTTCCTCCAGGGATGTGATGCGCTCTTTCAAGGAGACAATCTCCAGTCTGAATTTCTCATGACGATGGAAATCACCAGAGTGTTCCTCTTCAATCTTTTGGCGTGCCACGATTGCAAGCTTCAGCTCACGGCGGACCTGCTCAATGGCAAGGGAAAGCTCACTCTTCTCTCTCTTAAAGGTGGAGATGGTCTCGTGGTGCTCCTTGATCTCCAACTCGAAGCTCTCGCACTTCTCTGTGAGGGTAGACACGGCATGGAAGTACTCATCGATCTGGATGCGGAGCTTCTTCTCTTCCAAAGTCGCCTTCTCGAGTCGCGCGGCATATGCAACACACTCCGTTTCCGAGACTGTGAGACGTTGCTTGAGTGAAGTGATTTCTTTACGATATGTCTCGATCTCGATGCTGATCTCCTCCAATCTAGTTGCCAACTCTTCTTTTTCGCGGTGGACTTCGCGGTAGCGGTGTTCATGTTCATGAGACTGTCGACGAGCAGTGTCGCGCTCGACCTCGACGGAGCGTAGCTTGGACTTTGTTGCATCCAACTCCATGGTGAGCGACTCGCGTTCCGATTGAAGATGTGTACGGGCACGGTCGCTTTCGTGGAGTTCATGTCGAAGTCGCTTTACTTCCTCTTTGACTTCGGCATATCTCTTCTTCTCCGTCACCTCATGCGAGGCAGCAGTGGCAAGGTCAGTCAAGAGCTTCTCGATGGTGCGCTGTTTCTCGATGAGCTCGCGTTCGTGTTGACGGTGGTTGTGTTTGTGAGTCTCAGCTTGCTCGATGAGATGAGAGATCTTCTCATGGAGCTCATTCCGCTCCTCGATCAGACTCTCATGCTCGGTGGTGATGTTCGACCACGATCCTCGCAACGAAGTCGCCTCCCTGGATGCGCTCGAGATCAACTCGGCCAGGGCCAAGAAGTGACTTTCGGCTTTGGAAATGCTCTCTGACGCAGCCCAGCGCCGACGTTGCGAGATTAGGGAGCTAGATCTCGACAGCGAACGCCGGTGCGAGTGGCGAACGACTCCGAGGTTTTGACTGTGGGAGACAACCGACTCCGCGTCATCGGCGGCGCGGACACCATCGCGGTGAAGCGTCGACACGGAAGCGCTGTCGGGGAAATCTTCGACCGGGTTCACTTCATGGGCAGCGAGTTTCATCATGGCGAGTCGATCGTAGATGCTATCGTAGGCGGTTGGTGCAGTGGGGGCCTCCATATTGATTCTTCACCCAATTCCTTTACCGAGAAAACGATTCTTGCGAGACACGAAGATTTTAATCGAGGGGCGTGGGCCCATATCACTCTTAAACTAATCTACGCACATTCTTCTTGTAATGACCGTCGACAGACGAGGCGTTGCGTGGCCCGGTCATGTCCGGACATAGCAAGACGCCCCAGATCTCGCGAGACTCCATTCGAGGCGCGGAGCTCCAATTGAGGAGCGCCATGGAAGGGAAGTATCCATGAGCGGGAAAGAGAAACGAGAATGTCACTCTCGTTGTACATCGTGGGTTGACTGATGGGGAGCACAGAGAGGGGTCCCTTTGCGGGTTCAGCTCACGCCACACGCGCCTTCTCCGATTTCGTGGCGTCCATAATTGCAGCGTTCCGATCAGGCGTTGCATGCATTAGCGGCCACGAGCACTCGAGCAAATCGCTTTCATTTCCATTACTCATTGTCGGATATGCTATGTATCTACGTAGCTGGGATCGCATCTATCTCAAGCGCTATTCCCATCACTTGCGCCACCCGCTCACGCCGAAGTTGGCCGTTTAAAGCTATGAATATCACAGACACGTGGTGCGATAGCGGCGCTCTACTTCAACGTCATGTATAGAAGAACCATTCCATAGACAACACAAGTCCCAGAAGTGCGAATAACATACAATTGCCTGATCAACAGGACTATGCTTCCGGAGCACAAGAAATGTCTCGCAGCACTGCACGCTAGAGCATGTTCGAACAGCTCCCAGAAACGAATATTGCGTTTGAATCGTGTCCGTTCAGACAACGAGGATGCATGGTCTCAGATAGGATGGACCTAATCATCGAAAATCATACACGCAGTAGTTGATCGATGATCGAATAGTCAGAGATGAGCTATGTCACTCCCGGGGCCAGGAGCCTGTGGTAAGACAGGACAAGTGTCGTGATCAATATTGTATTGGCATTAAAGTATGACGGCCGAACCTTTTGAAGGTCGTCCGTGAATATCAACAACAAGATTTCGATCTGTTACGTTCGGCGGAGCGTCTGAAAAGCTGATACCGAAAAAGCTCTCAGCATCGCATCGCCCCTGTGTCATTTACTAGATCAGCGATTCCAATATATTATCTCTCGGCGAAGGATAAGTCTTTGCCGCGACCCTCACCACCATCGATCTTTTCATGAGATGACAGACTATTGACTGTGCTTCTCTTTTTAATTTGCCACCCGGAAAGACAATCGCGGCGTTCTGGCATGCAATCGAGATCGAACAGCTCGTCTTAATTTTATGCCCGGAGACTGGACCCAATACACCGTGTCTGCACTTCTGAGGGATCCAGCTAGACTTCGCACCGACGAGACTGTTTAGCGTCAGTAGTTATGCCGACCGCTGATTTCGACAAATGATGTTCACGCGCACATCGAAGTTTTCCATTGCGTTGGCAAAGCCGATATCACAAAAATCCTTTGCGATACCACCATGTTCGCTGCCCAGTCGCTTTGCTACCGGCCGAGCGAAAAACGTAAGTAAAGGAGAGGGATCACCATCACTGGTAATCTGAACCCAGGCACAACGGCCATCAAGCAGATCGTCTCGGATCCGACCCTCACTCAGTCAAGGCATCATCATCCGAAACATCCTCGTCTTCATTCGCGATGCTCTAGTCTGCAGCGCCCAAAACTTTCGGCGCTACTTTGATGACAATCGGACCGATCTTCCTGATGTTTTCCACCATCGTATCCATGAATCCTTGCGTGCGGACTTCTGGCAGGCTGATGGCGGCGTCTAGAGCTGCCTCGCTCAGCAGAGATCGATGAAGCAGCGTCTCGAAGTACGGCTGGATTTGGTCTTGCAGAGACGTTTGTGGCGCGATGGAAGTTCCGCCTTTTTCCTTGGGGTCTGGTGAAACAGCCCCAATAGTATTTGCAGTTATTTCATTCGGCGACGATTGGTTCAAGGCAAAGGTCTCAAGTGCCAACAATTCATGCGTTTGGATAAGTGGTGCGTTTGAGGAAGCTAGGCCCTTCATTTGATCAATCGCTGCCTGGGCGGCCATCTTGGGAGCCTCCGCCGCGACTTTCGACACGACTTTCATTATATCCCAAAAGCCCTTTTCGTCTGTAGAAGTCGTATGGATCTGTGCGGCTTGCTGGAGGTCTTGAACAAAGCCGATATTGGCCATGATAGCTTCATCGGCCGAGCTGATGTTGGTTTCGGGAAATTTGATTTCGATTGGGTCATTATGTGCGATTTCCATGAGGGCCGGTTGAATTGCTTGAGCAAGTATCGTTGGTCCAATGACCGGTGCGAACGCGGTGACGGCTTCCTTGTTCATCTCGTAGATTTCCTGCATCCTCGATAGGATCCCTAGATCGGCCGCTTTTGCCGCATCCAGGCCGAGCACCGCCTGTAAAGCGCCCTCGGCGAGGATAGCACGAGCAGCAACTTCTTCCGGAGTACTCGGACTTTTTTCTATCGTTGACAGGTCGTGACCGCTTGATCCGGACGTTCTACTCGCGAGGCCCAAGGCGACGCCAACCACAGCGGCGATGGGTCCGCCGATGGGCCCGAGAGAGGGAATGCCCGCGCGAGATGGACTCTTGCTATCGACCTCCGCGACTTTTTCGAGAGCGCTCAAGAAGTCCCCTGTGTCCGACGATGTCGTCGCCTTCGAGGAGATCTCTTCGCTGAGCACACGGCTTGAGGAACACCCATGGGCTTCCCCGGCGGTTGGATCACTAGAGACGGTCATCATGATGGGTCGGAGGTTCAGAAGGAAAGTGCAGTCGCACAGTCGTGCGTCGGGACGCGAGGCTCGAATCTGGAGCAAATCCCGAGTCAAGTATTCTTCGCACCCAACTGGGGGATCCACATCGCATCGATCCCGGAGAAGGTGGAAGAAAAAAAATAAGAAGCACCATCTGCGGCTTTTTTATACCTTGCGCGAGCACCGATCCGACGAGATCATCCTGTACAGCGCTATATGTCTCATGCATGTGAGCATCAGTGATGGTCCTCACGCCATGGGCTGACCCACTCGGTTCCTTCCCCAGAACGCCACAGGCTCGGCGACGCCGTTTCTACTGACATGCATCTAACAAAGAATCGATTCCTACCGCAGAGCACAGCCTGGACAGGCATTCATACGGCGGAATACATTGCATGAGCGCCTTCAAGATGCTCCCCTCTTCCGGTTGGGCTGATTTTCTGCGTGCAGAAGCCAAAAGAAAAACCCCTCGGCGATAAAAAGCACGAATCGTCCCGTCCCGCCGTCAAACGACAGGATTGAAATCATCCCATCTCGGGAATAGAACACTGCAGCGAGAAGAACGACAAGAGGCGGAGAAAACAAAGACGAGATGGGTCATCTATCGCTCGTTTCTATGACCCGGGAGAAGAATCATCGTGTAGGTTTCCAATCCCTGATACTAACTCAAGGAGGGAGGGAGAGAGCGAGAGCATGCGGGAAGGAAACGAGAGACGACCGCCGTAAAGGATGTGATCTTCTCTCTGATGATGGGCGTTGAGCTTCTATATCAAGGTAGTAAGATGTGAGAGAGAGGGAGCGAGAGAGAGATTAGGATCGCCTCCGTCAATGAAGAAGAAGAAGAAGAAGAAAGAAGAAGCGAGAGAAGATGAAGACAGATGAACCCGTCATCTTTCCCCACATACACGCCGGTAGTTCCCCCTCCCTCCATCCCATCTCATCCCCTCTGCAGCGAGAAAATGCAACCGAACGGCCTCACCGAGAAAAAAAAAGAAGAAAAGCCGAAAAAACGAAAGTTAAAGGCACGACAGAGAAAGAAGAGCGGCGCATCAAGAGACGACGCCAGCGACACCCATGCCGGGCCAGCTCGGCCTCGCGCCCGGTGAACCGAATTTACTCTGCCAGGCGAAAAAGTACATGAGGGCGGCGATGGGCTGGCCGAAGAAGCAGAAGGAGATCCAGAAGGTGAGGTTTCCGGCGAGTCTGACGTTGGGCCCCCTGCCGAACCACTTGGGCAGGAGCTCGGTGAAGAAGATGAGGGGGATTTGGCCGACCATGCCGAAGAAGGCGACGCCGAGGATGCTGTGGGTGGGCACGCCGATGAGGAGTTCGTGGAGGACCCCCGAGAAGAGGAAGGTGATCAGGGAGGCGGCGAAGGGCGGGACTCCGCGGCCGACGAGCGGCGAGTAGATGTGGCGCTTCATGAAGTGGGTCACGGGCCGGTTCCAGGATGTCCAGTAGGATTTCAGACTGGGGGAGGTTTTGTGTCAGCATGAAACGATGGAGCTGTGCAGAGAAAAGCGAAGACCGGAGAAACAAAAAGAAGAGCAGGATAAGAGGGGAGGGAAGAAGTCACTCACGATGTACTATTCCACCAATCTCCATAGAAATCCCGATCCCCGAACCTCATGAGTTCGGCCAGGGCGTTCAGGAGGGACTGGAAGATGGCGAAGAAGCCGGCCAGCCAGCAGACGAGGCTGATGGTGCTGAGCTTCATGACGCGCTCGACGATGTGCAGGACGCGGAGCTGCGAGATGTCCTCGAGGCTGTTGTGGAGCAGCGGGGCGGCGTACTGGGCGCTGGTGACGAAGATGAGGATGCACAGGAGGGAGAACTCGCAGAGGCGGCGGAAGACGAAGTCCCAGCGGATCTTCTCCGAGCGCGGGTACACCGGCTGGTAGACGAGGGTGGGCGCCCACCAGAAGTAGCAGATGTTGCCGAAGTTGATGTTGCGCGGGTACGGGCAGGACCTGTACAGGGCGGGCACGATCTGGGAGTCGGGCGATGGGTCCGGGTAGAGCATCGCGTGGCGCAGGTCGCGGTTGGTGAAGGCGTAGGAGCAGACCTTCAGCCAGACGATGATGGAGTGCATCTCGGCGATGGTCCCGAGGCCCGGGTTGTGGATGTTGTTGTAGACCTTGTAGGTGGCGTACACGAGCATGAAGGTGGCGTTGAGGGCGTGGAGCAGCGCGATGATGGTCCAGGTGGAGAAGATGGTCTCCTTGACGCCTCCTGTCTTGCCCTCGAACGAATCGCTATCATCGCCGTCCCTCTTCTTCTTGACGCCCGCCGCTCGGAGCGCGGTCTGCGAAGCCAGGTATTCGATCATGTATGCGATGAAGAGATGGCACGGCGTGAGGGCGTACAGCACCGCCGACCAGTACCAATCCTCCGACCGCACCTTGGCGCCCGCCACGGTGACGAGCAGGCCATACTTCTGGAAATTGTCGACCATCAGACGGAGGTTGGAGAAGAGGATGACCAGGCCCATGAGGTTGCGGAAACCCAGGGCGTCCGGCGGCGTCTTCGTCTCGGGACTGAACAGCGAAGGGCGAGAGACATGGTGAATGGCAAAGGTGTGCTTGTATCGGGTCGAACCTCGTTCGTCTATGACCTCCTTCGCGGCGCGCTCTTTCTGGTTGCGGTTGTTGGCGGGCTTGCCATTCGCAGCCTTGACGGTTCCGTTCTGCAGGCTGTCCTTGGCCATGTCTTGAGAGGCGATCTCGAGTCCGGCGGGAGGTGTTCTCGGTGTCTTGCCTCCTCCGGTGAGGATGGGATGTTGCTCGACGGGGAGAGATGTGAATGTGGTCGTGGTGATTGCGGGAATTTCCTGGATTTATTATATATATTATGGAATGACGTCGGATGTCGAGCTTCCCCAGCTCCGATCGATGTCCGAATCCGGGGTATTTCCTGCTGAGGGGAATCCGCGCTTGGATCGAGCACGCTTTCAAGGTGTTTTGGATGTTGTTGTGGGTGATGGCGATGGCGATGGCGTGGAAAGACCAGACGAAAGGGAAGGAGATGTGAGGAGAGCCATACTAATATTGCCTCGGCGGCAGAATAAGAAGCAGTGAGCGAGGTGAAGTCGGAGGTGGTTATTATAGCCCGTCGTGTTGGTGGTGGTAATGCGTTGAATGCGGGCGTTTCAGGGACGGTTTGGCGGGCAAAAAGCTTGGAAATCCATGGAATAATACATGGATACCTGGGTAGGTATAGAGTGGGAGAGGAAGGTTGCTAGCAATTACAGTGTATACCATCTCCCTCATGGTCTATTATGGGTATCTATCCATCTAACGTACCCGATCCCTTACTCGTAATGATGATAAGAACGAACGCGTACGACCATCACACACACTCGGAGTGACTGTCTGTATATTTCGTACATTATGCATATACAGACAGTCACTCCGAGATCCAGGCACGGCCGGCTGGAGGAGAAGATTGGCGGGCGATCTCGCGTGCAGTAGTTCCAATGAGCCAAGTCCCGCAGATATACCTCGCCATACAGAAATGTGAGGGCGATTCGGCCATCCTATTCTCTAATTCACCTCGGTCTCTATAAAACGGAATAAGAGAGAGAGCGAGGAACGAGAAATGGAGGGCAAAAAAGAAGCGTAGCTATATGTGCCCGATAGTGCCATTTCAGATCCAGTATATTACTATTATATACGATAGATAAGGACTCCTCGTAGTACTCGTACATATAAGTCTACTAGAACATAGCGAATGTATGTATATAGTAAAGAGAGAGGAGGAGAGAGTATTAGAGTAAATAAGAGAGTATCAGAGTGAGAGAGTATCAGAGTGAGAGAGTATTAGAGTAAGTAAGTGAGGGTAAGTATAAGAGAGCGAGTATAAGAGAGTGAGTATAAGAGAGAGAGGGAGAGAGGGTAAGTATAAGTAAGAGAGAGGGAGAGAGGGTAAGTATAAGTAAGAGAGAGAGTACGAGACAACAGCAGGAAAGACAGAGTCCAGCACTACAAGGAACAGACGACCTTTCCAGGAGAAACATACCACAGTCAGGACTACCAATTATGACAAGCATAAGGCCAAGGCCAAGATGACAAAAGAAGGGGATCCGATTCCAGAAGAAAAAAAAGGTAATTATCAACACAAGAAAAACAACAACCAAAAGCTTCCCTTCCATCTTCCCTTCCTTTCCCTTCCCTTCCAGACCAGAGGCCGATCAACAATCCGGACATACGGCGAAGTTCAAACAAAAGAAAAAAAGAGAAAAAAAAAGGTCTCACGTTCCTCACGTCCTCGAACGCGTCGTGTCCGACTGCTGGTTTTGCGATGGAGGATGCGGATGCGAGTGCGAATGCCCGCCGCCGAACCGGCTCCCGAAGGAAGCGCGGCCGCCGGTCCGGTTGGACAGGGAGCCGACGTCGTGTTTTCCTGGAGAGGAAGAAAGCGATTCGAGTCAGCCATCGAGATAGAAAATAGAGAGACGACCTTGTGATGGAAAAGTGAAAGAACGACGGAGTGGAAAAGTGAATAAGAGAAGAGAGAAGAGAGAGAGGGAGACTCACCATCGCAGCACGCCCTGACGTTCTCCAACAGATCCGCATTGCGCTCCTGCATTTCCAGCTGGGTGCGGATGTCCTCGGCGCTTTCGCCGACGGGGGCGCCGTGGGCCTCATGGTAACTGCCCGACATCGCGGACGAGACTCCTCCCGTAGTAGCACTAGCACCAGTGCCGCGAGGGGGTTCCGCCGAGGCGCGACCGCCGCCGCTGCGGGTGTTGGAGGACCCGAAGCGGCTGGCCAGCGAGCTGAAGCGGCCGCCGACGGAGCCGGAGGAGACTTCGCGGGAGGCGGCGGTGGGATTCCGGGGAGGATGGGCGGCGGCGGAGAGGGTTGGCGGGGCGGGGAGGGCGGTGGTGGTGGTGTCACGGTTACGTTGGGAGGAAGAGGAGATGGAGGAAGGCGCTGGGACGGAGCGGCGGTTGTGGTGGACGAGGTTGGAGACGGCCTCGGAGCGTTGCGGGCTGCTCGTGCGGCTGGCGCGGCTGGTGAAGCTGCTGCGGCGGGGGTTGTTGGGGCCCCCTTGGCTGTGGCGGCTGAGGCTGCGGGTTGCGCGGTTGAGGCTGCGGCGGACGGAGCGGCCGAAGCCGGCGCGGGAGTCGTCGGGGTCGCCGTCTCCGTCTTCGCCTCCCTGGGCGGCGAGGAGGGCGGCCTCGCGTTCTTCCTCCTCGGTCTTGAGCAGGAGGTAGGACAGGGCGTTGTACCAGGTCTCGTGGCGCTGGCTGCTGGGCGCGGTGAAGACGATCTCCCGGCCGGGCGTGACGACGACGAGGGATTTGCGGTGCAGGCCCGGCGGGTAGACGTGGTCGTCGGTGATGACGCGGACGGCGTCGATGGCGACGCTCTTGGCCTTGAGCATGCTCCGGCCGGCCGTGCTGGGGTCGTTCTCGCTCCAGTAGAGGGTCCGGGTGTAGGGGTGGACCCAGAAGAAGCGACGGTGGCGGGTGCTGGAGGTTTCATTGCGGCCGGTCTTGCGGGTGTATTTCCAGAGGTATTCGCCGATCATGGTTTGGGTGATGGCTTGGATCATGCGAGGATCGGTCGACGGTTCGACATCGGTAGGGTAAATTCCCTCCCGAGAAATGTTGAAACGATCGTCGAGTTCCGAAGCGAATGTGGACACTGAATCGCGGTGGGGACGGACGGAAGGACTGGCAGCAATGGTGACCTTGGCTCGGCCGGGTCGTGGCGTGGTACCGTCTCGGGACGCGCCTCGTTCTGCTGCTTGGCTCCCAGGTGTCCTGGGACGAGGAGTCTTATAAGCAGAGGCTGGCATAGTCGGGGGACCCATAGAACCAATGGTCGTCGCAGATGTGGGTGTGGGTGTGGCGGAGTTCTGTTGAGATGCGGCGGCGGCAATCTTCTCGGTATGATCCGCAGGCAACGGTGGCTGGACGATCGATGTCCTGCTACGCGTGCTTCCAGCGCTGTTGGGTCGGCGGAGTGTGAGACCGGCGGCAGCACCAGCGGCAACACCAGCAACACTGGCAGCTGCGGCAGGAACCAATCCGGCAGTCGGGCCAAAGACGATAGTCTTCGGCGGTGCAATTGGCGAGTTTCCAGCATCCTGCATAGACGTTACTGCAGGTGGCGTCAGCACAGATGGAACTCTGTTGTCCAAGAGCTTATCAATCTCCTGGCTGGATACGACGGTCTGTGAGCCTTCGTCGACAACAGCCTGCTTCACATTCGCCGATTCTGATAGAGGCGCGTGCACAGTGACTTCCACAGGGGCCTGATTGGCGATGGCGTTCGACGAGGCAAGCGTTGCGGGCAATTCCGATGCCGGGCTCGACTTCACAGGCGTCTGCACGGCTTCGCGCACCGACCTCGCTGTACCCGGGCGGTCGATCTCGTCATCGTAGTTCTCGTCGATGACACCAGCCACGCCGAGAGTTGCCCCGGCCGCCGAAGCGACAGGGTCAACGCGTCTCGAGCTCCGTCTGGGCAGGAGCGGTACGTGAACATCTTCGGGCTCCGACTCGGGCTCAAGCTCTTGCACCATGATACTCGAGATTGTGAGCGACACTGGGGGTGCTGGCAAATGCTTCGACTCTACAATGACGGGTTCCGCCGGTACGGGCTCTGACAGCTCACGAGTCGTCGCGCCAGCCGCGGCTGCACTTTCGGTCGTCGCAGGCTCCGTGGCGGAAGAAGTGATGGTTGCAGGCAATGATGAGATCTCTTCCTTCTCCAATGGTTCTGATGAGACAGCTTCGGGCTTCTCGTCGGATTTCTTCGAGCCGAGCAAAGAGCCGAGGCCGAGACCAGCAAGAGCTCCACCAACGACACCCTCAACTCGTTCGGAAATTTTCGATTTCTCGGGCGTTGGCTGCCAAGGCTCCGTCATGATGCCAGCGTCGACCATCGCGGGTTTGGGCACGACGGGTTTGGGAGGAGAGTAGATGACGGACTCGGTGGGGTGGACGAGTACCGTAGAGTCAACATCGTCTTCGTGGAGGGAGTCATCTGTGCCGTTGGGCGAGGCTTTGATGACGGTGACATCCTGTGGAGAAAGGACGCTGGTCGGGGTAGTTACAGACAGTTCGCCGGCATCACCGCTTCGCCGTGAGGGGGTCGTTGGCTCTTCGTCATCAAAGTCCCGGTCAGCGCTGAGCATTGACCGGGAGTCATCCTGATCATCGAGGGAGTGGATGCTGGATGGCGTGCCCTCGACGCTGTCTTCATCGTCAAAGGCGCCTAGCTCATCCTCCAGGTTCTGCATGCTCTGCGAAGCCCCGGGCGTACCAAAGCTCGACGCAGGGCTGTACGTGACAGGAGACTCGGAACCGGCATCGTTGCCACGTCCCATCCGACGGCTGCCACGGTTGAGTCGGACCTTGTATTTCGGCTGTTGGGATTGAATCGGGGTCTTGATCGAATCGACGTCCTCATCAGCCGAGACGGATGCGGTCGAGGTGAAAGACCGACGATCTCCTCGCTTGGTGGAGATTCCAGACACCACCCTCACGGGATTCGTCCGGGCGGGACCAGCTTCCGTTTCCGTCATGTCGCCTTCGGTGTCGTTGTCGAAGTCTTCGGCGCCGGTCGCGAACGCTTCACTCTCCGTGGTAGTGTTGCGTTCATCGGCGGTCTCGAACGCATCGGTTTCCGTGTCGGTGCTCGTGTACGCGCGAACGAGATGGGGAGCGCCTGTTGCGATCGCCGCTGAGCCGGCAGCTACACCAAAGGCATTCGATTTGCTTGGAGTGCGCTGATCCTCGTCGTCTTCCCAATCCGGTTGCTCGTCGACGATTTCTGTGGTGCTGCCACGAATGGCGCCGATCTTGTCTGGCTTCGATCGATTCTTCGTTCGAAGACTCTCGAGATCCCGACGTTTCTTGGCCACGTTGGCCGTCGCCGAGCCATGATCCCGCCGCGTCTCCAGCTCATCACGGGCGTCCTGCAACATGCGCTTCAATTCGATCTTTTCGGTCTTCTCACGATGAATGTTGTTTTTGAGATTCTGGATCATCCGGTGTGCATGGTTGAGGCTGGATTTGAGCGTCTCCGATTCCAGCATGCCATGTCGAGCAGGCGTGCCTTTGATGGGAGAAGAGGGATCGCTGTGATCTCCAGCCTGGTCGTCTGAATTCTGACCCTCTTCTGCCGACACGAAATCCGTGTCAGACTCTTTCGTGCTCTGATTCCATCGATAGCCGACCGCTTTGGCCAGCTCCGTATTCTGCGTGGTCAATTCGTGGATGCGACCATGTAACTTCTGCTTGTCGTTCTCATGATGGGCAAGGTCACGCCTCAGACCGTGCATGTCAGCCTCGGAGACCTTTCGAGCCATGGCTTGATCGTCGACCAATTTCTCATGGGCAAGCTTCAGCTCGTCCAGTTCTCGCTCTTTGGCAGCACTTTCGACCTGAATGGCTTTGATGGACTGCGCAAGACGTGATTCCTTGTCCGAACTCTGCTTGTAGCTCGCCTCTAATTCCTGCACGCGCATCTCGAGGTTCCAATTCTCATCTTTGTATTTCTGCTCAGTCTCATCCATATGCCGAATGCGCGCTACCAGGGCCATGGTCTCCTTTTCCAGCTGAGCCCGGGAGACTGCATTGTCCTTGAGAGCGTTGTCCTTTTCAGCTAGAGCAGCTTGTAGCTGTCTGACTTGAGCGATGAGTGAGGTGCTGATCTCGGTGGCGAATTCGATGTCGTGCACCCGATTGCTCGGTTGGTTCCGTTGCCTCCTGGACGGGACGGACTGCTTGGTGGGCGATTCGCGTGCCTGCGCCGACAATACCGACGAGTTCTCTGAAGATTCCAAACTGGCCTCGGATGTGATGCGAGATTTGGGCAGGAACGCGCGTGCAGATTCCCGGCCGACCTCGTTGTATTCCCTCTCCAGTGCGAGTAATTTATCCCGGAGATCCGCAGGGACCTCATTCTGTGTCTGGATCTGCTCCACATCTTTAATGCGCGAAACCAAGTCCTTCCGCTGTTGGAGCAGCGTTGTTCCGAGCCGGGACGCATCTTGGATCCTCCGCTCGGTGTCCTTAAGGTGAGCCTCCAAAGCGCGACGCGCCGACGAAGGCGAGTTCGTAGAGTACGCCGAGAAGTCATCGCTGTCGAAAGCGGAATACCGAAGCGGCGCAGGATGCGCATGAGGAGGTGCGGTCGTGAATGGGTCGGTCGTGCCATTGGCGGCCGCCGCTCCGGGCAGCAGGGATGTTGAGGCCGACATGGTCCCCAGGTTGGATTAGAATGGAAGGTTGTAAAAAGAGTGTATTTTGCTTCACCCCTGATGCGGCAACATGATCAGTACGTTGAAGGCGAATGCCGTTAGGGAGAGAAGCGGACGTCGGGCTCGAGGATGAACGACGACAAGACGATATCTCGATGAGCGGCCAATAAGCAGGTGATGTGGAAACGCTGCCTGTCCTGTCCAGTACAGTACACGAAGCAAGAACGTTTACTCCTGTATACCGGAAAGCGCAGCCTGGTGGGCCGACTCAACACTCCGGACTCGGACTCGGGCTCGGGCCTCGAGGATTGATTATCGTACACGTGCAGGGATGGGTGGTGAGAATAGAAACGGGAAGACGAGGGAAAAGGGTAATAATAGAAAAAAGGATGTGTAGCGAACGTTGTTGTCGCGAGACGGTGGATGAAGCCGTCGTGAACCCGATCTTTTGGCGCTGGCGGTACTAGAGAAGAGGAGATGAGATGGAGAGCCGGAATTCGATTTGTTGTTTACCGCGCGACGCGAAACCTACAAGCGGGGCATCTATACATGTACATATCACGACATATGTAGATATATATGTATATATCTGTCTATAAGTGTTTACGTATATATGTATAAGTGTCTGTATATATATCTGTCGATATGTATCTACGTATGTATATGTGTATAAGTATTTTCTATATATGTACGCACTATCAGATACTATACGTTATTACTATATACTGCACACTATTACTATGTACTACATATATAAGAGCGACATCTCTAGTAGGCTTACCATGATCGCAGAGATATGCTACACTGCAGATGAGTCGACTACATACATACACGATATCGTCGTCGACGGCGGCGGCGGCGGCGGGCGGTCCGAAAGGATGCATGCAGTATGGAAGGCTACCGTCTCCACTACCGTCTAGGGCCAGTCTCGCAGCCCAAAAGGAGAGAGACAGACCAACACCGATATCGTTCACACAGAGAGCGTTGTGCATATATCGATGATCCTCCAGTACAGAATCCATGTGAGACCCCACGATGGCAGCCGAGAGGCTGTCTGTCGTTTCCCAATGCTGCTGTCGTCTTCGATATTCCTCGGCGAAGGGAAACGGCGGTGCGAGTTCCAATGCGAGGAAAAGCCGGGAAACATCACCTGCCGCGAGTTATCGAACCACATAGGAGTTGACACTGATACATTAGATCCTGGAATAGCCACGAGTGCTTCTCTTGACGTCTTCGCGCTGCACGTCTTCCGTGGTCGTCAGCATGTCCACGTACGGGACTAGTTCCTAGGTACCTAGATATGTCCTGCCTGGGATGACTGCGTGTACGCTCTGATGGAGACGAGAGAGAGGGAATTAATCGACCGTACCGAGTGATACTGTAATGATCAACAGACTCATGTCCATTTCATGGCCGTGATGGCATTGTCTTGACTTAGACTGTTCAACCAAATCGGGATGCTTCAACAAGGGTCCCTCTCCCTTGGTACTGGAGTGCGGATTCTTGTATACATCCGTCCTCAAACCAGCCGAAGTCTGGTAGCGATTTGCATTGCACTGAACGGGAAGAGAAATTCGTCCGGACTTTGGTAAGCATTTCCAATGTGATGAGACAGATGATTGATAATCTGATATGATGGCGCTGGTGTCCGCAAGTGTGGCTGGAGCACCACGTGACTGCGCGCTTCGGCCTGTCCAGCGCCACTTGCTTACGACATCTCTGTGGCGGACGATATATTGAACATGCAAGTGAGCAGTCGAGGAAGAATTGTTTCGCGCATGCACGACTCCTCCACAGATCTTCTCGCACACGTCGAGTGCATCGCGTCGAATCTATCGCGAAACCGCCATTTTCACCTCTGAACCATCATGGCGGACGTCGCAGCGCCCGTCTTCAAAAAGCGCGCGAACAAATCTGCAAATATCCGCAAACGACCGCCGACACCTCCGCCGGCCGAGAGGAGCGATTCCGATGCGTCCGACTATACCGACGGCGAGGAGGAGGGCGTCCGAGTCAAGAGGCGCAAAACCCAAGGCGTATCCTTGTCGACCGCGGGACCCCAATCATCTCGGGATCTGAGCAAATCGACGGTCTACGCCGCCGACCGATCCACCCACATCGCCATCAACGAGGACGCCACGAAGGAATCGAACTGGTACACGGACAGCGCCCTGGTCGCGCTCGAAGGCGGCAATGACAAAAAGTCCAACCTCGCGAAAGCCGCCGCAGTCACGCCCGCCGAAGAATCCAACGGCGCCTATCGAGGCTCATCCAACTACTCCAGCTTTATCGACAAGAACCCCGACGGACCCGGCCGCCACGTCGGACCCGTCAAGGCGCCCACCAACGTGCGCGCCATCACCGTGATCGACTTCGCGCCCGACGTGTGCAAGGACTACAAGACGACGGGCTACTGCGGGTTCGGCGACAGCTGCAAGTTCCTGCACGCGCGGGAGGACTACAAACAGGGCTGGCAGCTGGACAAGGAATGGGAGAACGTGGGCGCCAAGGGCAAAGGCAAGGGCAAGGCGGACGCCAACGCCGCCGCCGCCGCCGACGTGGATCCCGAGGAGAAGATGTTGCAGGAGATCCCCTTCGCCTGCATCATCTGCAAGGGGACGTATAAGAACCCCGTCGCGACGAAATGTGGACACTACTTCTGTCAGAAATGCGCCATGGGCAGGTATCAGAGGGAGAAGAAGAGGACGTGTGCGGCGTGCGGCGCGGACACGGCCGGCTCGTTCGCGGTGGCGAGGAAGCTGAAGGATCTGTTGGAGAAGAAGAGGAGGAGGGTCCGGGAGAGGAAGGAACAGGCGAGAGAGGCCGGTGAGGATGTCAGTAGTAGTAGCGATGACGACGACGACGAAGGATGATCGGTCATGTGTAAAAATCAAAAAATCGAGCAATTCCTCTCATCTGAATTTCCCTGTTGTCTGTGAAGTTCATACTGGCATCCTAGGAAAACATTCCGGTCCACGGCGTAGTAGGATCCTATAATATGTTTTAAATCCCTTAGGCGGCGATGCGGCGCAATTAAACCTTGGAATGATCGAGTCCAGCTGGGTGAGTGATGAGAGAAAGATCGGGGAACCAATCGAAGCCGTCGTGTCGTCGAATCTAACACGCGCACGCTTCGGGCCGCCTTGAACCCCCGCTTAACCCTAACCCTAACCCTGATTGACTGACTAATCACTGACTAATCACCGACTGACTGACTGACACCTCCGCCGCGCATCTCCCAAGAAGACGCCAAACCCCGTGTGTATTGTACTGGAATAACTTGCGGCGAGGCGCAGTCGCCTATTACTGTAGTCGGTAGTAAAGACTGGGCAATAATTGATATGCCTTGCAGTCTCTCCTGATTGTATCATACATACATACATACATACGAATGCGCACCGCCGCAGCAATCTCCAATCCTGTCCTCCTCAATCAACACCGACTCCACCACCATCAAGTCTTCCCACCACTCAATCATCAATCCTCCGCCCACGCGAACGTGGCGTCCCCGACCGTTTGCGATTCACCAGCCTAAAAACGGCCCCGGGTTCCACCCAGTGACGCTCGCCCTTCCATTCGCGCACCCTGGCGATCGACTCAGCCCGCCGCGCCACGATCGCAATCACCAGTCCAGCAGGGATTCCTCGCATCCTGCCGAATTCTTCTCGCCGAACGACAACCTCAAAGGTGAACGATACTCGCGGCGCATCTAGATGACAGCGACGGGTTCTTCGTCATAACCGGCTTGCCAGCGCGCAGCCCAGCGACATCTCCATCCACACATACACACACACACACACACACACACAAACAATGGCAGGCAGGCCTGCTTACAGACACCAGTCCGGGAACGACGACCTCCTGGAACTGGCCGACGGACGAGGAAACCCATTACAAAATCCCGGCCAGAGACCTCCCGTCTCCGACGATCACATCCTTCACGATTACGACATCATCAGTTCGCCCGGCCCGCGCATCAGCATAAGTCATGACAATTTTGTTGGTTCGAATGCGCCGGGTCTCCCAGGCGGGCCTGGATACCAACAGCGGCCTCCTGTGCTCGGCGATCACCACAACAACCTCTCACAAACATCCGGCCTGAACAACTACCAGCGCTATTCCGACGCCGACAATGATCGGTATTCGGACACGGCGTCGATCGCGGGAGGCTACTATGCCTCGGGCGGGAACATGGACGAGGACAACCTTCCCGGTCTCCCCGATCAACGGAATAAGAGCAAGCACAGGAGCCGGAACAGCATTCTGAGTCTAGGAGGTGGAGTCATGGGCAAGGCTAAGAACATGTTGGGAATGGGACCTCAATACAGCGAGATGGATCTTCCTCTGACACAACCGCGGTCGAATCGACTCGACAGCGGAGGCTCGGACGACATCGCTCAACCGCCGCCGCGCAAGACTCCCGGCTCGAAGTTCAAATTCGGTCTGCCGGGGTTCCGCAGCAAACCCGACCCGTCCACCCTCGGTCCTCGAATCATCCATCTGAACAACCCGCCGGCGAACGCGGCGAACAAATACGTGGACAACCACGTGTCGACGACGAAGTACAACATCGCGACGCTGATCCCCAAATTCTTCTACGAACAGTTCAGCAAGTATGCCAACTTGTTCTTCTTGTTCACCGCCATTCTCCAGCAGATCCCCAACATCAGCCCGACGAACCGATTCACCACCATCGTCCCCTTGGGCATCGTCCTCCTCGTCTCGTTGGGGAAGGAAATCGTAGAGGACAATCGGAGGAGGAGTCAAGACAAGGAGCTCAATCGAAGTCCTGCCAAAGTCCTGCGAGGGACATCGTTCCAGACTGTGAAGTGGATCGATATCAAGGTCGGTGACATTGTGCGCGTGGAGTCGGAGGAGTCATTCCCGACCGACCTGGTGCTCCTGGCTTCATCCGAACCGGAGGGTCTGTGCTACATCGAAACCGCCAACCTCGATGGAGAGACCAACCTCAAAATCAAGCAGGCCATCCCTGAAACATCACATCTGGTCTCCTCTGCGGAATTGTCTCGGTTGGGTGGACGGGTGCGGAGTGAACAGCCAAACAGCAGCCTCTACACGTATGAGGCTACATTGACCATGCAAAGCGGAGGCGGCGAGAAGGAACTGCCGCTGACACCGGATCAATTGCTCCTGCGCGGCGCCACGTTGCGCAACACGCCTTGGATCCACGGCGTGGTCGTCTTCACCGGACACGAGACGAAGCTCATGCGGAATGCCACGGCGACGCCGATCAAGCGGACGGATGTCGAACGTCGGGTCAACATGCAGATCCTCATGCTGGGAGGTGTCCTCGTCACCCTCGCCATCATCTCATCCGTCGGTCAGCTGATCTTGCGGACTACTTCCGGTGACCGGCTGTGGTATCTCAGACTGGCTCAGGTCAACCCGGCGCAACAGTTCTTCTCCGATGTCTTCACGTACTGGATTCTGTATTCCAACCTGGTGCCGATCTCGCTGTTCGTCACCGTTGAGATCATCAAATACTATCAGGCCTGGCTCATCGGCAGCGACTTGGATATCTACTACCCCGAGAACGATACTCCTGCGAATTGCAGGACCAGTTCCTTAGTGGAAGAGCTCGGCCAAGTCGAATACATCTTTTCCGACAAGACCGGCACGTTGACCTGCAACATGATGGAATTCCGTCAGTGTAGCATCGGCGGCGTACAGTACGCGGACGACGTCCCGGAAGACCGTCGCGTGGCCGATGGCGAGGACGGCACCAACGGCATCTACGATTTCAAAGCGCTCGAGAGACATCGACGGGATCCCGAGGCCGCCGAGAACATCCATGAGTTTCTGGCCTTGTTGTCCACTTGTCATACCGTCATCCCCGAGATCAAACCCGAGAAGCCGGACTTCATCAAGTATCAAGCGGCCTCCCCCGATGAAGGTGCGTTGGTCGAGGGGGCGGTGCAGCTCGGCTACAAGTTCCGGGCGCGCAAGCCCAAAGCCGTCATCATCGAAGTTGACGGGAACGATCTCGAGTACGAACTGCTGGCCGTCTGTGAATTCAACTCGACCCGGAAGCGCATGAGCTGTATCTATCGTTGCCCCGATGGCAAGATCCGTTGCTACACCAAAGGCGCCGATACCGTCATCCTCGAACGTCTCGCCGTGCGGGATGAAATGGTCGAAAAGACTCTGCTTCATCTGGAAGAATATGCCGTCGAAGGTCTCCGGACTTTGTGTCTCGCGTATCGTGAGATCCCCGAGGCCGAGTTCCGCGAGTGGCAGCAGGTGTACAGCGTCGCGCAGACCACCGTCAGCGGCAACCGCGCGGAAGAACTGGACAAGGCGGCGGAGATCATCGAGCATGACTTCACCCTCCTGGGCGCGACCGCCATCGAGGATAAACTGCAGGACGGCGTCCCGGAGACGATCCACACCCTGCAGACCGCCGGCATCAAAGTGTGGGTTCTGACGGGCGATCGACAGGAGACGGCCATCAACATCGGCATGTCCTGCAAGTTGATCAGCGAGGAGATGACCCTCCTCATCGTGAACGAAGAATCCGCCGAAGCGACCCGGGCCAACCTCCAGAAGAAGCTCGACGCCATTAGCTCGCAACGCGCCGGCAACGCCGAACTGGAGACCCTCGCGCTGGTCATCGACGGCAAAAGCCTGACCTACGCGCTCGAAAAGGACCTCGAGAAGATGCTCCTCGACCTCGCCATCATGTGCAAGGCCGTCATCTGCTGCCGCGTCTCCCCCCTGCAGAAGGCGCTCGTGGTCAAACTCGTCAAGCGCCACCTCAAGAGCATCCTGCTCGCCATCGGCGACGGCGCCAACGACGTCTCCATGATCCAGGCCGCCCACATCGGCGTCGGAATCTCCGGCATGGAGGGCCTCCAAGCCGCGCGCTCCGCCGACGTGTCCATCGCCCAATTCCGCTTCCTCCGCAAACTGCTCCTCGTCCACGGCGCCTGGTCCTACCAGCGCATCAGCAAGGTGATCCTGTTCTTCTACTACAAGAACACCGCGCTCTTCATCACGCAGTTCTGGTACTCGTTCCAGAACGCCTTCTCGGGCGAGGTCATCTACGAGTCCTGGACGCTGTCCTTCTTCAACGTCATCTTCACCGCCATGCCGCCCTTCGTCCTGGGCATCTTCGACCAGTTCGTCAACGCCCGCCTGCTCGACCGCTACCCGCAGCTGTACCAGCTCAGCCAGAAGGGCGTCTTCTTCCGCACCCACAACTTCTGGTCCTGGGTCGGCAACGGCTTCTACCACTCCCTCATCCTGTACGGCGTGAGCGTGCTCCTCTGGCGCCGCGACGGCGTCCTCCCCGACGGCACCGTCGCCGGCCACTGGGTCTGGGGCACGGCGCTGTACACGGCGGCGCTGGTCACCGTGCTCGGCAAGGCCGCGCTGATGACCAACATCTGGACCAAGTACACCGTCATCGCCATCCCCGGCAGCCTGCTCATCTGGTTCATCTTCCTGCCCGTCTACGCCACCGTCGCCCCCATGCTGCACTTCTCCACCGAATACAAGAACCTCCTCCCGGTCCTGCTCGCCGCCCCGAACTTCTGGCTCATGTCCCTCGCCGTCCTCCCCGCCATGTGTCTGATCCGCGACTTCGCCTGGAAGTACGCCAAGCGCATGTATTACCCGCAGGCCTACCACCACGTGCAGGAGATCCAGAAGTACAACATCCAGGACTACCGGCCGCGGTATGTTTTCTTTTTCCTTTCCTTTCCTTTCCTTCTTTCGTCCTCCCCTTTCGCTTTACCTTCCCCCAAACGGATGTTTTACCTTGTTTGCTAATGATGATGGTTTCTGCAGCATGGAGCAGTTCCAAAAGGCCATCCGCAAGGTCCGCCAAGTCCAGCGCATGCGCAAACAGCGCGGCTACGCCTTCTCCCAGACCGACGAGTCCCAGGCCCGCGTCCTGCAGGCTTACGATACCACTCGCGAACGCGGACGTTTTGGGGAGATGGCGAGCGGTCGGAGGGATTGATGGATGGGGATTGTGGGAAGGGAGGGGGAGAAGGGAGAAGGAAGGAGAGAAACGATGGAGGATGGGGATTTTCTGTACGATTGCTTGCGGAGGCGGAAGTCAAGGGGAGGATTCAGGGGAAGAGGCAAGAGAGAGGAAGGGATGAATGTAGGGGTATGTCTTTTTAAAGTGTTTGACTGTGTGTGAGCGTTCCGTCCGTTTGAAATCAAGGCGTTCTTTCTCTTGTGCTGGTTCTTATGGTGGTTGTTCTCGTGGTGGTGGTGGTGGGAATTGATTTCCTCATCTAGCTCTGCTTATCCCCAAAATGCCAAAAATCGAGAGAGAGAGAAAGAAAGAGAGATATCAAAACATGTCTCATCTACACATTTCCCAGCTGTTCTCCCCTTCGCTATCTAACATCCACTCCCACCCCTACTAACGTCCCTCCCGGCGTTGCGAATCGTCCTGGATAGCGAGCCAGCGCTGAAGAACCTTCAGCCATAACAATCCAACACCCGAATCAACTCGCTCGAAGGCATCGAGACTGCGGATCGACATGCTAGCCTCCCATCGACCGCTCAGCGCCCAAATTGGCTTCATCGTGCCGACGCTGTCGTCGATTCCGTCCTTGTGCGGTATTCGACCGCACCTGTCGATCGCGTCGCATCGGCGCGATCCAGACAGATCTCTCTGCAGCTGAGAACCAGTCCGATACATACGCCTACAAGTACGTGTTAGGACCGCCTTGCGACGATTCAGGAGTGTGACCACCACATGGTGTGAGTGCGAATTGCTGTTGTAGTAACAAATGCAACAATTCATCTTCATCGGCGCCATTTCTGCCGGAATGGAAGCCGCTTCCTGCTCTTCTTGTTAACGTGGTGAGCACTGTCGGCGCTATGCGTGAGATCGAGCGGACGTCATTCCGTAACAGCGTGCTGGGGCCAGTTCGGGTGTGAGTCTTCAAGGCGCTTACTCGCTTCAATTGCTCTGGCTAGCTCGTGCTCCGATATAAGGCGATTCGGGCGATTTTCCGTGAGCGATGTCTTCTAGATCGTAACAATATGGTCTAGTAACTGAATCCCCTCCTTCGTCTGCCCGTTCTCTATATATGCCATTACTAGTGCGTACTGCGACGCGAGCCGGTCCGGATGATCCTCCGCGAGCGATGTCTTCTGAATCGTAACGATCTGCTCTAGTAGATAGATCGCCTCCTTCGTCTGCCCGTTCGCTCCATATGCTAGGGCTAGTTCGTACTGCGATACGATCCGTGACGGATGTTCCTCCGCGAGCGATGTCTCCTTATAGATCGTAACGACCTGCTCTAGCAGCTGGATTCCCTCCTTCGTCTGCCTGTTCGCTCGATATGCTAGGGCTAGTTCGAGCTGCGATACGAGCCGTGACGGATGATCCTCCGCGAGCGATGTCTTCTTCTGGATCGTAATGACCTGCTCTATTATCTGAATTGCTTCCTTCGTCTGCCCGTTCGCTTCATATGCTCTAGCTAGTGCGTACTGTGACGCGAGCCGGTCCGGATGATCCTCCGCGAGCGATGTCTTCTCAATCGTAACGACCTGCTCTAGCATATGAATTGCTTCCTTCGTCTGCCCGTTCGCTATATGTGCTAATGCTAGTACCCACTGCGACTCGAGCCGGTCCGGATGATCCTCCGCGAGCGCCGCCCGGAAGCGGCACGAGTGATGCAGCCACTGCAGTGCTTCCTTTATTCTTCCATCTACTTGCAGACAGCACCCGACGTTGTAGTAAAGCTGGCTCGCTTCCCTCGCCTCGACACCACAACCGTCATGCTCGTGCTGCTTCCGCACTCGCGCCGCGTGCGGCGTATATGCTCGCCACGTTGCACGATTGCGATGGTTTTCGGCCGTCGGAAAGATCGCCGCCAAATGCGCGACTACCCGCAGCTGTGTATCGTGCAACTTGCCATTTTCGCGCAGCCATATCCAGCACGCCAGATGGACGAGCCGGTGCATTTCGTAGGCCATCCCATCTGTCCGCTTGCTGACAAATGCATATGAAGAGAGTGTACCGATCGCTTCGAGCATTCGCGCCTCCGGTACTATTGGAGGAAGAATCGAGTGAGGGATGTCCTTCCATTCAATGCATGCTATGAACCGCAAAAGGTCCGCCGCTTCCGAATCCCGTTCTTGAATCTGCTCAAAGGACACTATCCATGTCCGTGCAATTGCGTTGCTCGATTGCTCGTAGCGCGTATGATCGCGGATCTCCTTGCTCAGGAGACATGCCTTGTCGTCGTCGGTGCCTCGAATCAGTCTCAAATATTCGGCGATCGACAGGTTGGTGTTAATGTTCAGGTACGCCGCTGCTTGCGTGATTGCGAGTGGAACATAGTCCAGCTCTTCGAAGAAATCGGTCACTACACTTGTCTCCTGCAAGAACTCCTTGCGGTTCAATGCGTGCGTCAGCAGTTGGTTCGCCTCGTCCGGCTGCAACTTTACCAGCTCAATGGTGTTGCTACCGACCAGCTGCTGCGCGACCGCTGTCGTCCGCGTCGTGAAGATCACCGAGCCATCAGCACTGTACGGCAGGTACGGCAGCAGCTTTTCCACAACATGCATGTCATCGGCATTGTCGACGATCAGCAGCCACTTGCCTGCCTGCGGTCCGCTTAAGTATGCCTTCACAACTTCTTTGACCTCTTCATTCTTGTCTGCTGCTGTTCGTATCCCGAGCTTCTTTGCAATCTCTCTCATCGCACGCTCGAAAGTCTCTGCGCTTACAGCAGGCACCCAGAAGATCGACACATCGCGTTGCTGTTCCATCACGGTATACGCAAAGCTTAGCACGACTTGCGTCTTTCCGATACCGCCGAGGCCGACTACGGCTAGCTTTTGGCAATCTCGAGCTGTGAAGAGCTTCTGATGGAGTGTCTCGAGGGCACGTTGTCGGCCGATGAATTGATGGTTCTTAGGCAACGGAATGTACACTACGCTTATAGAATTGGCATCTCTAATCAGCATGTTCACAAGTATCGTCGTTCATTCTATCAATCTACATACCTGTCGCTTCGAGGGCAGGCCGAATCTTGGCGACCTCTGTCGCAGGCATCCATAGTAGAAACTCTCGTGCATACGCTGCTGCCGTCGCGGCCGCGTAAGGCTGCCACCGCTTGTTCTTATGCGAGTCGGCATAATCGCAAACGCCGCGAATCACGAGACACGGAAACGAGTCCATTAAGCCTGCTGCTTCCATCTCGAAGCAGATCACTTCTTCCTGCTGCGCGATTCGATCTCGCGTGCGCCCATCCTTCATTACTTGGTCACCTGACGCAATGTTGCCGTAATGCACGCGCGGTCGGTGGTGCAGGCGTTCATCCCGCTGCACCACGCGCGAACGGTCGCAGTTCTTGCATGTCTTGCCGCTTTCGTGATCGTAGTCGGCTTCGAAGAGCTCGTCGCGGTCGTTCCCAGGGCGGACGAACCCCTCGTCCTCCATCGCTGGGTATTCGGACAGCATCTTCGCCAAGTGCTGCTCTAATTCAGGGCGTCGCAGCAGGTGCTCCGCCTGCAGACCTTGCAGTGCGCTTAAGAGCTCGCGCGGCGGCTTGTTGAGTGTGCCGGTTCGCCGGGAAGAACCACCGGCCTCCGTCTTGCCAAAATCAAATTGCACCACTCCGCCATGTTGTCCGGTAGGCTGGCTTACGATCACGTCCCCAAGCCGCACATCCACATCTTCGCTCCACACTCCCCCGGCGATGCCTACCATCAAGCCGATGCGGATCGAGAAGCTGCGCATCATGTCCTGGGCCACTACCGCAGCCGACGCTTTGCCTTTCATGCCGGCTGGGAGGCAGGCGATGACCACCCGATGCGCGCCGATCGTGCCGAATGTGTAGTCGCTCACATCGCCCAGCGCCGGCGGCAGGCGTTCATGCCGTTTGTCGAGTATGGCAACGGCTGCTGCTTTTTCCGTCGCCAGCGCACAGATAATTCCAACATTGTATGTGTCGCGCGGGAAAGCGACGCCGGGCGTCGGCATCGTCGTCGGTATCGTCCTGGTCGTGGATGTGAATTCGCGCCGTGAGGTTTTGCGACAGAACGGGACAGTCTTGCCAACATCCACGTCAGCTAAGGATATACAGCTTTGTATCCACTAATAGAGCGGAGCAGGCGATGTTGCTGTGCGTGCTGCGCCACCACGACGTGGCAAGCTGATCGGCGAACTGCATCCACAGCCGGATCCTTATCCTTGCCGCTGCCGTGGGGCGCTGCGGTGACCCCGCCACGATCGTGTTTGAGACGCAGCCATGCCGTCAAGGTCCTTGCATCGTCCGGTAACTTGTAAGAGGTCGGTCAACAGTCAGAAGAAGCTTGAGTGGTGAACACCTGCGCGATATAGCTGTGGCAGCCGGCAAGTGCAGTGTTCGGAATTTGTGGAGTAGTAAATTTGCGCAAGTCAATTATTATGGTCAGCAAGTGTATTGAAGCCAATGATCCTCGGTGGACTCCGTCGCATCACTAGGCTGCTCATTCCGTCGATATGTAATAAGTCATGAGCAGCGACCCATTCCTACAGAAGCCGAGATTCCTTGTCTTTCGCGGTGCCGGCAGAGAGATGAACAATGGTGCATGTTTCTGTGATGGACGATAATAAGGCGGGCGACGCCCGCGGAGGATCATCCGGGCCGCCCTATATCGGAGCACGCGCCGGCCAGAGCAATTGAAGCGACTAAAAGTTTCGAAGATCCGCGGCAACGGGATTTCAATGCGCCAAATGCGAGCGTCCGTAATTACCAACTACACTAATTCACCTGTCTGAATGACCAGCGTTGTAGACCATGGTGGTCTCAGGGGCTTCGGTATGAACGGGTGTGTTTGGGTGGATCACGGAGGGGCATAGAATGGTTCTTCGAGCATGACTCAGCAATAGAGGTTCCAAAAACGAGATCATGATGAACGTCGACGGCGGCAGCGCTCGGGATCGCGTAGCTTTGGTATGATAGAAATCGTATGATTAAGAACAGCGATGGAGCTTTTTCTAAGCGATCAAGTGTATTAAACACCTATAAATCTGCACAGATCGACATTACATCCATACGGATCGACCGACGGATGAGGTTCGGATTCTGTACAAGGAAGGAATCGGTGACAGCATCTGCGAGAAACGCCCGATTCGGACACACAGCCGTCAATAGATGACTAACATCCCGGTCGAAATCCTAAGCATTTTAGAGCGCGTTGAAATTGGTGGTGCAGAATATTATGGATGAAAGTGTTCAATGCTGGCTTGCTACCCAGGGTGGCTCGCGAGGCCGAGAGAGACGTTCGTCGATCATCATTTCCCTGCCAACCTCTTCATCCTCTCCTCCGCCGCCCGAGCCCGCTTCTCCCTCTCCATGCGCATCCTCATCTCCTCGCTCATGCCCTTGCTCTCCTCGCGCCTCCTCTCCTCCGCCGTCATCGCAAGTTTCCCTCCACCACCTCCTAATAATCCACCGAGGAGGCTACTGCCCTTTCCAAACCTCCTCTCTCGAGAAGTTTCCTCCCGGGCGGCATCCTCCTTCCTGAGCCGTTCCGCTTCCGCTTCGCGCCGGGACTTCTCCGCCGCAGCGTCGGCGTCCTTTTCGGATTTCTCGGCCGCCGCGCGGGAGGTGACTTCGGCTTGGGTCAGGGGCGGCGGGACGTTCGCTGCGTCCCAGCGGAAGGCTTCTTCGCCAAGGAGGCCGCGGGCGAGGCGGAAGGCATCGCGCGTGGCGCGGTCGCCGCAGAGTTCGAAGGGGGTTTTGCCGTGCGGGTTGCGGATCGTCGGGTCGCCGCTGGCTTTGAGGAGCAGGGCGGTGACGCAGGCCGGGCTGCAGCTGGAGGCGGCGAGGTGGAGGGGCGTGGGCGCGTGATGGTTTGCGTCGGGTGGGTGGAAGGGGAAGCTGGAGGGGAGATTGTTGGTTTGGAGGTAGGTGAGCATCGCTGGGGCTTTGGAGCGCCGGATCAGGGCTTGGAGCTGGGTGGTGTGGAGAATGGCTTCTTCTTCGGCGGGGGTGGGTTTCGCTGGTTTGGGGGCCGCGTTCGTTTTGAGCTTTTGGGATGCTTCCGCTTTGGCTGCTGCGGAGGCGGCGGTGGCGGCGGCTTCACGAGCGAGGGCTGCTTCGTCGACGGTGGAGACTTTGACTCGGGTGAGTTCGATGAAGGATCGCATCAGTTCGGATTGGGTGGCGCGGCGGGTGCTGAATGGGAAGCCACGTATACGAGGGTCTCGGCTATCCAGAACTTGATCTTCATAAGGGCCGAAAAGCGTTCTCCGGTTGGTGGTTCCCGTAGCGCGAATGAAAAGCAATTCCGAGTCGTCGATATATGAACGCCATCCTGCGAGCAATTCTCGAACTTCCTCGACCAATGCAGTCTCATTATATCTTCGAATCCCCGCACCAGCCGAGTGAGCGTTACCCTTGGCATTGTCATTCGCCGATTGAGAGCCACCTTGTTTCCGACGAGTGGTGTAACGATGGAAGGTTTTGGAGGCAATGACGGTCGCGGTTCGATCTTCCACGCCGGCTTTTTTCGTGGATTTGGGTGTCAGGGATACCAGCATAGCAGCGAAATGACCACCGCCGATCATACACAGGAAATAATGAGGACCTGATGCGCTTGTATTCTTCTGAATCATAGAGGCTGGTAGAGCGACACCGCCGTCTTCCTCGCCGTCCTCATCGACAACCTTTTTGGGTTTGACATGTACCGGTGGAGGCTTGGGAGTGAGCTGTTTCTGTTTGAGTGTTTCCACGAGCTGGTCTTCTTGGTTTTGCACGTCATTCGAGAACAAAACTCGGTATATGCCGAGTGAAGTATTCGAAGGGAGCTGTGGAGTAGAGAACCATAGTAGGGGCGGTTTCCCCGAACCGCGCTTTCTCTGTTTGGTTGGTGCATCATCGGCATCGCCGTCGACGATTTTGGCTTGCTTCTTCAACAGCGCATTCAACGTCGAGTCTTTGGGTTTGGATGTGGCATCGTCATCGTCGCTGGCCTCGGTATCAGAATCATCGGAACCGGACAAGCTCTCGTCTAGGTTGCCGACCAAGCGTTCAAATTCTGCTTCGCCGACGGGTTTGGTCCCGCGAAGTTTCAACTTCAAATTGTACCCATGTAGATCGGAACGAACATGCAATCGTTGATCTGCTAAAGTGGAGAATGACAGGCCGCAAAGACTACATGAGGTTGCTGACGAGGGACTGCCGTCTTCTTTGTCGGCGGCCTCACTTGATGAGGTCTTGACGGGTGTCTCGCTGTAAGTGTTCAAGGATGATGATTGTTGGATCTTGGGTTGGAGGGTATTCAAGAGATCGGCAGGAAGATCGAAGACTGCACAGTATACATCAGCTGCAGTGTCTTCGACGGCCTATCTCATGTTTGGTATATCGTACCGTAGAGAGGTCGTTGTAAGAGTTTGTTCTCGGGTGTTTGTACCATCATTCGTGGACAGCGGCTGTCGCTGGCCCGGTACGTTCGTGGCTCGTGGTTGGTTGTAGTGCAGTCTTGCCAGTGGTGATATTGTTGCTAGAAAATGTACGATGGAGGATGAGAAACAATGCGTAGGTGAAGATCTCGACCTCGACCTCACGTGATCATAAAGTGTATGGTCAACAGCAAAATGTAATACGACTCATCGATATATATCATACGGCTCATCACCACATCGCCATCGTGAAGTGCGGTCACGATATCCAGTCACCGCAACCCTAAGGAGGGATGTTTGGCAATACGATGCGTCATGATGAGTCATGCATATTTGTTCAATGCAATGAATTCGACCGCTGCACCCGCGTTGCATATCGAACTAAGCAAATGCACATGTGCACATGTGTGATATGCAGATCATTGTGCATCGTTCATGTTATCATCATGGCTTATTTGTTATGTTTTCCTGTGTGTGGAATATACGATGTATATATCATTTCAATACTATCACCATCACCGTCATGAAATTTTTGAAGCAGGTAGCGGTTGAGTGACCAAGGTCAGGCAGAAATATGGGAGGCCCACCATGACCGACCGCTCGCTCTCTTCGATACAGTGTGCTCCCCACCAATCAAAACCAGCAGCATCCTACCCAGCGGCGATACAATACTTCTTCTCTATTGACGGCGTGGAAAAGAAAGGGCTGAGCATGTCCACCCAGCACCGCCGCCAGCACCGGACCTCTGGTTCCGAAACTGCCCAGGTGTATCTATATACATCCCACACAGTACATGTACATAAATATTGCCCCCAGGGGTACATGGACGATGCGAACCATGGGTGGGTGGTAAACAGCAGTGAATGACATGGAGGTAGGCGGTCTGCTGGGTCAGGCATACACACATACACACACAAATACACTGGTCCCATTAATATGCGCGGGCTGGAAAATAATCCTGCACATGTGATGATGATGAGCGAGAGAGAGAGGTGTGGACGCGTCCGTGCCTGACCGAGTGACTAATTGACTGATATGTACCTGGGCAGGGATGTATCATGTCGTGGACTACTCTTGTACTGTACACACATGTACATGCCCAGCGACAAAGCGACGACAACGTATCGTACGGAACTCCTGGACAATGGCTCTCTGATATTTTATGTAATCCATGAGCTTTAGTCATTGTCGTGCTGAAGGTCCCGGACTCGACATGAATCATCGTCGACCGAGTACCTAGGTCGTACTGTATATTAGAAATCGATCGTGATTGTCGTACGGAGATACTATAGACAATTATAATGAACACCCACAAGAGCAATCATATAATGATGAAACATCCCGATCCGATACTTTTTTCCTGGATGATTACGTTTCGTCTCGTCTCTCTCCTCCTGTTGCTACTTATTATTATTATTATCATTATTATTAGGCCCCACGCGGTACCGAATGTCCAACGCGTGGGGTTCCTGGACAATTCCCTGGTTGGTGATTCGCGCGGGTCTTCCCTTGTCTTGTCCATCATCATCCACCCAGCCCTACTTGATTCCCACCTCCACCACCACCACACATCCCGCCTGATTTGGTCATCACCACTAACCACCACTGATCTCAAGCCAAGTCAAGTCGAGGCCTGGTTAAATCGTCTCACCAGAATTCAAGAAACCATCGTTGAGAGTTGATATTGCAGCAGTGGTCGGGTCAAGGATAGAAGAATATCATATGTATATATACGTATATATCAGAAGAGAGAAGCGGTGATGGTCGAAGAAGAAGAACAAAGGCGGGAGAAAGAGAGAGAGGAAAAGCACCTTGATGGACATCACTCACACACATACCCATGTGCGCGTCTCCCTCCCACCACTCACCATCCACGCATTTCTATACTTGGTACACTTCTTCCTTACCTAGATACAATCGTTGTTGTCGGTCAAAGGTCACTTGACACTCTGTAAATTATCATCATCATCACCGTCTTCTATTCACGATACCTCACGCCTTTCCTTCCTCCATCTCCACCATCTCGACCTCCTCTCACGCGACAACGCTCACCACACCTGAGACATCGTCACGTTCGTCGACTTCACCTCCAGGACATCACGAGTTTCTACGATTAAACGGCCTTGTCTCACTTCATTCCCTCGGCCACGCAGATAAAAATCTTCGACGAGTGTTCCAGCCAACAAGCCAACCAGCCAGCCAAGCTCATAGCAGTCCTCGAATCTACACTTCTGGTGTCTCATCCCACGTTCTAAATCTACCGCAGAGCGAGACTGGGCAGAAAGGCGTGTCTCATAGAAGGCAGAATAGAACGTCAAAGGGAAGAAGGACCGGCGACGACGTGCCAACCACACGGGAGAGTCTCAACCAAATAGAATCTCCATCGTCGACTACCACCCCTATCACCACCGTCGTCTTGTTCCACCCTCCCCTCTCCAACCGTCCTACCGGCCAACCACTCATCATCACTGGACGTGTGCCATTCTCCTCCCGCCCAGTCATTCGTTTCTTCACAGATCCGTGATTCAGCGGTGATTAAAGAAACGTCCATGGAACCTTCCTCGTTGTCAACGCCATAGTCCTTGTCCGAACGATCCTTGACCTTTGTTCTATTCTCCTCGACAGGACCCTTTGAACTTCCTCGTCAGCGGCTTTGTCTCATACCTTTTTTCCCTCTTCTGCATACCGACTTCCATCATGACGCTGTCCAATGATGACCGAGGTTGGATCATGACCGCCTTGAGTGGTTTGGGTGAGTTGATTATCTTGGAAAATTCCCGGTTTCACAAATGAATTCACACCCTGACACATTGCACCTCTAGCATGCATCGTCGGCGCATCTTTCATCTGCATCGATATTCTTGTCCGACAATTCCCAGGACAAAGAAACTTTCGCATCCAAGACAGCGATGTCTTTCTGTCCGTTTCACTTAGCATGAGTTTTGGCGTCATGGTAAGTTCTCCACCTCGGAAGATACAGATCGAAAGCAGCATCTCCCGTTCTCCAAGATTTCACATCTAACTGAATTTCTAATAGTTATTTTCTGCATTGTACAAAATGTTACCTTCATCGAAGAAATCATTAGAGGCCGCGGGATATTCACCAAAGGAGGCAGCCTGGATTTTAATTGCATGTTTCACCGGCGGCGTTGTGGGCATTCAGATCCTCTCACGGTTGATGCACAACTACATGTCTCATGACATTGTCGATTGTGGTCACACCCATCAGGAGGATGAGGAGGCCGCGCATAAACACGCCCACCATCACGACCACGACCATGACGAATCCCACGATGAGATGCGAAAGACGAGATCACGGACGCGCGCTGGGCGTGGCAGTTCCAGAAAGGCAGAATCCCAAGCCCATCACTTACAACCACGAAATTCCTCGACGATCCTAAATGAGACACGAGCATCTTCCCACGCGCCTCATCCCGCTTCAGAAGCCGCCAGACGACTATCAATAGATACCTCAAGAGATCCTTCTCGGCCGTCATTACCACAAAGATTGACCGCGAGCATAACATCCCTCGCGACACACCGAGATCCCTCATGCAACATCGACGAACCATGCTACGGCTTCAACGACCTCTGCGGCCCAGATTGCTTCCAAAAGGCCAGCCAGCGCGGTAGCACGAAAGGAGCGTCCTTCTCCGGGAGAAGAAGCAGCAGCGGCCGTCATCACTCGCGGCCGCCAAATATAACCCTGACGGAGACCACCCCTCTACTACGAAACCCCCGCTCCAACGACGACGGCCACCTCCGCGCCATCGGACAACACCACGACTCCCACTCCCACTCCTCAGAAACCTCCTCCGCCATCTCCGACGATGACGACTCCTCCCCCGAGACCAACCACCATCACCACGTCCCCACCAACACCTTCCTCTCCCTCGGCCTGCAAACCAGCATCGCCATCGCCCTGCACAAGCTCCCGGAAGGCTTCATCACGTACGCGACGAACCACGCGAACCCGAGCCTGGGGGCGAGCGTGTTCCTCGCGCTGTTCATCCACAACATCACCGAGGGCTTCGCGCTGGCCCTGCCGCTCTACCTCGCGACCTCGTCGCGGCTGAAATCCATGCTGATCAGTTTCTGCCTGGGCGGACTCAGCCAGCCGTTGGGGGCCGGCATCGCGGCGCTATGGTTCGCTCTCGCCGGTGAGGGGGGCTGGAAGCCCGAGGAGGGCGTCTACGGCGCCATGTTCGCCGTCACGGCGGGTATCATGGCCAGCGTCGCCCTGCAGCTCTTCGCCGAGAGTTTGGAACTCTCGCATAGTAAGCCTTTGTGTTTCTGGGGCGCGGTGGTGGGGATGGGGGTGATGGGGAGCAGTGCGGCGCTGACGGCGTGAGAAATCTCTCTCTCTCTCTCTCTCTCTGATTTTTGATGGGAGGTAGGGGGAGAGGTGAAGGGGGAGAGATGGAGTTTGCATATGAAAAGAGAAGAGAATTCGAAAAATCTCAGGCATTTATCTATACCTTGATTTTCTCAACGTCACTTTTATCTTTCCTCCAGAGGTTTTCTGGGAGAAGAACATCCCTAAAATAAATAACCTTTTTTCCTTCTCTTCCATCTCTCTCTTTCTCTTCTAGCTTCAATCTTCTATCTCGAGTAACTCCTTGTTTCTAACAATTGTCATGACGATAATACTCTCGACTACTCTATCGAATAGAACAAATGATGGGTAGATAGGCAGGGGCACATGGTGAGAGGGAGAGACAAAGCGAAGCAGACTGAAAGCGCGAAGATTTATCTAAGGTGTATAGAAGAAGTAGAAGAAGTAGGAATTGCACCGAGAAATATCCATGATGATTTGTATGTTTGTTTTTGGGGGGTGTCTTTTTGGATAGAGTTATATATATTGTTTGATTCTTCTCTCATGGGTATCGTTGCGTTTTCCAAAACAAAAAAACAGATCAAATGAAATCATGCGCGTTTTCCTTCCCTCCCCTTCCCTCTCCTTTCCGTTCCTTTCGTTCGGTTTATGGGGTTTGTAGGACGAAACTGCAGCATGGTCTTATTCCACAGGCAGGAGAAGAGAAGAATGATAAGGAGAGAAGAATACAGATATCTTGTGCAGGAGAAAGAGAGCTATCATCTCCTCCGTGGGGCCGGGCACTAACGTGCACCGGGTTGAACAGCTTTCAGAACGAGATCGACGGAGGGGAAAAGATCTGCTGATCGCGGCAAGTTCGCAAGGGAGGAAGGAGGGAAAAAACATTCGCATGGAAAACAGATTGATGCAACTCAGAGTGTCTCGTGATGGTGTGGAGGGTGATATCAGCCTGTCTGTGACGGAACCATCTCTCTCTCTCTCGAAGTTTCTTTCAAATCCACTTGGGGTACACCGGCTGGTTCCAATCAATCACGCCCTCGACGCTCTCGATGCGCTTGCCGCAGGTCCCGAAGAGTTTGTCCCAGAAACGCGTCTGCTTGCCGTAGTTGGCGCTGTGTCGCCAGCCCTGACGGTGGTGGAGATCGTGGTCCTCGGTGCAGAGCTCGGCGCCCACGAGGTTCAGGAACCAAGAGTTCGTCGACGGCGGCGTGACCCACAGGCGCACGCCCCCGTGCCCCCACAGCTCGGTGAAGACAATGTACTGGTGGCACATCCACCAATCGTAGAAGCCCATGGGGAAACCCATCGCCTTCATCGTGGCGTAGGTGAGCAAGGGGACGATGGCGACGTCGAAGATCTCCTGCTCCCAGTCGGCGTACAGGCTGAGGAGGGGTGTGGGGTGTTTGGTGAGGTGGTGGGTGCGGTGGAACTTCCAGAGCCCGTCGAATTCGTGCATGCAGCGGTGGTACCAGTAGAAGAAGAAGTCGAGCACGAGGCCGTAGACGCCGATCTCCACGACCACCCAGGGGCTGATGGTGAGCGGGGCTTGGCTGGTGCGGTAGGCGAGGATCACCGTGAAGAGGGGCCGGAATGTCGCGGTGGCGGTCAGACTGTCGAGGACTTTGCGCACGCTGGCGTCGGGGACTTGGTCGCGTTCGTGCTTGTCGCCGTCGAGGAAGCCGTATTTCGTTCCCAGGTCTCGGAGCAGCCAGAGTTGGTGGACGGCGTTGAGGTTGAAGGCAATCGTGTACCAGACGAAGGCGGCCGGGACGTTGAGGTTGCCGCCAAAGACCCAGATGAAGGCCTGGTGGACGATCATGGGCCAGATTGCGTGGAGGATTACCCAGATGTGAGCGTGGAGTTCAGGTAGGTAGCCCATTTTGTCGGTTTTGGCGTGAACTGCGGGCTTGTTTTTGAGGTCCGTTGGGTGCAGTCGCACGATGTGCATGACCCAGTGAGGGAGTTCCCATCCTTTGCCCGTCTCTCGCCAGGTGGACTTCATGGAGGTCTTGTGAATCTGATCCGGTATTTGACCCATCTTGCAAGATGTGATGTGTGAACAACAGCGGCTTGCTGGGGGTGTGAAGTCGAAAGTTTGTCGCAGAAATCAAACCAACCTAGATGAGGGAGGTTGTTTAACATTATGTATAATCTTGTTGATGGCCGAATGACTAGTGGGACCCGCCACATGAGATCGACCGTGCACGTCACAGGCGCAAACATGCCGAGATGGTCTAGCATTTTGGGCACTGCCTCATCAGGCAGCACAATAAAAAGATTTACTCCGGTCGTTATCGCTGTTGTTCGTCCCCAACAGAGGGATCTCATGGTCCGTCCATCGTGGGATTAATTCTCGTTACAGTTGCGCGGTACTCTACATACCAGAATCGCAATTCTAAACACATAATTGCCCAGTAAATATTGTCCTTCATGATGAAACATTCCATCAATTCGTGAGGGATTACCGAGAGGAATTAAGATTTATGCGGGGGTTGCGCCCGGTTTGGCGCCAGCGCAGGACGTCTCCCGCGGGCCGTCGTTCTCGCAAACTGGCGATTGCGATCGAGAGCGATGGTCCCTAGACCACCGTCGTGTGGATCACCGAGCAATCATACTCTGCAGGTATTGTAAACTGCCATGACGGTCGGAGGGCTGGCGCCGCTTCGTCCAATCAGAAATGATGCTGACCTTGGAATTTGCAGCGTGGCGCAGCATCAGTCTCGCATGTGAACATGAATTCATCCTCTCATTCCAAGCCGCGTGAGGATTCATGCCAGTCGCATGTGCTTGTTCAATGTATCGATCGATTCATATATTGTCCACCAGATCATTCTGATGCACACAGCACAGCCATTCTTTGACCATCGAGGAAAGCACGTTGACGTCCAAGAGACCGTAAGCATTCCACGATTTAGTCATCGACTGTTGTCGTCATGTGGGCCGGTCTCCATGATCGCCAGGGTCATGACATGATTTGCCACCGCTTCAGTCTTCACGACCTCGCAGTCGTCCCGTGCTGGCTTCGTCTAGAACTTCAGGGCCACATGGCATTGAGATTTCCTTTCGATCGTGGCGTAGATTAACTTCTCGATGATGAAGATCGACCGACCCGACGAGGAACAAAAATATGAGCAACGTCTTGGAATTGTTTATCCCATCTCGATATCAGTTTCAGAGTTGTGCCCGTCGATCAGCATCTGTCTACCATGACGTCTCACCCAGAGCGGACACAGAAAACGAAAGGGTCACCCGCGTCACCTGATCGTCAGTCACGTGAATTGACAAACATCCTCCCTCTCACCTAAGTATACATCTACAGCCAAAATTCCGAGTATTTGCAGCACAGCCACAGCATACTTTACTACGTCCAACCTGTCGTTCACTTCCACTCCAGAACGGTGAGGAAATGCTGCTTAGATCGCGGCGCCAGCGCTGCAGGTAATTCTGTTGCCTTGAGCATAGTGGAGACCAGACGATTCCCTGCTGGAGATATTGAGTCCAGAAGCGGAAACCAAGCCGCCGCTCGGCAGAGAGCTGGAGATCTGGACTTCACGTGACAGGGGGCTGGACAACTTACGGTCACGTGAGAGTTGGTTGAAGACGAGAGTTTCACGTGATATCTGCTGCCTCAAGCTGTCACTCTTTGCCCTAACCCTAAAAGCCGCCCGATCGCGTCACGTGCTCGCTCAAAGGGCACTCGATGTCTCTTCTTTCGAACCATCACGTGAGGACATAATCACGTGATCATGAGGCCTGCCTCATATCCTGTTTGATTCACTCCCATGTTTCTAGGCGAATATACATCCGTACATCACCTCTCATCATTTCCCACCGTACGTCTTCGGTGGCGGCGATCCATAGCCTCCTTTCTTCGGGCCCGGCCATTGATCCACAAACTTCTTGATCTGCGCAATCTCCGCCTGTTGGACCTTGGCAGCGCCAGCATTGACATCGCCATTCTTGATGCTCAGATCCGAACAGTGGAAGCCTCCCGGGACGACGTTCACGGGAACATCCGCCGTGCTCTGGAGCGGTCCACCGGGGCGGAAGTCCGCCGAGACCGTCGCGTCGCGCCACGGGTCATACTGGCCGTTTGTGAACACCAGCCGCGTCGTGTTGACGTGGTCCCATCCGCCCGTGTAGGTGTTCACGTCCGCTTCGGTCTTCCCCTTGGCGGAGGCGAACGTCTCGCCATGCGGGCCGGTGGGGAAGTACAGCGCGCACTGCCGCTGGAAATACTCCGGGGTGATGAGTCGGGAGACGATCGAGGGCCGCGATTTGGGCGCCCCGGTCTGCCAGTATCCGAAGGGTTCGTTGCAGAGCATCCATTGCCACTGGCGGTCCAGCGTGTTGCTGAGGCTCGTGTCGGTGAAGATCGGGTTGCTCGCGTTGTAGGTGTTGTAGCACTCGGTGTTGTAGGTTCCCTCAAAGTACCCGTAAGACTCGCAGTTGCCGGGGAAGAAGACTTCTTTCCACCATTTGGCGTAGCCATCCAATGCCTTTGTTACGCCGACTCCTTCGGCGCCCGGGAGGAGGGCTTTGTTGGTTTGGTTGACGGAGTTCTCGATGTAGTCGCACCATTGGAAAAATCCCCTGCGGGCAGTCAGAAGGTGTAAGTCAAGCAAGATCAGCGAGGTACATACTGCGTCCTGTAAAATTGGTTGCCTATTGACGGTCAGAATCAGTAAAAATCAATCGAAACAAAAAATCCAAACCCCAAAAAATCTCACCTTGCCAAAGCCACGGGCCATTCTCCAATGCGCCCATGAAATCATCATTATGCTCCACACTCTCCAGCCCAAACTTCGCCTTGAGATCATACTGTTCCTTCTTCGATCCATGGAGGAGGACATTATCCATGTAATCGATAACCTTCGAAACATCACTGCTGCAATTCTTCGGCATCCCCTGCTGGACCGGATCGAAATACGTCCAAAGGTCCGAAATCGCCTCGACGACCGCACTGCTGGCGAGATAAGCCCAGAACGTCCCCGGCGCCACGCTCTCCGTCCACGCCGTGAGGGCGCCGGAATACGAGCCTCCGACCAGCACCCATGGGACGGCGTCGGCGTTGGTGCGTGCGCGGGTGAAGGGCAGTTTGACGTTGTTGGCGAAGTTCGTGAGGTCGAGGATGCTGTTCTCGAGGGTGAGGTATTGCATGTTGGCGGTGGTGAGTTCCGGGAAGGGCGAGCTGTAGCCCCAGTAGCGGTGCTCGAGGACGATCGTCGCGGCGCCGATTTCTTGCGCAATGGCGCCGGTGAGGGTGCGGTTGCCGAGATAGCCGGTGTAGGCGCTGGCGTTGGACTCGCCGGGGGTGGAGATCTGTTTCATATGGGACAGGTCGGTTAGTCGCTCCTGTTCATCTGTGTTGATGTGTTCCCTCGAGATGTTCTAAAACTCATCCTCGGATTGGGAAACGGGAGGAGGATTCATATCGTACCACGACGGGACTTCCTGGTCCTTTCCAGAATTGATTCGAGTACCAATAGGTCTGCTCGAAGGTGCCCAACTCCGGTCGCTTATGATCGATGAGCTGGCGGAACGTGGCATTTCCCATGATCGGTGGCTTTTCCATGCCATGGCCGGGTATCTTCCAGAGACCTCTGAAACCACGGCCTTCAGCAGCATGCTTCTTGTGGTCGATGGGGTCGGCGGTCACCGAGGTCGCTAATGCGAACAAGGCGAGACTCGTGAAAGTCCGCATGTTGACGATTGTTTGAAGCTGCAACTTGAGATCAAATGTTCCAGACGTCGACAATGATCAGAGAGCAGGGAAGTAAATCGCTACCACCACAGCGAACAGTTCAACTCAACAAGAACAGAACGAGAAATAGGAAACGGTAAGATGCGGCCTCGCGGCACATTCTTGTATATAGCTTCGGCATCACTCACACATATCAGCATTCATCGTGCCACACACCCTCCGGGCAGCACAACCACCGAGACGATCATCAACAACCGTGTGGCACAAGCAGCGACAAGCAATGATAAAGCTTTCGCGCATGGCGTATATCTCCACACGGGGTCAATCGTCCGAACACGACATGGCGATGTAACCTGCTGGTAGTCCAGCGACAGGGTGGTTTTGCCGCTCGCCGCCAGTGGTCCGAATGTCGACCAATTGACGAAGCAGCAACACGAGAGGGAATGTAGATACTGTAACGAGTCGAGAGAGCTGTTCGTTTGCTCCGAAGTGCTCAAGTCGAGCTTGAGCTTTGTGGGAAAGGATCGTCGCGCGGCTTAGGCCTGATCAGGAAGGCGAGGAGGCGACCACGCCCGATTTAAGCTTCGCTGTGGGAGAGATAAGATGTCTATCGCCGCCGGCCCATGGCGCCATTCCCGGGCATGGTATCTTGAATGGGTTTACGACTACATCATCGTAGGATGTTCTGCCTGACAGATTGGTGTCTGTCGTGCCAGAGCTGTTGTGTGATGAGCTCCTGTCATCGTGTCCATTGTTTGACTGCAGTGTGCGAGTCTGATGCTCCCACATGAGTAAGGGTTGGCCATGTGGCCAGCCATGATGAGACATTCCCGACGATCGACGGTGGTGCGGCGTGAAGCGAGGGGTTCATCATCATAGCCTCACACGACGGAGCAATGGCGAAAGATGCGGCACGGGTCAGGAAGAGAGCTAAGTTGGCACGCGCCATGATAAGGGAAAATCTGGCAGTGATCATCTCTCAGATAGTGCGTGCATGCAGCCAGGAGATGGGAGGAAAAGAGGGACAAGTGATCGCCGTTCCTTCTGTCCGTTCTTGCATCCCCGTGAAAGGCGATTGACTGGTTGGATAGCAAGCAAGCAATCAATCAAATCAGGCTGAATACCAAGCTTTTTCGGTGGCAGAGGACAAGCAGACTTGGTGGTGGCAGGCAGACTCCATTGGTGAAAGCCATAATGTACCTGTTCGCGGCGCTTTTTCCAGAAGCAGCGTAGAAGGGAGATAATGGCGGAAACCACTGTCTCGGAGGGCGATGATTGGTTGGGTCCGGCGACGCCGACGTTATTAGATGATCTTCCATCATACTGATTCACATCCCCGGCAGATGATGCTACGATATAATCTATAGCCTTTTCATGTGATGGTGGTGATCATTAACGCCATATGATTGTTTTGGTCTCTTATGGCCATCGCTGTAGTATCGATGTGGCGGCCGAGGTGGGATCAGACGGATTTCTCCCTCCATAATGGACGAGACAAGCTTCTAAGACACAGGAGAAGACGTAGTCGAGGATTTTCATTTCCAGCCTTATGCCACACGTGAGACGGCACGAGTGAGACAAAATGGCAACGATGTGGCAGATCACGAACCGCTGAAGTCAGCCATTTCGGATCATCACGTAGCCGTTCGCAGAGGGAGGTGCACATGAGTGAAGAACAACGACTATTGCAGGAAATAACTGCACATGTAACAAGTAGTAAAAATGCTCGCAAACATCATCACGACGACATTTCCACAGAAGTCTCACATGGCATTGACGGTGGAATGAATTAATTGTTTTTGGATTCTAATGTGAGGGTATTGCAACAATGAGTTCCGCCTCGCCAGGAAGGTCTTAGCTGTGTCCTCTTCGCCTTCAAAGCAGACGCGCTTCCTCTACAGATCTGCGATGTCGGCGCGTAACGCCAACATCCACTACGCATCCTTCTCCGTCTATCGATTCTTGAGCAGATCAAGCCGAGCACGACGGAGGAACCGGGTTCGTCCTTTTGCGAAACCTGTCCACATCATGATCATCTGCTTCAGCCGCTGAGACGATGGACATCAGTAAGCCTTCGTGGATAAATAGGAGAGCGAGAGAGAGAGAGGGGGGCAATTCTGCGAGAGCAGACTGCGAAAGAGACACGCGTTGACCATGACGCTTTCCTCTTCGAATGATGACAAAGCACTCGACTTCTTTGTCTGGTTTGTAAGCAGCAGAAACCAGATGAATACTGAAATGCCCGTGACCCGCAATGGGAACGTGTTTCAGCTTGGGTGGATCCAGCGACGATGGACATGAGCAAGGGAAGATCGTTGTTGAAAATCTCGGAAAAGGGTGGAAAGTTCGGAAGTAGAGCATGTCCATCGACAGCAGGGGTCCCCAAGAGAAAGTTTGAGAAGCCAGAGAACAAGAGGCAAGGGGTACAGATCTCATCAATCGAATTCCCTCTCGGCCATCAACCCCGTCTTCGTCTTGCCCCTCGTCATCTCCTCCGTCCCTTCCTCGAACTTGACCTCCACCGTCGAAACGACCACGATGTCCTTCCCCGAGCCTTTCTTCGAGGAGGCACCTCCGCCACTGCTGTGCAAAAGCCCGTAGTTGGATCTCTCCGCTCGGGTGACCGTCCACGCCTGGTCGCAGGACAGACTCATCTGCAGGGCATGCATGGCGGAAGGGCGATCGGGTGTGGATTTCTTGCGGCGGAAGGAGAAGTAGCTTGGACGTTTCGGCGAGCGGTCGTAGCTTGGCAAGGCGGTGTCCCCGCCTAGAGAAGAGGAAGGTAGACAGGGTGTGGTACTTGTTGTGGTTGTTGTTGATGATGATGTTGTTGTTGTTGTTGGCAGAATTTCGAGGGTGGAGGGGTGGAAAGCGAGACAGATTAGGGAGGCGCAAATGACGGAATAGGTCAGCAGGACTTGCATGATGACTTCGGTGGTGGCGTGTTGGGAGGGGATGTCCACTGCTGGTGAGTCTTGTAGGGCTAATCCGAGGCTGACGATGCGCAAGATTGCGAGGGCGATGATGGGGAGGCGGAGGAGAGCGAAGAAAATGGTGCGGAAGCGAGTCAGTCTCTTGCCGGAGCACTTTAACGAGAGGTAAATCGGATAAGAGATGAGAGCGATTTCGTAGATGATGCCGAGAAGTTCTACGGCGGTCCAATGACGGAACTATGGATTTCCAGTCAGCGAAATGGTCAGGTGTATATCCTTGAAGATTCTAAGAGGAGCTTGTCTGAATCACGAACCATGGCTTGACGTGCACTCTGCAATGACTCGATCCGTGGCTTCAAAGGCAACTCCTGAGCAGCGACGAGGATAAAGGCCGGTAAGGCAAGGACAAGGCCGGCGATCAATAGAGTCACAACCAATGCATGCTCCCGTTGTGAGGCAACGAAGCGAAGGAATAAAGTCGCCACTGCGATTTTCGCTGCGAAAAGTGTGATGATGTAAAGCAAATCACTCGTGTAGGTCATCTACATCCATCGTCAGTCTCCAATCGGTCGTGGATCTTGGTTTCCCTTAGACATACCTTGCCTACCGACTCCAGGACAGCGGCCTGCAGATCCGGTTTCTTCGCGAGACTAGTGGGAAGATCCAGCATGACGACAATCTGTTGCGCCAACGAGAGTACCTGGGGGAAAGCAAATCCGCAAACGTTAGCCAACATCTCTTGGGAACTGCCAGATCGCATCCCGCCTTGAACTCCTCCTCGCATCCGCTTCCGCCAGGAACAGAGTCGAGGGAAAGGAAAAGAAACTTACCGTAGCAAACAAAGCCGCCCAATCATCCAACCCGAACAATTTCCCCAGCGGTCTCCGCATTTCGATCCTAGCCGCCATGACCAACCATGCGAAAATCATACACAGCACCACCACGATCCGGACCAGGCCGCTGGGGTCATGTTCGTCCTCGACGACGCCATAGATGAGGTCCCTTCGGAGAGATTGGGGCGGGAGGAACGCGCCCATTGTCTTTCTTTTGTTGTTGTCGTGCTCAATGAGTGTTTGGAGGAGATGACGATGACGATGATGGGAGCATCAATGAGCGCGGCGGGAGAGTGATGGCGCCCTTTACTCGCTCATGGACTGCGACGACCGACGAACATCACGGGAAGAGAGAGAGATGAAGAGAAGAGAAAAGAATATGGAAAGGTGACGAAGTCTTTCTCAGCCGGTTGTTCTTTTTCCTTTGTCCTTTCACTCGCAGGAGGTAAGATGAAGGGGAGATGGGAATCGTCACAGCAGCGTCTTATTTCCAACTGTCTTCCGCACGTTTTTCTTTTCTATCTTCTCGCAGAGGCAGCGTCAGACCGTTTGGCGTTTATCCTCGTGTGTGAGCGCGTGTGTGTGTATGTCAGCGTCGTTGTTGTTGTATCACCACGTTGTTTCGTTGTCCTGGCAGTGCGACGGTTGGAGAAAGGCAGAGCCGCGTGGATCCATAAAACGACGTGGTGGGCATCTCTGCCCTTCCTGCTCTCTCTCTCTCCTCTCTCTTGTTTTGGTTCGCGACGTTGAAGAACCATAGTTTGGGCTCTAATATGGGGAAATCGTTCATGCATCATGATGATCTTGCGCAGAGGAGAATCCTTCGGGATGGGAGATTGGCAAGATCTCAAGCTGATATTCATGCCCAAGGGAAAGAGAGAAATGAGAAGCGGGTGGTTTCCTCTTCCTCTCTCTTTCTGGCAGAGACGTTCTATATTGTAGCAAGTGAGCATTATCATCTCCCGGTCATATTCGAAAATTCCCACAATAGAAGAAGAGACATACATGACTCGGGCAGCAGATTTCCGTTCGAACGAGAATGGGGAAAAACCCGGAAGCCGTTACCTTTATACTCATCGGCGACAGTTTTTCTCATTCCACCCAGATTTACCCATCCAGAGATGTGTCGCGGGCAGGTATACGAGCCGACGCGAAAGCACAACACCTGGGCGCGTCGCAACAAGCCTCACAGCGCACGAAATCATAACAAACCTCGTTGCTCACCGTCCTTTCTCTCTCTTCCTTTCGCCGCCGCCGCCGAGATGACACTTCAGCATTGTGTCGGAGAGCTCCTTGTATCGCCGCCCGGCATCAATCATTCTGTGGTTGAGCAGGCCGTGTGGCAGGACATAATAGCAGGTTCTCTGGGGTCGCGGAACTTCGGATCTCGTCTTCCCCGGAGGACGTGTGGTCGATTGCTCGCGCCGCCGTGCTGGGTGATCACATGCATGGTTGATGGGCTTGTATTTATCTTGGCCGCATCGTTTCTGCGTGCTTGAAATTGAAGACGATGGGGAAATGGAGGAGGAAAACGACGGGGCAACAGTGGGCAGTTTTTTTCGAAACGGGAGGAGAGAGTAGCGAGGCGAGGTCGTTGTCGTTTTTGCCGGCGCTACAACGGCGTGGATTCCGCTTTTCTCTTCCTCTTCTCCTTCTTCTGGTCGTTATTGCAATTTCGTCATCGGAGGACCAGAGACATAGACAGGTGATGGATGGCTGGCGTTCACTTGTATTTCCCCTAGCAAGAAAAACGACGTTCCTATCCGACCCTTCACTACAGTATCAATCATACAGCGCCTCAAACTCTAGGACAATGAAAGACACGAATACTACGTCCCGCCGATAGAGACTCGAGTATCCAAAAACCGGAGGTTTGGGCTATCTAGACAAACTTCTCCCTCTCCACCTCCGTTCTCCCCATCCGCGACCATTTCGCCGTGAAACGGTGGGAACAAAAGTATAAATGTGAGACGCGTGTGAAACCATTCTCATTCTCATTCTCGTTCTCATTCTGATTCTGATTCTAGAGAGATGAAGATGGAAATGGAAATGAAGATGGAAAGGAGCGTTCGTGTACATATGTCTATATTTCCTCCCCGTCGTCGTCGTCCTCGTCTTCCTCGTCATCGTTGTCGTGGAACATTCCGTGCATGGATCTCTTTTGATAAATGAATGAAATGCATCTCCACCGGAGGAGGGGGGAAGGCCATCACCTGTTCGTCCCAAAAGGAAGGAAAGAGAGGTGTCTGGTCATCAACCGCTCTGATGAGAAGGATGTGGATCGAGCCTCTCTCCCTCTCCCTTTCCCAGTGGTCCAGCCGCGACCGTTGCTGGAGGCGCTTCCCGCATCCCCCACTCTCCGTCGCCCATCTCCACCTCCACCGTTCTTCTTCCGCTCAAGTCCTTCGTACAAGAAAGGATAAGAATATTCTACTGCTTCAGGACCGCGCGGCCCTCCTTCCTCGCCTTGGCGAGGGCGCCGGAGAGGCCGAACTGCGAGCCCACGCCCTTGACACGGTGGGTGGCGTTCAGGTTCTTGACGACGACCATCTGGTAGCAGGTGGCGCTGCCCTGGCGCGAGGCGATGGTGGACCAGGCGAGGAACAGCTCCCAGATGCGGAACCAGCGCTGGCCGTACTTGGCGTTGATCAGGTCGGAGTTGCCGAGCCAGTTGCGGTACCAGCGCCAGAGCGTGCCGGAGTAGTGGACGCCGACGGTGTCGATGCTGTGGTTGGGGAAGAAGGAATGTTCGTTAGTGAATCTGTATAAGAGAGGGAGAGGGGGAGAGCGAGGGAGGATTGTGACGCGACTTGAAAGGGAAGGGAGGGGATGGATTATTTACCTCTTGATCTCCCATCCAGCACTCTCGAGACATCCGACGTAGTTCGCCAAAGGCGTCGAAGCGTCCGCGCCGGGGAAGATGTACTTGTTCAGGAAGAGCCCCCAGATGAAATCCTCGTACTGCCAGGCCTTGCGGAGGCCCGAGAGCTGGACGTACATGGCGCCGTCGTCCTCGAGCATCTCGTAGCACTGGCGGAAGAACAGGGTGAGGCGACGGATGCCGACGTGCTCGCCCATCTCGATCTGCGAGATCTTGTTGAACTTCCGCGTCGGGATGTCGCGGTAGTCCATGCAGAGCAGGTTGCTCTGCGTGTCCGGGATGCCGGCGCGGCGGAGCGCGTCGGTCCCCCAGGCGACCTGGTTCCGGGCGAGGGTGACGCCGGTGACGTGGGCGCCGTAGTTGACGCTGGCGAAGCGGGCGAGGGTGCCCCAGCCGCAGCCGATGTCGAGGAGGGATTCGCCCTTCTTGAGCTCGAGCTTCTCGCAGACGATGGCCATCTTGTTGTCTTGCATCTCCTCGAGGGACTCCTCGACGTCGGGGTCGGAAAAGATTCCGCTGGTGTAGACCATGCGCGGGCCGAGGAACCAGGCGTAGTGGTCGTTGCCGCGGTCGTAGTTGGGTCGGATCTGCTCCTCGTCTTGCTTGCGCGAGTGGAAGAGGACGTCGGGGGCGAAGACGAAGAGGATGAAGTGGAAGAGGTCCCAGGTGAAGGCGAAGCTGGCCCAGTCGTGGCGGTACTCGAGGATCTCCAGGCAGTCGCCGTTGAAGGAGACGTTGCCGTCGAAGTACATCTCGTAGAAGGTCTTGATCGGGATCTTGTTGCTTCCGCTCCATCGTTTGCGGTCGTCGTCGTTCTTGAAGGAGATGTAGTGCTCGACGGGGCGACCGGGAAGCTTGGCCTTGTTGTTGATGCGAGGGGAGTAGCTGGAAGCGATGGTCCAGAAGGCGACCAAGCTGGGGAAGAGGAAGAGGATGGTCAAGAAGATGAAGGTCTTGAACCCGAGACCGATGCGGTAGGTGAGGATCAGAGGCAGACCCAAGAGCACACCGGCCAGCAGGTAGTTGGAGAAGCCTTCGCTGCCGGGACCCTCGGCCGGGAGAGGCGCATTGTTGATGGTCGGGAACTGGTCGCTCGGTCAGATTGGATCTCGGGATTAATTTAAATGCCGCAGTGGGCGGGGATGGAGACCCACGTTGGTCACTTCGACACCACAGTCCTCGTCGACTGCAAACTTGGCGGGTGCTTGTGGAGGAGTCTTGATGAAATCAATGTGCTCCTCGAGCTCGGCGTTGAGCTGCTCCTTGGAGGCCATATTTGCTTGTTTTTTTTACCTCCAATGGCTGGCTAGCTCTCCAGCGCGGTGCTCAACGGAAAGGAGCTTCGTATGTTAAGCCTGTCGAGTCAATGATGAGCCTCCTGTCGTGATATGATTGAACGCATTCACGGATCTGCATACCGTAGATTGGCCGAGTAATCACTGCAACAATGGCTATGTATATGATATACAAAACCAATGGATGCGGCAAAGAGGAGCTGCTCCCTCGAAAAATAATTATCTGGCCATTGGGATACACTTTCCCGCCAAAATTCCGTGCTAACGAAGCGGTGTATGCAGGGTGCGCTTTAGGGTTCTCCGAGCCAGCGGCGCGGTCGATGACTAAGCGACGTCCTTGGCGATCACAGGGCAATGGATGTGGTTAGGGTTTGGGTAAGGACATTCGAGTTTGGTGATATTGATTACCTAGGTATTTCCAACCGTGAAGGTAGGCAGGCAGAGGAATCCAAGTGTACCTAGGTAATTAGGGATATAGTAGGACAATTCGTATGTGTACGATCATATATGTACCGGTAAGCCATCCACTCTGAAGTGCGGTTGTTGTAAAATCTACATGGATACTTGACCAAGGGAAAGCGGAACAGTTTAACCGTGGGCCCTATGAGATGGACCCCAGACTGTCCATGTCGACAGAACCGCCAGCAACATTCACGACTCCAACCACTGTAGCATTCCACACAGAAATGGTCGTGGACAGACATGTTCAGTAAGCAGCGGTTCTCTCCTACATTCTCGTGTTGAGTTTCAGGAGTTGCACCAAAGCACGACATGTATCTCTGTAATAGACTAGAGGAGCTATTCCCTCCTCCATGCTTATACCATAGTATTATTAGGCGTTGTGCTGAGAAGCACGATATATGTCTCCGTGCTGGGCTAGAGGAACCATTCTCTCCACCATGCTCATCCTGTGGTTTCAGGAGTCGTATTATTCTCAAACCACGATACGTATCCCTATAATAGACTGCAGGAGCCGTTCTCTCCTCTATGCTCATACTGTGGTTTCACGAGTAGTGTTATTCTTAAAGCAAGATACGTGTCTCTATACGGGACTGGAATAGCTATTCTCTTACATGCTCATCCTATAGTTTCAGGAGTCGTATTATTCGTGAAGCTCGATATGTGTCTCCATGCTGGACCGTCCCATATCACGTGACTGAAGCGCCCATCGGACCCTGAATTGCTGCAAGGTGTACTGTTTGTGAGTGATGAGTGAAGTGAGTGGAAAAGAATGGATGAGACGTGATCAGGCCACGCGTACGGTTACCGTACGCGATCCCTGTCCCAACCATTCATATCTCCTCCCTGAGTCGCTTATCGCCGCGCCCCTCTATGCCTTGTATAGTTGTCTCGGGCGGCCCATTCCATCATCATCGCCCGCCGCTCAGCCTGCCACCGGCCAACCAACCACATACAGTCTCACTCACTCATCCACCCGCCAACGACACTTCTCTCTTTCCTCCTCATCTCCAACATCACGACTTCAAATACGACCACATTACCGCACCTGGATACGGTTTTCCATTTGTTCATCCGATTCTTCACCTTCACCTTCACCATCATCGCCGCCATCATGTTGGGCCGTACCTTCGGCGTCGTTGCCACCGCGGCTGTAGGCGCCAGCGCCATCCTCCTCCCGGCCGGCATGGATCTCGAAAACGACCCGATCTTCATCACCGGGCTCGACCCGAAGAGCCAGATTGTCCGCATGCCTTGCCCGAGCTGTGTCTTCTCCGCCAACGCTCAAAACCCGGCGAGCGTCCACGAAGAGTCCGACGACGACGATCTCATCTTCTCCGCCCAGGGAGGCGCGGTCGATGCCGTCTTCAACGTGACCATCTCCGAGGACAACGAGCTGTTGATCAACGGCGACGTCTGCAACTTCTCGAGAAAGGCACGAGCCACCGGCCCTAAGCATGTCATCCAAGTCCCGGCCTCCGTCTCCGCGCAGGCCATCGTCGACGGCGAAGCCAAGACCGAATCCCTCGAGGTCGACGGCTTGGACATCATGGTCGGCTCCGACGGCGTGACCTCCCACCTCACATACAACATCTGGTCCGCCGACCGGCACCCCATCCACCTGGACCGTCTGCGCATCAGCCTGCTGACCCTCGACGACGGCGAGATCATGATCCTCGACGCCCACTCCGAAGCCAGTGCACCCACCCACCTGAAAGTCGACCTCGACTTCCTCGCCCAGCGACCACCGACCCACCCCACCGTGGCCGAGAAGCCCTGCGACATCTTCTGCATGATGAAGAGCAAGTTCGACCACCTCCGCAACTCGCACCTGGGCAAGAAACTCGGCTGCGGCACCCACAAGAACCGCCTCGGCGCCAGCCAGCCCATCACCATCGGCAAAGTCCCCGGCCACCTCCGGCCCCCTTTCGCCCAGCACCGTCCTCACGGCCCTCACCACCACCACCACCACGGCCGCCCCTCCTCGCTCATCGCCCACTCCGTCCGCGTCGCCCTCTGGGTCTTCGCCTGCGGCATGGCGGCCTTCGTCGTCGGCATGCTGGGCGCGTGGACCATCGTCTTTGTATTCCTGGGGCTGCGGAAGGTGTTCTACGGTGTGCCGTTCTCCGGTCGACGGGCGGCTGTTTCCCTCGATGAGGATGCTGCTGAGGAAGGACACGGCCTTCTCGCTGAGGATGACAAGGCGGAGAGGTTCGGAGAGGAGGCGCCCCCGCCGGTCTATGAGGATGCCCCGGCCTATGAGGAGAAGGAGGAGCAGAAGTAGGGAGGAGGAAGCTGGATATGGGAATTTATGGGCAAACGGTCCTCCTTCTTGTCCTCGTCCTCGTTGCCGTCCTCTGCGAAATCGACGTCAGGCGATACCAACGTCCATTCTCACAGATAACGGCGGGACTGGGTGTTGTCATTCCACGAAAGAAGATTCGCACTCCTCGAGGAAGGAAGTCGTAGAAATCAGGCGTTCTCTGGCGTTTCTTCCTCCCGTTCGTTTCGATCGCTGTTTTACTCTCTTTGTAGTTTTATCTATCTACCTTCGCTTCCGCTTCTTTCTGCTATCAATTACCATCTCTTCCTCATACTCCCGTCTTTGTCTGCTCCCTGCTCCCTGCTCCCTGCTCATCCTACTGTCTCTGTCTCTGTTACTGTCTCTGCCTTGCTATCACTCTACCCTCTTCTCTCCCTCTCCCTCTCTCTCTCGTCCTCGTATTCTATTACTCTATCCTCTTCTCTCTCTGCTATCACTCTGTCTTCTTCTCTCTCTGTCTGTCGGTCGTGCTGTACACACTCTCCGCCCTGTCGCCGCGTGGGACAGATGCGTTGGATTTACTACAGAGAGGGAAAAGGAAGTAGGCAGGGAAACAGTGGACGGAAATAGATACAGAGAGGGAGAGAGGGAGAGAGAGAGAGGGGAAATTGCAGGGCTATAGTACATATGGTATTATTATTTCGCGCTGATGGGGAGCAGATTTGGTATGTTTTTAGAACAGTTATACAGAACCCCCCATCACGGTGGGAAAAGGTGAATGTGACTGTGACTGTGGATGTGTACATGTGTGTCTGTGTGCGTATATGTGATGAGTTTATTATAACGAGAACCTGCTGGTGTCTTGTCTCGTATTTTCTTGTCTTATCCTTCCTGTATCCTACCCTTGAAGTTCGACCTCTGCCCTGAATTAGGTATCCTCGAAGACCGGAACGAGGGCTCGGGGACGATCGAAGATCTTGTCGGCGACGACGACGGGGATTATTTGTCAGTGGCAGAGAGAGAGGTGCAACGGAACTCGGTATGCCTGTCTTGATAATGTGTATTCTTTACATGAGATTTTCCTGTATTGTTGCTGCTACTGGAAGGAGGGACACAGAGAGAGAGAGAGACAGATCTCACGCGCGTTTTACCCTCGACGTTTATCTTCGACCCTGCCCTGCCCTGCCCTCGTTGCGCTTCCTCCAATGCTGTCTCGCATCCCTTTCACGCTCTTCTTCCATTTTTACGTACTATAGGGACGAGGTGGAAAGATTGGTTCAGACAAACACGACTCTGATTGTGAAATACGGAAATACGGAGTTCCGACAGGACGGATTCTGGGACGGCGCATTTGGAATGTGTTTTACATTTTTCTTTTGGCATCTCTCTGCTCTTCTCCGAGAAAGAAAAAGCTTAACACTCAGGTTCTCTTGAAGACATTGGGGATTTTTGGTCATACGAGAAATTGGTACCTGGGCGCACACACGACTCGCGAGCACAAGGGTTCAGAACCTTGCGTTCTCCCATTGGATTCCTGCAAGCTCTAGGATCCCGGGAAGACAGGAACGGTGCGCGATGCCAGAAAAGGGAAACGCCTGACCGACCCATTGGAAAAGCATAATAATAATCCAGATATTCGAATTTTGGATTGCTTACGGGCGGATAATCGCCTTGAATAAGAGAATGACACGAAGTCGTAAAATCCGCGAGCTAGCTCACGATGGAAATCATCCTTGTCCAACTCCGTCAAAACCTGCCATTTCTCGGGAAAAAGGAAAGCGGGACGCAGACGAGGAGTAATTTCCTAGCATGTCACTCGTCCGTCTGCCTGTCTGTGTGACTATCGCCGCTAGGAACACATCGTTATCTGCATGACACGGGTGAGCATCATCTCGACTAACTCGTATGAGAGAAAGCTCCAAGTTGTTTCCTGCAGATCGCTGGCTGGCTGGCTGGCTGATTGGAGTTGCTGATTGATGTGTTTCTGTCATCCGAATGATATATATAGCCGCGTCGGAGTGTTCTCCTCGACGATCACCCAGGTCCAATACCCGTGGGATGTGTACGCACTAGGACAGGGCAATCGCAAGGCTAGAAATAGTGTCTGTCTATTACATTGCAGTTGCAGACAGCACTGGAGTATGTCGTGGGAAATGTCACCATGTCGTGCATGTCCAGAAACTAGCGCCAGCCCGGAGGAGAAGTCGTGGGACGGAGGCGGCAGGTCATCCACTTCGTCGATGATTGGTTCGATGGCCGCCGACCTCTTCGGGCTGGCCACGGCCATCGCGTTTACTGGGGCAATCGCGGCGATGCGCGTGGACTTGCCCAACCTCACCTCATCAATCCCTGCCATCGAGCGAAAGTCCTCCGTCTAATCTTTCTACCGTCTGATCTTTCCACCGTCTGATCTTTCCACCGTCTGATCTTTCCACCGTCTGCTCTCCCTCTTGCTCGCTCTCCTCCTTCCGGCACTTCCCATCCATCGATCGTCAGGTCTCACTCCGGACGTGCCTGCGATCGCGCGCTCATGCGGATATTGGAGCGTCCTTCAAGAAACGTGTGCAGACCAATGTATCGGTCGCGCACTGCTTGCTATCGACGAGCTACACTCGGGGGTTTTGCCAATCTCCATTGGACGACCTCGACACCCACCCGGTGTTGAGGATAGTATGAAGCTGTAGCGCTATGGCCTGAGAATGACGGAACTCTCGCTCATCCGGAGCACTCCGCCTGTTCGTTCACACTCGGAGATTCACACCTTCGCATGGCACCAGATGCTACCTCTGTTTGGATGCCAACCGAGACATATGATGCTTCGTGCCTGCAGACAGGTTCGCTCTCACCACAAAACCCACCTGCATCTGTGCCAGCCCTGCGCAACCACATACCCTGGCTCCCACACGCATTGTCTCCTCCCTTCACACTCCTCATCCATATGTTCTTTGTCGATGACGCTCAGCGCTACCACAGGTTGGACATGTGCTCAACCGGCCACCTGGTCCATTTCTTTCATGAGGACTCTCTTTGTCCACTTTACTCGGCTGACCGGCCAACGGTCAGCCGTTTTTCGCTTCTCAGGCCTGGACCGTTCATGCGGCCGATATAATATCCTCCCGTGACAGCCAAGCGCGAGTTACACATCGCAAAGCTGTCACTCTTGCTCGAAACTTCCCTGCTACTGCTAATGATAGCGCTTATGCTGCAACTCTAGTGTGTTGACCTCTGACGCTATATTGGACTGCCATCTGCGACGCGCATCAAGCTAATCTGCACGCTTGCTGTAGTCTTAGATAATCTTGGATTGTGCGCGTGGTGTACCTTCGGCCGAGCACCGCCGGTACGGAGATCCCACCGACCTGTTCGTTCCGTAGTGGTCACAGAGACTAGTTTCGGTGTTCTTCCATGGGTGGCCGACAACTTCATGCATACACATTCTGCAAGTATGCAATCCGCTCGAGAGAAAAGCTTCTGACCGACTGGATCCCTAGTCTTCACAGGACCAAAGAAAGGTAAAAATGCTGCTCTGCAAGGTAAGGTTTCCAATAGCTCCATGTGCGGCGCGTTGCTTTGCATCAAAGACACTCCATCTTCCCTCACCTGCAGCTTCCCTTCTTTATGAAACAAATCTGCTTCTTTGTCTCAACGCGGGCAGTAACCCAGCCCTCGTCACACTCTCCATCGCTCTTCCAACTCCGAATCATCTGTGATCTAATATAACATCGTCGATCATCTCCCCTGTTCGATCTGATCCGACTTACCATTCTCACGGGAAAAGGTTCTTGTCCTTCGTTGCGCAACTCAACTCAATATTCAGGTCCTGCCGTTGAGGTACCAACACACCTGTGGAACGGGAATCCCTTCTTCGTTTATTCTCTTCTTACCGAAACTGCGGTTCCGTGCCGTTTCTCATTTTCCAACCACAGACCCAACGTCTTATGACGACGTCGCTCGACCCTGGTACCACATTGTGCAGCTTCGGTGCCGACGCCAATACATCATCGACGACCAAATATATCACTGTTGAAAGTGATATCTTTCGAGTGTTCCAAGACGGTATCGACGGCAACACATCAATTCTCGGGATAGCTCAAGACGAATTTCAGTCCTCGAAGCGTCAAATGAAAACCCAACGAGGATACTAGTCCAACACCTGGCGCCCAAACAAGATACCTCATCGCCGAATTATTATTCAGCACGCTCAATACATCTTGACAACATGTCCGAAGCAATGTCCGGCTGTTCGGCTGACCCGAAGTCATCTCACACACGAAACTACTCTGAAGATTCCATGGCGATTTCTCCAATGGAGCAACTTGGATATCACAACACCTCGATAGACTCCATCCTCGCCGGCTTACAGGCCCCGAGCCAGCCATGTTCGTCGGCCCGTAAACATGTAACGCCAGACACGTCAAAAGACTCGCGAGGAATCGGGTGTTCACTCACCAATCCATCCGTGCACGACCGATCAGCACAACAACCTAATAAATCAACACAGCAACCCCAATCTTCGCCCCGCTGCAATTCCTGTCGGCCTCCATCTCCAACCAGCACGCGCCCAAGCTCATCCGCCGGCAACCCGGCCGCACGGCTTCCACCATGCCGAAGGCCACGCGGCGCCGTCGCCCGGAGTTCCCTCGCCCAGGCCTTTGCCTCGGAGGATGGTGGATCCGCATTTCTGCCGGCATCTATCGGCATACGGACATCTCCACGCCGTAACCACACAGCCTCGACCACTTTCGCCCATCGACCGGCGCCAACTCCGATTGTCCCTGCAACAGAAACACAACCGATCCCACAGACGACCTCTCGCGGAAGTGATCAGTACAACACCCAACGCACCGACTCGATCATCTCTCTACCATCCCTCTCCTCCTCCAGCTCTCAACAAGATCAAGCAACATCACTACCACACAATAAGAGCAACAAAACCTCCCGCCACCCCTTCCACCGCACAACCTCCTCAAGCAGCAATAATTCAAGTTCAAGTACAACTTCCTGCTCCAGCGCCTCTACAAGCAGCAGCGCCCTGCACTTCGGACGAAACAACAGCAGCAGTAGCACCAGCAGCGCTTCGACCACTACGACAACCTCAACCTCCTCCTGCTCATCATTCTCCAAACTCTCCCCCTTAACTTCAATCCCACCATCATCCTCCTCATCCCCCTTCTTCAAAAGTCCTCCCTCATCACACTCCCCACTCTCCCCCTTCACCCCGCTCTCCACCCCCTCCTCACCTCCGGTGACCCCCGCCTTCGCCGCCCTCTCCTCGAAACCCTACCTCCACCATCCCGCAGGCTACGCGCCGATGGCGGCAGGCTTCGCACGCCTGAAGATCTCCTCCTCCTCGTCGCGGCATTCCGTCGCAGAGGAAAGAGGTGACGAAGACTTCTTCTTCAATCGCGGCGGAGACGTCGGGAGTGCTGGTGCTGACGGCGCGGAGGTGAGGATGAGGTTGTTGGTTAGCGGCAGGGGGAAGGCCGAGGGGATGAGGTTTGGGGACGCGGAGAAGATGATGCGGGAGGAGGGTGAGCAGGAGGAGGGGCAGGGGTTCAGGCTGGGAGTCGGTGGACGCGGACTTTTCACGGAGGAGAGGAGGACCAGGAGGGATTTCGTCCCCAGGGGCGGGGTGAGGAGATGATGGCGATGTTGATGGTCCTCAATGAAGGTCATGTGTGTTTTCCTTGTTTTCTCTCTGGCAGAATCCTGGGAGGTCTTTCTCTGCGTCTGTTCCGCAGATGGCTTCTCGTTTCTCCTCTTTCGTTTTAGGGCGGGCATTTTCCTCTCATGATTGCAGCAAAAGCGGCGCGGGGCCATCAGCGAGGCAAGGAGGAAAGCGCTTTTGTTTTCGTTTCGTGTGCTCTTTCGTCTTTCTTTTTCTTTCAATGTCTGTCAAGGAAGAGGCAAATTAATTTGCGGACGTTCCGAGTCTTCAATTGCTATTAATCTTCGAATTTCGTCCTTCCAAGAGCTGTTATGAGATCCTTTTCGTTTTTCTGCTCGATGAAGCCTATTGCTAATTTGCTCTTATTTCGACGTTTCGCGGCAAACGTCTTCGGACCATTGAAAGACTACTCCCCTCCGCTTTTCCGGACGCATAGAATCTCTCAACTCCTGCCAAAAACTCGCCCACCTCTCTCCAATCTTACTTTCATCGCATTCATCAGTGCACATCATAAAGAAGCAAAATCCATCCTTTCTCCCCCCTCGGTTATCATTCGACATGGACGATTCCACCCCTGCCGCGGAGCGCTGATGGGAGACCCGCTCATGCAGTGAAGGATCTAGATACTCGAGGTCCCATCGAGCGGCTGGTCATTGGAGATAGATCATTCGTCAGATGTTTCGGAGATGGATAGGTGGACATCGGATATAGAGCCGGGGTTTTCTGTTCGGCCTACGAGTTGACCTTGCATATGTACCAAGCAAGGCAGATTCCGGAATTAACCATGGTCCCCTGTGGGAAGTTCATGTCGGACCCTGCGGCCGTTGTTGCGATACAGAGGCGTTGGATGCGAAGACACTGGGCGCAGAGACCTATGACAACCCTCCTCCTTGCGTCGGTCTATGACATGTCGGATATGGAACAAGAGAGGAAAGACATCGATCTTCGTAAGCGTGAGAGAGCAAGCAAGCAAGCAGAGCAGGGGAAACACAGCCATCTCTCACGGCCTCGCATGACCGACTACATCATCTTTTTCTCCTGGGGCAGACTATCAACATCACTTCATATGGGCCATTCTGTCACATACGCGTCACACGAACACAAGAGAAAAACCACTTGTAGCTCAGCCTATTGGGCATATTTATCATTTCATACTGAATGATGCAATATTCCGTGCCCCCGAGGATAGGAGAAGAAGGGGGGCGTATAATCTCATTATAGGAAAGCCAACGGAGGGGGAGCAGAGCACGAAATGGACAAGGGGGGAGGGGGTGAGAGGAAGTGTTGGGGTATAATCGTGGAATTCCTTTCCTTTTCCTTTCCTGCTCTGCTCCCACGTCTCCCGGATCGTAATACTATTCTTTCCGCGCAAATGCCGTAAATGAAGAAATCTAGACGAATGCAAAAACCTCTCGCCGATTCGATCTATCGCAGCCACAACATTTTCAAGATGTCGTGGCGCGCGAAGAAGGAGCGGATTTGTTTGCCGTAGATGTCTGTTGGGCAGTGATCAGCATGAATTCTCCGATGACGTTGTTTCCGGGTGAGAAAAAAAAATAAGGGATGGAGGGAGAGAAAAACTTACACATCGGGATCGTCGAGACACAGATTCCAATCTGGACATACGCGAACAGGAAAAACATCGGGCGGGCGGAAAGCTCCCTCAACCAGTCGAAGCCCTTGTACGTGATTCCGAAAGAGATCAAGTTCTTGAACAGGACGAGGCAGGTCAGACCCTCGATGGCGAGCTCTCTGTATCCATCGACGATGTACTGCGCCGCGGCTATGGCACCAAGGGTCATCCCACCGACGACGAATCCGAAGAAGACATCGAGCGGGAGCCAGCCGTAAGCCGGGTTGGCCGCGATGACGCCGTATCCGAAGAGGCCGCCGATGCCGAAGAGGGCCATGGGGATGACGAGGACCATGCGGAATTCGGGCTCGAAGACGCCGTTGTTGCGCTTGGTCATGAAGCGGGCGGTCGAGTCGGAGATGAGACCCGCCATTCCGAAGGCGACGATGGCGCCGATGAAGGCTCCAGCGTACATGTAGCCCGTTTCGACTTCGGTGAAGCCGAGGTTGATGGTGAAGAGTGCGAGGGAGACTCCGAGCATCGCGACCCAGGCGATCATGGCGCCTTGGATGAGTGAGGCCCAGAGGAAGGCGGGTTGGAAGAAGAGCGGGAGGGGTCGGAGGGCGAGTTTGATGATGTTGGTCTGGTCGTGGCGGCCGCTGAAGAGGGCGAGGGTCTTGCGGGTGATTAGCTTTTGCTGGGCGGCGCCTGGGGCGGGGTAGGGGTGAGGTTCGGCGGAAGCGCTGGCGATGGCGGCGCGGTCAACGGATTCGGTGGATTTCTCCTTGGTCTCCTGAGATTGCTTGCTCATGGCGCGGACGGCTTCGGTGTGCTTGTCGGTGTTGACGACATTGTTGGTCTGAGAGTTGGTGGAGTCGGCGTCAAAGGCATAGCTGGCGATGGCGGCCTTTTCACGGTCGAAAGTCGTCTCCGGGCAGAAGAGGTAGACCAAGGGGAAGATAGCCGCGGTGAAGATGGCGACGAGGTAGAATGTCCATTGCCAGCCGAGGGAGGCGGTAGACCTAAAGGAGGATTCCATCAGCATAATTGACGATGGTTGACAGAGGCCACGACGATACGCACTTTCCGACAATAACGGGGGTGAAAAAGGCACCACCGAATAGGCACAGGTTGGACAAAGCCATACGGACACCGCTCTCGTGCACGAAGTACAGCTCACCAACCATGACGTTGACGAGACCTTCAAAAGGTGCCAGACCAATACCCTTAGGAACTCAAAGTCAGCTTGCCATACCACAAACATTTGTCGAACAGGGTGAATTACCTGGAAGAAGCGAGCCGCCACGAGCGAGTTGTAGTTCTCGCCGCTCAAACCACCCCAGATGGAGCTGATGATGATGATCAGAGTACCGAGCAGGATCAACCATCGCTTGCCCCAGACTCGCGCCAGAGGAACAACGAAGAATCCGGAGATGCCGACACCCAAAAGATGGTAACCCGTCAAGAGAGCCATGTCGGTGATGCTGTGCTGGCCCTTGTAGTAAACCAGGAGTGTGAGGGTGTTGGCCGCTAGCAGCGGTGAGAGTGTTGATGCCAAGACGGAGAGCAAGCAAAGGAAGAATGTGATCATGTCGCGACGCCATAGTGGCCAGTTCTGGATGAATCCATGAGCATTTTCTTCAGAGAGTGACCATTTCCACGGCGTGTGCCACGCTTCCAAGCGCGCATAAAGATTGAAGACTCACCAGCGGGTCGTCTGGGCTGTCGCTAGGTTGTGGGACGAGGATGATGTTGCTGCCAGGCGCACGTTTGAGAGGCGCTCCACCCTCGACATCGACTGCGGTGGTTCTTCCCAAAAGATCGTCCAAAGTCGCAGTACCTACGACGAGAATTTATTAATGAGATGCGCATTCAAGAGACAGCGTAGTCTTCATAAGTTCGATCGCCGACGTTTCAACAATAGCATGCGCCACTATGCGACGGATTCCAGATCGTAGATATGCCGATGATAACGAGAGACCGCGTACCTGGGACAGGCACCAACTTGGTGTCTTCTAAGACTCCGAGACCCATGATGAATGATAGTGATTGTGAACTTCTCTCCCAGGTGAGGATTTGCCAATGGTCGACACGATGCCAATTCTCAGAATGTAAAAAGCAGAAGGAAGGACAATAGGTCTCTTAGACTTCTCAAATTAGCGGCGAGGGTTCACCAGTATGTATGTACACAGAGTGGTGTCTGTTCGAACGCACACGCACGCGCGCACACGTAGATGCACACTTTCGCCTCGGTAGGTGGGCGTAGTTTGGTGTGTGCTGTATGTGTGGGTTTCTTTGGTCGCTGACGAAAGGACCCCAGCAGAAGGTATTAGTGCGAATGCAGTCCAAGATTTTCCAGATTAGTCTGCATGTAGCAAAGACCACGCAGATCTACGAGACGGAGGGTTCGACTTCCAGGACAGAAAAGACAGAATGAATGCGTGGCTATGAAGTTGCTCGTCTTGCGTTCCAAAATGCCCTGCAGTCCAGAACGAGAGTCTCCCTCGGAGGCCAGGGAATGGGGGCGAATGGAGAGTTTCACTAATGCTGTCTTGTCACACTAGATCTGCCGGTCACCAGAGAAAAAGCAGCGGAAGACGGGAACAGGGCAAACCGGCCAAGATTGATGGCAGGAGCGTGCTACTGCAATAACAAAAGGGCGAAAGATTCGTGAGCGCCCGTGGCCGGCGGACCGGGAGTTCATCGTCCGACGGGCGAATAATGAGACCGTTGAACGTCTCTCGCAGCAAATTCGTCTTGTCCGCTACTATAGCGCGTATGGCAGGGATTGGGGTGTAGTCACTCAGTTCAGTTTAATTTGCAGCGTCTAACGCGAATCAGGCTTGGAGGATCCCGGAGGAATGCCGGGTTTTTGCGGGGTTGTCCACACGAGCAGGCTTGGCTGACCGCGATGGAGACGATGATTGGGTGGGAGGAATGATTGCATTGTCCCAACCTGCATTGTTCCGTCCATTACCTTGTTCCTTGCGATTCCCTTTGGCGGCGATCCATGGATGCTTCTCATTCTTGCCTTATGGTAGAAGACTGCATGGCGTTCGTTGGGCTCGTGGGTTGATGGCTCAGTCGTTGAGACGGTGGCTTGTCTCAAGAGCGGAATATTGATTGCTGGACGTCTGCTTTGCATAGAACATTCACCTAGTACTGTACATAGCAGACGTGCAGACCAACTCGCCTCTTCTCTTGTCCTTGTCTTGGAAGTGGGCTTGGGAGCGGGCTTGATGGCATGTCGTTCGCGCTTCTGACCTCGTCGGTGGCGCTGAATTCAACCCAACCTCGGCGGGCTTCAGCTTTGCCTTCTACAGTGCACAGATTCAGTCCTCCAGTGAGTGAAGCCGGTCTACTGGCATGGATAGCGACCCTCCGCTCGCACGAATATCGTCCTGGTTCTGTACGGTATAATGCAGTTGCATAATGTCGCTCATCACAGCAATCGAGCACTGAGTTGAAGAGCATCTCACGTCGTGTACAGACAGGGGATCGATCGGCATGCAGGAGGAAGAATTGGGATATGCTGGCCGCTGTTGCAGCATCATGCAACATCATGCAGTATGCAGCATGTCTATCATCAACACGAGCTGCCAGGTCACGCATCCCATCACCCAGGTACAGTCGAGGACATCTCTGTAATCGCGGCACGTATTGCGTATTCTGTACCCAAGAAACATCATCCACATGCATGGCGCACGCAGATGCGCGAGACAGCAGTCTTCCATGGTCGTGAACACGACGAGTTCGTCATGGTGGAGAAGTACAGTAGTAGTAGTCGCGATCGTCTATAGTAGCGCCCGGGGTTGATCGCCACTGGGATTGCCGTTGATGACATTGACAGCTTTAGTTCGATCGTGAGACATGTCCCTACTGGCCCTTTCCGCAGCACTCTATCGTGGAGACCGCTCTCAATGATTGTTGTACTCTTGCAAGATGTGCTTGTCCGTAGAATCCTTCGGCTGCTGCATGTCCTGATGCTACCCGATGTATCATTTTCCGTGGTGCGCGCGATCTCCGCAATTTGTCTTGGCTGAGATTACCACGATCTTGTAATGCCAATACACATCATTGCTGAGACTGAGACTGTGCTGCAAAGCATCAACAGACAAACGGAACTCCTCGGCCCTGTAAACGAAGAACGAAGAACATGCGCCTCTCCTCGAAAACTAGGCGGATAGAACGGCCGTGGCGTACGGACAAGAATATTCCCCTGCAAACTCAATGGCAGCCGAACAAGGGTGTGCACACACAAAGATGGGACGGAATACCGACCACCGACGTCACCTCACGTTTCGTCTCGTCCCTTTGTCTCCACATTTCGCAGGGTGCAGCAGACATCTCGACGACACCTGTGTGCTGTACATGGAAGCAGCCCTGGAAGATCATACACTATACAAATCGACATGATTATGTTAGGCACGACGCTTTTTTACATAGAAGACTCGACAGGCAGAAGCCGAGCAGCACAGACGCGCGATAGAGAGACCGTGCAGCACGTTCGTCGTGCCAGACTGCTTCACAGATTCAAGTAAAAAGAAAATGATAATGATATGAGCCATCAACAACACCTCATGACCCTCAGAGTACGGGCATTTCATAATTTCTCGTCTCGAGGAAGACCCCGTCCGAGATCACGAGACGAATGATGCCAGATACCCGTCTAGAGGAATACCGTATGATAGTCTCATTCGACTCGTCTCCAACACCAAGCAGGGACCAATACAGCCAGAAACAATAGAGATACATCTTATAAAAAAGCGCCATGATTTCCCGGCATCGCAGCCTTATCCATTTCCACAACCAAGCTGAACGAAAGATAGACTTTTGTGCCGCAGATCACCGCCAGCATCGGCATCAATAGACTCCGACTCCGCACGGGATTCGAAATGCGAAATACGTGCTCTCACAGACGACGAACGACGACGACGACGTGATGGTCTTCGTAGCACGGCATCATCGCCGTTATGTGTCTTCATTGTCACTGGGGTGGCGGTGGTAAATACAGTCCACACTGCAGCGGAGTAGAAATGTTGTTGATCCGAAATACGAGACTGTGTCATCCTCAATGATGACCAGGGAACAAATACCGGGAGGAGTTGTGGTGGGAGAATTGCAGCAGCAGCAGCAGAGCATGAGCAGCTCGGATGAGATGATGGAACGATCGGCGATGTCTGTATTGACAAAGGAGATAGGTTGCGTTGCAGACAGACACGCCTATTACGGGCTCAATTCTGAACGCAGCACGATTATAGATTTAGAATGAAATTGTGCTGTAGGTGAAGAACGAGATCACGCACAAGGGATTGGAATCAAGGGAACATCGATCACTCCCTCTCTATGCATGAAATACAGGATATCGCTTCTCTATGAGACGCCGTTCGAAAAATCCATCGTATCGTACTATCCATCGATCGTGAAAAAGCAGACTTGATGACAACCTCCTCTCGTTCATCTCACTTCTTCTTCCTGCCCATGACGTTCAAGGTCTTGAGCGGATCGCCGCCACCCCTCCTCTTCCTCTCCGCAAGACGACCTTTCCCTCTGCCTTTATTGAACGCCCTCGCCTTTCGGATGCGGTTCTCCGAATTGAGATCCTTCCTCAGCCCGACGAATCCCACATCGCGGCTCACCGCCGCCGTGCCGCCGGCCGGGAGCAGATAATCGGGGACGTGGCGGAGGTGGGGCTGGGCGCGGACGGCGTGGGTTTCGGTGTCGTGGCGGAGATGGCGGAGGTCCTGGGGGTTCTCCTCGAAGTGGCGCTTGAGCTTCTCGCTCTTGACGAGTTCGTGGCGGAGTTCCGAGGTGCGGGCTTCGCGGACGGCGATGCGGGTGACGCCGCGGAGGGCGTCGGCGAGACGGTAGCGGAAGGGCGCGAGGTTGTCCCAGTTGAGGCCCCACTCTTTGACCTCGCGGCCTTTTTTGCTCTGCGAGGCTTCGATTTTGAGCATGGTCTCTTCGTCGTTCTCGCACTGCGGGATGCTGGTGGGTTTGTGCTTGCGGTAGTGTTCGGTGGGGACGTAGAAGGATAGTGCCATGCCGTTCTGGCCGCCGCGAGCGGTGCGGCCGATGCGGTGGGTGTAGGATTTGGCGGTGAGGGGGAGATCGAAGTTGAGCACGCAGGTGACGTTGCGGAAGTCGATACCGCGGGAGACGCCGTATTCGCGATCTTCACGACGTTGTCGTTTCGGGCGCGCTTTGGGCTTTGCCTCCGCTTCTGCTGGTGCAGAGTCTTCTTCTGCCGGTTTGTCCTGGTTCGTGACCTCCTGCTCTTCGTCTTCCTCCTCAGCCTCTTCTTCCGCTTTCCTCCTCTTCTTGCCTCCGTGTTCGTTGCCCATGACTTCGCCCTCATCTGCTGCGATGATGATATCATAGACGCCGCGATTGAATTCCTCAACCACGTGCAGTCTGTTGTTGACAGGAAGTTCGGAGTTCAACACACAACTCCTCACACCAAATTGCTCCAGAAACAGCTTGACTCTGTAACATCTGTCAATGTCCGCAACGAACATGATAATCTTTCCCGGGATGAGATTGAGTTTGAAGATGGCGTAGATCAGCAAGAATTTTTCATCTTCTGCGGTGCGAAGTTTGTATTGTGTCAGCGTTTGGGCTTCGGCAGCCTCCTCGGAAGACATGTCGAGAATCGTCGGTTTGTTCGCCTCGTCTGTGCCGAAGAAGAGCGATGAGACCGTCCCGACTTCAGTGCGAATCGTCGCCGACATCATGATTGTCTGTACTCCGGGCGGTAAGAAACCGGCGATGCTGGAAAGACTTTCCTCGTGGCCATAACTCAGCAATAGATCCGCTTCGTCAACGACCACATGTTTCAATTCTTTCGTCTGTAGCGTCTCTTCGTTGATGCATTGCGCCGCTCGAGCAGGAGTTGCTACGACGATATCCGGGTACTCTGCCAACCTTGCCTTTGTGACGGAAGTATCCTCTTTTCGGGTGATGTTCTGCCCTTTGATCACCTGTCCACATGTTTTGGAAATTTCATTGATCGTAGTAGTCACTTGAGCAGCGAGCACATTCGTCGGGACAAGGATGAGCGTAGTCGTCGCTTTGGCGCGTTTATCGGCATCTTTTCGAAGGAGAATGCTGTGAAGAATCGGCAGGAGATATGCCAGCGTCTTTCCCGATCCGGTCTTTGCTCGTGCGAGAATGCCTTGACCTTGGAGAACTGGTGGAATTGCGCGTGCTTGAATCGGCGTCGGTGCCTCGAAATTTTGCTGATGTATCGCTTGGAGAAGGCGAGGGTCGAGTCCAAGGTCGGCAAAGTCGACCTTGCCAGTCTTTTTCACGGCAGTAGTCGGCGCGGCGGGAGCAGCATCGTCGGCGGGCGGCGGCTCTGGCTCGTTCCTCTCGTTCAATTTGCGCTTCATTATTTTGGTGGATGTGTTGGCAAAAGTTTACGTTTGTCGCATAATCACCTCTACGTCGAAATCTTTCCACTGGTACAGTAGTTTTTCTGAGCCCTGGTCACGCTAGCGGACTTAAGCGGCGAAGATGTCTCGTCGACTTAGGGTTGGATAAGTCCAATGAGACCCCCCAAGTGGAAAAGTACCCGGGTAGATGATGAAGCCATGTCGCAGGGATCTGTCTTCTGCAGCAGTTATGTGGTTGTCGTGCGCGCCAACGTGGGATAGATCTTCTGCATTAGACTGTGGTTTCCAACGAGGTCGCGGGTGACCAGTGCCGGGTGGCCGTGCGTGAATCTCTTCATATTAACGCAAATATATTCTAAATACGACACAGATCACGATTGTTTGACGATGTCCAGTTCCCAATGTGCCGTCATAGCAAAGGTATTGGAAATGGCAGACGCAGAAGGACGAGGACCAGCTATAAAGATTCCGATAAAATGTAGTATGTACACATTATTTCACATGCCGAAGATTTTGAAACTAACACCCCTGCTCGCAAGGGACTCGGTCGTGTACAGCCATGACAACAATAGCAAGACCGGATCGACTGTCGTTCCCGATAATCTTCAGGCATGCCGCTTTTACATGTGGGTAATCAGCCCTTGGTTGCTGCCCAGATCTGCAAGTAAACAGCGTTCCCATCGTCGTCCCTCGTAAACCATGCCTCAGCCGATCTACTTCCTGAATCCCTTCTGTCCATAATTGACCGCCGCACGCGCCGTCACAGCCAATTTGTGCACCGCATTCCTCTTCTCCCAGATCCCACTGCGGCCCTCCACGATCGAGATGATTTCCTCGGCGACTTTGGCCGGGAACATGTTCTTTCCACTACCACGGCTCTTGCGCTTCGAGCAGGCATCCAGGATCCACATGAAAGCCGTTCGTCGTCGTTGGCGCAGACTGAGCGGAACGGGGATCTGCAGGGAGGCACCACCACCAGCACCACCCTTTTGCACTCGCAGGCGCAGAAGTGGTGCGACACTGTCGAGGGCGAGGGTGAGGTAGAGGACGGGGTTAAGTGGGAGGTGGCCGGCTGGTGGAGCGCCGGGGAGGAGAGGTCGTAGTGGGTTGATTTTGGGCGGTGAGCTGGTGCGGAGAGTCTGAAGGATGAATGCCATGTATCGCTGAGCGGTCGCTTTGCATCCATCGCGCATCATCAGGTTGGTGAGTTGCTCGACGACGGGATCATAACGGGTCTTTTTGATCAGGTCCCTTGGGAGAGGTAGCTCGGGGAGAGGGAATTTGTGACCTTCGCCGCTGCCGTCGGAAATTTGAAGAGCGTTTAATGACTCCAAAGAATTCTGCTCCTCAGTGACGGTGTTGATGAAGAGTTGTCGCGCAGCGTCCTGTTCTGATGACCACTTTGCTCGCTGCTCTTCTGTCGGCAATGCTCCCATGTCCATCTGTGTTGAGTCGATGTTGTTGGTGAAGCCTTCTGCGGGCCGTCTCGCCATGGTCGAGAATGCTCGGGTCGAGGCTTTGGTTGTGACGTTTGTGTGCTTGGCCTGATCCTTCATGACCTTCGGCGCTGTGTCCCTGGTATCCTTCTCATTTCGCAGGATCTGACCGTACTGTTAACCCAATGCTCAATGTCCAATTCTCCTTCATTCACGAACCTCCTGTACAGGTGTGCCCTGACCCTCGATATCTGGCCCTTGTCCGCCCTGAACCTTCGCAATCTTCGCAGCCTCCTCACTGACATGCTCTTGCTGCTTCATGTTCGGTCCATCCTGGCCTGGCTCTGCCTTTGGAAGATCGAGCTTTTTGTCGTCGGCAAATGTGCGGCAAGCCGATCGCTTCATACCCACGACGGCATTGCTGGGACGGAATGCGACCGGGCGCGGTCGGAAGGCGCAAGTTCGAATGATCGGGAATGCCTTCATTGTGTCTGTGATGATAGGCGATTGTACAGTACAATATTGGCCCGCAATAGACGCACGTCAATGGCAGCTGCTCGCGTGGTCGGCAGCGTCTGTAGTCATGCCAAGCTTCATCGGCAGACCTGCCCGGCCTTTTCTACACTTGCGAGCGTCGTCGACGTCACAAACCTTTCGACCCGTCGACATCATTCGCATTTCGGCATTCACTCAAGCCTGTCAGAATATGTTCTTGTAAAGACAAAAGAGTAATTACACGATGTGCCGAAGATGGCCGCCTCGTCTTCATGCTTGCCTGCTATGCGCTGCATGCTGCATACGCCGCGCTCTCCGAACCTCTGCTTCGAAGCACTTCCAGCCTCTGACGTGAAGCAGATCTTACCGTAACGAAGTTGAAAAAAGGTCAACCCGATTCATTTTCACCGAGCTCAAGCAGGGAAATGCGGCCTCTGTGCATCCTCATCAAAGTGATTCGATGGGCACCGGAACGCTGCTTCTGATTCTCCTCTCCTAGACGACCCTTCCCGTTCTCGCAGTCGACTATTTGCCCGAGAAGAGCAGCTTCTGGGCAACTTTACTGCCGAACCGAGGATTCCTTTCAAATAGCTCGCTCACTTCGTATTGCCCGAGACAGTTGATGATTGTTTGTCTATGCCTGTGAAATCCTTCGACAATGGTGTTTTCCGCCTGACGGTAGGATTTTGTGTCGCGTCCCGAGGTGAAGACAGCGTCAACATCAGCAACAAAATCATCAGGCCACCCATCAACTGCGATATGCTCGGCAGTGCATGACCATGCCGCGATGGCAGGTTCTGGGAGGTTATACTTATCGCACATGTCTGCTACGTCCGCATTGAAAGCAATTATACTTTGTGGGGTGCAGACATCACCGACACTGTAGAAGTTAGTATACATCCAGTGGACCATTAGACCTATACAGTCCGGATCGTCATCATCCATGACAATGATCTTGTCTTGCGCCTCCTGCACGTGAACCTGTCAGAAATGGTCTCTAGCTGCTTCCTTCGAGCTTACACTGAAGGGTCCTCGACACGCTGCTTCGAAGAATTGGCAGCGGTTGCAGATGACAAATTGATGTAGCTTCCACGTTTTGCTTCGGCATCTCACAATCACATCAGACAACGACTCGTTCTTTGATGTGTCGTCGAGACCACTGCAAGAAAAATAGTCAGCTGCTTTGTTTGTCCTAAAAACTTGTTTGTGGGTGTCGACATGCTTCATGATGCTGCTCCAAAAGTAATCGACGCTCTCTTCCACTATCATTAAGGCCAGAAGCTTGTCATGCTTTTCTTCTTTGGACATGTATTTCAAAGACGACTCGTGTCGAGCAACACACGCGGTGTATAGATCGTCAGACATGTTGACGATGCGCGACTTCGCCATAACGACTTGATTTCAAGCACGTCGATGCTGAACGGGGAATCTGATGTGATGGAAGGTAGGAAATTGCTGTGGCGAGCCACGGAAGTTGTATAAGAAGAAAGCAAAGAGTGCTGAATTCTTGAGAAGTTATACAGCTCTTTTCGTACAATTTCAATGCGTGTGATCAACGGCCCTGGCGACCTTCACGTGCGCGCGTGCAAAACAATTGTTAAATAAATCGTCAAGATCGGTACTCCAACCTTGCGTCCCTCGTGTCATTCTGCTTCACTCTTTTTCGGCATGAATAAGTGATATGCGATCTTACGGCTGAAGCGAGGACATGCTTCAAGTAACTCTAGGAAGCCTTCGTCCTCGAGGCATCCATGTACCATTGCCCTGTTATCGCACCACCATGAGATGATGCATTCCTGTGTGCGAAGATAGGACTCTGACGCGTGCTCGACCTCAAAGATACTTGTGATTTCTCGTAAGCAGTCGTCGTAGGAGCCTGAATACACCAAATTGTCCATGAAATCATCCAACAGCTGTCGTACGGATTCTGCGAGCAAGGGCAGGTTATATTTGGTGGCCAAGTCTACTACGCCGGCGTGATGAGCAAGAACGCTCTTTCCCTCCGGCGCTTCATACGGATCCCGGTTGTATTTACAGTCGTATAGCCAGAGTAGCATTGCCTCGAGGCAGCTAGGGTCGTCATCGTCCATCGTGATACACCTGTCCTCGCGTTCCTTTCCAGAACACGGTCAGAATGATCTCTGTTTGCAGACTTCAGACTTACTTTGAAGGAGCCTTCGCAGGCAGCATCGAAAAATCTGCAGCCGCTGCATACCACGACCCTATGGACGTTCCAGGAGACTCCTTGGCCTTTGACGACGAGATCAGAGAACTTGGCTTGATTGAAAGCGCTGCCATCGTTGTCTTCAGACCCAATACCATTATTCTCGTACAAATAAAGATCTCACCTTCTCACGCTCGGTGGATTATTAGACGATATGTTGGTAGATATATGCAACGCCGAGGAAGTGTCCGCAAAAGAGGTGTTGATGTAGACGTCAACTCACAAAATCTGCGTTTGTGCACGACGGAAAGGTATACATGCAAGTGAAGGGGCGCAAATGCAATGCTGCCTGTGAGCAGCAAGGGATCATGTCACGACACATTCACCACATGCAAGCCGGAAAGCCAATGTTTCAGAATTGCGAGTCACGAGACCTCTCGCTTCGATGCGACCAGAGCTGAAGTTGATTTAGGTCACTCAAAGATTCGCGTATACATGTCCATAAACATTGGCGATGATCAAGCTTGCGCGGATGCACGGGTTTTCATGGTTTGAGAGGCGAACCAAGTAGAGGACGTACCGTTCCTGACCGGGGGAAATATTGAAGCGGAATTTTTCATTGCCAAATGCACGTGTTGAGCTATGTAGCACTCCGTGAACAAGCCTGTGCGATTGCTCCGGTTATGCTCGAGTAAACTCACCCTGCGCGTGAACGACTCCTGGCAATTTCCAATCTCCGAACCCTCCATTTATACAAATGTCAAGATGACCTCGTTTCCTGAAGACCAGCTTGAAGTTCCATTCCACTCGTCGACTAGATGCGATTCCTCTCGTTGCGAATGATATACGAAACATTTGTCCTGTCTCGACGCTCCTTATTGTCTCTGTCCTTTGCAAGGTTCTCATAACAATCATAACAATCAGCCATGATTTGTGCGATGAAGAGTTGAAGGTTGTTGCTGATGTACGGTACCGCGATGGTCTTTTCGTCAAAGCGTTAAAGCAGCGTCTCGCTCTCCGAAGAGCAATCCACGTCGTCCGTATGGGCTAGGAATTTGGGAATCTGAGAGCGATAGGTGTTGGCGGGACAATCAAAAGAGTGGAAGAGCGGGTCGAAAGATAATGAATTAGGAAAGCAGACTGACAAAGGTAACAGGCAGCAAGGAATACGATACACCACAACCAAGACCCGGGATCAGAGCCTAATCTTGAGCATGTGAAGCAGTCAAGCTAATCTCTCATCCCACCCCGCTCGCCCTGTTGAAATGTGAGGAAGAAGGAAGAAGATTCTTTTTTTTCCCCTTTTTTTCTCGGAGGGTGGACAGACCCTATTTATGTACCCCTTGCCTGT